GGAGGAGTTCAATTACAAACACCGTGACACGAGAATTTTATATATTAGATTTATTACTAATCTGTAAGTGTGATAAGTTGAAGAGGCAATGGATCGGAATAGGTCGAAGAACCGATAACCAATGGGGAAGAAAGGTTCTCGAGTGTAAGCCTTGTATTGGACATCGTAACATCGGACGACAAAAAGGATAACAAAAAGATAAGAAATGAAATGGGTATATAAGGGAAAGTTTGTAAGTGGCACCATTGACTGAGAAAATAAATAGTGATGGGTTGACATGGTATGGACACATCATGAAAAGAGATGAAAGTCTTGTGAATAGAAGACTTTTGAATACGAATGTGGTTGGAGTGCGCAAAGCTAGAGGAAGACCGAGAAACATTTGGATGGACATTGTGAAGAATTAAATGTCTGTGAAAGAGGTGAGTATTGAGATGACAGCTGATAGACGAAAATGGAGGAAAGGACATGTTGGACCGGAAAGGATAAGGGCAGGGGAAATAAGGAGGGCTGTCGGACGACCACCCACAAAATTTTGCGACGATGGCAAATGTGTGGAACCCACCGCTCAAGCTCGTGCTTCGAGTCAGCCTGTGGGGGAGATTCAACAGTGGTCTTAAACAGGTTTAAATGATGATGATGAATAGATAAAAGATATTAAGTTCGTGACCATAATCTGCAAAATGTCGAGGGCTGACGATAAAACATTGTTGAAATCAGCGGCCTCTTATTACATTTTTACTAACATGAAACGTATTACTGAAATACTAGTCGACCAGTAAATAAATTAGTACATTCAAAATAAAAAACTTAATTATCATAAAACATTAAGATTGGGAAATAACGAAAGACTGGAGTCACTGAGTGCGTCGTAAAAAGATCATAAGTAGACGGTTTAAGCGGTGTGTAACCTGCTGCTATCCGATGCTTAGATCTTGATACTTTCGGTCCAATTTGTATGTAAAATAAAGAAAAATGAAAACATCTCAATAGAGTATATCTTTTAGATACTTTTCAATACAAAGTTACTAGCCTAATATAAATAATGCGAATACGCAGTTGATAGCTGATAGATGCCACCGAGGGTCAATTGGCAGTAATTTTTTCATTGGCAAATATATCTGAAGTTCTAGACGATTTGCTCCCACGACACGACGATTTGTGCTTCTTACAACAACATCATAAATACGTTTTTTATTGAGCACTGTAGCAAACCATTGTCAAACTGGCTTAGGTGTGTTAGTTTTTCTTATGGCATAACTCGGATGTTAAGGATTCAAAACTCCTTATCCACTGCATACACCCATGAAATTAAATGTTATATATAAAGATAAGATGAAAGATTATCAAGTGAAACTTTTATTCACTATACCTTTCCTACCATCATTATTTTAATGCAAAAGAAAAGTATATTTGAAAGATGGGGTTTGGTCATTTAAAATAGCGATCTTGGTAATTTTATTTAGATGTATGAAGAGACATAATGATTCATGTTATTTAATGAAACAGTTGCTTCTCCCAATAATTTAGAAACTCTGACAAGCAGTTGTGTAATTTATTTTTAATTGAGTGGTACGACTAGGAGTAAGCTCTTTAGAACGTCCCGGTTTGATAAGAATTCCTGAAAATTGAGTATCTTTTGGCTTGATATAATAATTAACTTATTGCTGATTCTGCTGTAGGCCAGTTCAAATGGAAAGATATTTAAAACCGTAACTGCTTGCCACAAGCTTAAATGTAATAAATGCCAAGCATTGCTTGTGGGAAGCTCTAGAATGCTGTCGAAAATTGACGTCCCAAGTCTTTCTGTTATCCAATACAATAACAAACCTATTCCGTTGTCAAATTCCATAAAAAATCTTGGACTCTTTATGGACAGCACTATGAACAGGGGAGTACTAGTCACTAAAATTAGCCGTAAAGTCTTGTAACCATGCGAACTATATATCGTCTAAAGAATTTTCTCCCTTTCAAGATCAAACTCTCACTTGTCCAGTCACTTATTCTAACAATAATTGACTATGCAGATGTTTGTTACCCAGACTTGAACAAATACCTTCTCAACAAGCTTGAGCCCCTATCTAACAACTGTATCAGATACGTTTTCGGCCTTCGAAAATTTGATCATAATTCTCCCTATCGCACTAGACTTAAATGGCTTACAGTTAAACAAAGACGTACTTAATTCAAGAATTGTCTTTACACTTTTCTCTTTTTTCCATTACCCAGCTTCTCCATTCTGTATTAAAGATAAATTTAAATATCTCTCTCAAAACAATGAAAGAAACCTCCGTTCTTCATCGAACCTCAAGATTTCTATTCCTCCACATAATACTAGTTTCTTCGGTGACTCTTTCGCCGTTAAGGCTGCACTACTTTGGAACTCCTTGCCTGAGGACATAAGTAGTGCCCCTTGCAAGGCCTCATTCAAACGCCAGGTCCGCGAACTTTACTTAACATATGAATGTTAAATTTCATCAGTAGTTCAATATGTTTTATATTTATGTATACGTGTTAATATTTTTATATATAATATGTATATATATCTATATATATATAGTACCTGGAGGACCGAACTTTGCTAGGTTTATTTTTGGTGAATCATGTATTTTGGAAATTAAAAAAAAATAAAGAAAATGATCTGGTATTGAAAAAAAGTAAAAAAAATAAGTGTGTGTGTGTGTGTAAAAAATGAACGTGATACGAACCGCGGTCGTCTGTTTTCGGGCCGCCCGATTACCGACCGAGCTATTATAACATTTTTTTTGCGGCGAAATTTACTGTCATATCCGAATGATATTTTTCATTCCCTTATATATATATATATATATATATATATATATATATATATATATATATATATATATATATATTGTTGTATATATATTTATGTTTATTTAAGCGTGTGTATATTCCTTACATTCTTACAAACAAAAATTCGAAAATATGCATTTAATTGCCTTTAAAAAATATTTTTGTAACAAGCAGTATATAATTATGAAAAATGCATTTTGTTTCTACGACAGCTTCATTAATCGAAGTATAGACATGTTCGTCTCTTAACAGAGATATAATCAATACATGATCTTGGTGCGCGAGCACAATTACTAATAACACTTTATTTCTTCAAGGATATATAATGAAAGTGTGACCAAGCCAGTTTAATATTACTTTAATGAAAGGCTTTATTTTTGTATCTAAATAAAAAATGTAACTCTAGGTAATACTCCAGTCATGCAGTTGTTAAGTTTCCGGCGTAGGAACTCGTGGTTTTTTTTTTATTAAAAACATTGCCCTTACTTTAGGATAACATTATCCTATGTTGTAAGAACGTTTTACAAACATAAATTTCACGTGGAAAAATACCCAGATGCGAAACAACTATCTGTAGGTCACACAAATAGTTGTACCGTGTGGGAATCGAACCCACGACCCCCGAAGCCGAAACAAATACCTTGGCAACTGCGCCACGGAGTCGTCAAATTCAATCTCATTCATCAAATTTATGTTTAAAAAGAAAAAAAAGTCTGTTAATATCCCGAAAAGAGAACTTCCAAAAGTTATCAAATTTTAATTGAACATCGTTCACCCGATATTTTTTGTTAAAACTAAGTTACGTAAGCTGTACTGAACGCAAAGAATTATTTTTAATGTTGAGTATAATAAATACATTTTGTCACAATATATTTTGTCGTCTTCTTTCTTACCAACCAGATACTTGGATTATAGCAGTACAACCATTGTCAACATAATTATTTTATCTTGCTTAGTAGGCAAAATGATTGTGATTAGTCGTATTATTACATTTTTTTTAATTAGCTGACTAATGGTAGTATAAAGTTAGTGACACAAGCCACAAAATTTTAATTTACATATTAATGTAGGTAGCACTTGTTTAGACATCAATCTAAGAGGCGTTTTAAGTTACCTATTCCATGTATTTATTATTACTATTTGAAAATTTTTAGACCTATACTGGTCTTTGCATACAGTCGACAAAGGCCAGAATAGGTCTTTAACAACGATTGACTACCAATTCTTTCACATTAACCGATGGTGCAACAAAAATTTTTAAGCACATTGATTATCGTGATAAACATAAAATAACATATAAATAACATATAATAACATATATATTGTAATAATAAAAAATACAATATAGAACAAAATTAACCGTAAATTGAAGTGAAAATGGGCTGGTCATAACTTGAAATACCGACAACCGACGGGGAAGAGTTTTTAGAGTGGCACCCTCGTTTTGTCGACTAAATAGAATGGCGACCGGTGGATGGATGGATCGTGTTTCACGGTGGTTTGTGGTCTCTGTTCAGCAGTGGACTCAAACAGGCTGAAATGATGACGATGTTAAAAAAAATTAAAATCATCTTATTTATTTTATGGAGAAACTTTATATATATAGATAATAATAAAATTTGTTTATTTAAAACAACGTAGGTATTAAAAATTATTTAATTTATTATTATAGTTAATTACGAATGCTAACAAACTACTTTGTAACGAATAAGGGATACGTTATGGAATATGAATAAGAATAATAGACTAAAACTGAGAAGTATGAAAAGGTAAGGAATTTTATAAAAGAATAATAATACTGGGTAATGTCTATATAGTTTTATAAAGCAGCTAAATGTATGTGGTAAACAAAAAATAGCATATCCCTTTCTGATATGATCAAACAAGTCGTGGGACACCATGGCATGCCATAATCGTGAAATGTCTTCAAATTTTTATCTTGCTATTACATAATTGCGTGAAGTGTTTTGACAAATCATATAGGCGCAATGATGATTATAGCGCGGGATTTTAAATTTTACAATAGGAAAACAAAGACGTCCGACAGTATATATGGATCCGAGGCGGCGGCGTGCGCACAGTGAACGACTGCGACGAACGGCAGTCACGCTTTTAAACAGATCTCAAAACGTTAGAGGAAAGGAGAAATAGCCTTCAGTTGTGCAAAATAACACGCTCTTCTAATTATGGGGCTGAAAAAGAAGAAGCAGTGAGTACATTTTCATTACGAATTTTCGAAATTCTCAAATATTTAAAATGAAATAGCCAATAAGGTTTTCATAGTTTTAAACAAATTACGTTCCTTTAACGTTTTTTCTTCACATAAAACTTTCACTGTGAATTTTCGTATATTTTTTACTTATTACACTATTGCTCAGCGATTTTTTTGAAATGCAAGCGTATAGAAAATTTGATATTTTTGAAGAATAACTAAGTCTGATTTTGAATAAAGGATGACCTTTGAAAATATTTACTACTAATAAGTATTTGAAGTACTTAATACCGAAAAGCAAAAGCGAGTTGTTGTGTAAATATGATTCATACGTAATATCTATGGACGACAATGCTCCAGGTATTATCGTAGTCACTGACTTCTTTGACTTTTTTTAATCTGCAAATAAGAAATAAAAACTGAACTATACGACAAACTATAAATGCCAAGCTTCTCTAAACTGTGTAAACTCACAGCCAGGACATTAGAATTAAAACGATGAAATAATAATTGAAAATCTCGGATCCTTTGCTAAATTTTCATACACATAATTAAAGTATTCCTTACTTGATCTTATTTAACGAGTTAAATCTTCGAGAAAAATGCACAATTTTTGTTGAATAAACACCAGCTTCATTCCTTCCCTAGTTTAGGGATTCTCATTTCCCCCTCTGATGTTATTAAAATCTGATGATATTAATCTGCAACCCTAAGGGCATTACAATGTCCATGGGCGGCGGTTACCACTTAACATCAGGTGAACAGCCAGCTCGCTTGCCGCATTGTAACGAAAAGAAAATAAAAATTGAAAAGGTGCGGTAATTTTTCGTAGTCTGCCAACATTTAAACGGAAGACATTTAGGCATTTAGTGGTTGCCCAGTGGTCTCAATTCGATTATAATTAATCATACATGGTAGTGTGTGTTAAGATTTTTTTTAATGTATTTTTTTGCATGATTTAAAATAATATTAGCATTCTGTTCTCCTTTCTATATAATCTATAAGTGTGAGAAATTTCATACTACACCGTCCCCGCAATTTTCGTAAAAAGGGGTATAAATTTTTGCTTCACATATCAATATATAGATTATGGTTGAAATAGTTTCAGGTAAGATTCAATTTGTGTCCGAAGTTAGCCTATCTATAAAAAGATACTTTGTGAACTTACCAGACATGAAATAGTTGTCATTAAATAAAAGCATAAAATGCTGTGAATAACATTTTTCTATAACATTAAAGATGCCTATTTGTGTCTTTCAAACCGTTTCAGCCGATCATGTGATTGAATTTTTTTCATCAGATTCAATAAAGCACGCAACTGCTGTAATATATGAACACACACATACATTAGCACATAATTATGCCAGTAGATAGATCAGTTTTTATAAATTTCATGCGACAAAAATTTAATTTACATAATAATATCGATATATCCCTTTTCAGAAAAACATCGGAACCGGAATGCAAGATTTCCTATTTTCAAATCGTAAGTATTTATAATTTAAATTCTTCTATACTAAATGATTAATAGTAAGTTTATAGGAAGCCATTTTTTATATAGGATTTATAAATAACTAGCTGCTACCCGTGACTACGTCTGCGTAGAATAGGATGGAGGCGTAACATTCAGACAGAAAGACAGATATACATAAAATATGTATATAAATTATAGCCCATGTCTTATTTTGATGTATAAACTAAGTTAATGTAAAGTTTCATTAAAATCCATTCAGTAGTATTTGCGTGAAAGAGTAAGAAACATCCATCCATACATACAAACTTTCACCTTTATAATATTAGTAAGGAAGTAAGGATAATCATCCGATATTTATTTTAAGACTTAGCAGATTTTGCGTTAAACAGTATTAACGACGCAGACCGTTCCTAATCTTTAAATATTTTTTAATCAATTTTGTCAGTGTCAATAAAGACATCGACATAAAAATATAAGCCTTGAAAAGAAGAAACCTTTGTTTATTGCTGAATTAAACCAACATATTTATAATAAAACATACTTTTTGGACATGCAACGATAGTTTGCAACTGATTGCACTATTGTTGCAACAAATTGGAAACGAAAGAAACGGAAATTTTCGAATGTCCACGCCATAAATAGTGCAGAGTAACAAAGCGGAATTAGAGGCAGATTCTTAGAAAGATACCTCTGTCTCTTGTGGAAAGATAAGTTTATTTGGGTTCTAGACACACCCCCTCGATAACCAACTCCAGTGTGTTGCGTGTGGCTCCGGAATCTCTTACGGAACGCACCGATACCGTAATTGCATAATTTCTTTTTAAAATTAAGTATGAAGACATCATATCGTTGAAAAGTTTCATTAAAATTCAGTATTATTAATATAATATGTCTATGACTAATAAAGTTCATGTTCAGTTTTTGGTTTAATATAATTATCGTAAAACATCTGTTTTATAATTTGTTCTACAATATTTGTTCTAAAACATCAATTTATTATCGTATCATGCTACAACAGGGTATTAAATAACATTTTAATAAATCGAATGATTACTGGAGTTAGTCTATAAGATTATAGTTAAAATTTCTGTTTATATTTTGAGAATTCTGTTGAGTATCAAATAGTTGTATTTCGATTTCATGTGATGCAACTTAACAAAAAGTTACATTATGGCACTCCGCTACAGTAAACTAATCATGAACTTATTTATTAAAAAAGGTCATCCGTGATTAGCTTTCGGTATCAAATTTTCATAGTATGTTTCTATGAAATTAGTTGTAGTAAGGCCAAGTAAAAATTACGTACGAATATTCAAAGATTTAAATTTATCAGATATAGTTAAAAATTCAATTTGATAACATGGCTATGAAATATTATTTTTTAAGGAAGTTCCAAACAATTTATGTAACTAAAATATTAATAGTGAATATTTATTGAGCATCCGTTCAAAGAAACTTTGAAAGGAGGTCCGGATCCAGAGTGGTACTGAGAATCTAGTAAAGTAAAAAGTTAAGTAACAGCCTATACATGTACCACTGCTGGGCAAAGGCCTCCTCTATATAGAGGGTATCAGGGCATAGTCCACCATGCGACACCACTGTGGATTGGCGGACTTCACATATCTTCGCAATATATTTTTGTTATTATTTCGAAAATATGCAGATTTCCTTCACCGCGGAGCACGTGATAAGTCAGCACTTAAAGTTAAAAACTTCATTGGTGCCGGCACCGGGGATCGAACTCAGGTTGCTCGACTATATTGAACTAAAGGCAAGCTCCCGCACACTGAGCTATCACGGCTCTTAGTGACTCTTGACGCTTGATGAGTGCTCTTAGAGGATCTAGTGGTGCTGACCAAATCGTTACACTCTATTCTTTTCCGTTTAGTTCCGCTACGCTACATGTTTGGAATTATTCGCAACGATCATCGGCATCTTGCTGGGACTACTGAGCGGTGGTGGAGTATGCTACAATTTGGTACAATTTGGTGAGCTAAGCACATCATTTGTGGAGCGAACAGCAAATCAAGATCAACTCTCCAGTTACTTACCTCTGACAACCCTTTTTGGTGGTGGGCGAAGATTGTGAGTTGGTTTTAAATCCTTATGTAAAAGTATTGTAGGTTTACAGTTTCTCATTCCTATTGATACCTACAACATATTTCAAGCTAAATAAGCTTTAACTCACAAGCAAAGTCTGTTACGAAAAGCTAATTGATTCACAATACTAGTGAATCAATTTGTCATAAGGTTATGTGTTATACAGGATGAATGCGTCTTATGAAGAGAACATGGAGGCTTTGGTTGAGGACGCTAAAGCCATGTGCATTGGAATGTTCGTATCCATAGGAATCTCGCTCATTTTCTGCATGGTATCGGTGGCACTCATCAGCTGGAGTGCTTTGCGGCAGGTAATTTTCGTAGTTGTCCTCGATATTTTAATCGGCGATCGTATATAAGTTGATGTCATGCTTTTGAGCAGTAAATGGCAGAGAACGAATCCATCAATCGACACGTACGTAGATGTAATTTTCATGTATGAATATGGCGCACGGAGTTTTTGCTCAACCATAACAAAGGCAATTGCTTTAATTGACGACCTTGTTTTATATCATCTCAGTGGGCATTTCAATTTATACGCAAACAAATAAACATCAATATTGTAGAGGCTTACTATTTAATTGATTTTAAAATGATTTATTACTTTTCTGAAACATAATATACACACAATATAACTCCATAATATTTAAACAAAATCTAATCAATAATTGTTATCAAACTACTGGATGCACAAATATGAGTAGAGCCTCTGACGTCATGACACTGTCACTTTTGACACACAATTTTTGGATAAACTTTTAAAAACTTCTTTTCTCCAACTTATGGTCGTTTTATTTTGACAGAGCAAAAGAAATTAGTTTGGCATAAATACTTTTTTCCATAAAAAACGTTCCCTGTGTTGTCTAAAGCAGAATTTTATTAAGAAAATTAGAGTAGAATTTTATTACACAATTTTTATTACTGCTTACTGATATTATACATGATTTTAAACATAAATCGATTTTCTTACTTACAAATAAAGAAAGAGTTTTTAATTGATTATACTGGACCAAATAATGACCAATTAAACAATCTGTATATCTAAGAAATTGTAAAAAATACTTGTAACATACGTAAAATTCTAAAATAAATTCTAAAATAACGTTTAAGCCAAGGGTCGGATACTTACTAATTATACACCATGTGAGAAGCCTTTGTTCGTCAGTGGAACACTTATAAATACTTGAAAAATACGAAGAAAACAGCGAAATTAAATAACTTTAACATTCACTATAGTGAATTTGCTTTTAGGGTTTTTAAATCACACCTTCCATCAATATTTTCTGCATCTACAGACATAAGTTTTCCGTCCATCGCTTCTTTGAGCTAATAAGGAAGTTGAGAAGTGGAACACACTCAATAATTCTCCATGTTGCACGTTTAAAAATTAACACAAAATTGATAAGTAATTGGACGACCCAATTTAATCGATACTGTTATCACTTAACAGATAACGAGGATTAGGATGCTGTTCTTAGAGGCGGTGCTTCGTCAGGACATGTCATGGTACGACACCGATTCTGACTTTAACTTAGCATCGAAAATGTCCGAGTAAGTATTACCGCATCAAATTAAAGTGCACATTATAATAAAACTTATTGATTTGGAAACGGAATTGAATGTACTAATGTTATTCTCAATTTGAAATGAAAAGAAATATCACAGGCTGGCACGTTTATTGTAGACTATTAAAAGTTTCTATCTGCGATCTCGAAACACTTCATTAATTATTATCATTAAATTTATTTATTTAAATATATTACACTTATTTCAACCATTTCCGTTAACGTTACCCATGATCTTCGTACAATTTTTCAATATTTTATTTAGTTTTTGTTTATTACAAAGCTTAATTTAAATTTTGTTAATGTAATGTAAATGTTTTGTAAGCAAGAAGACTTGATGGTATTTGACGGACTGTAGATGCGTTTTAAAAGAGAGCCCCGGTCAGATCACCCACCAGTTGAAACGCGAAAGTCTTACACTTCCAGTTCACGCCAGTCTTCTGTGAGTGGTATTTACCCGGACGAGCATGCTACTTTTGCTATAACCAAAACTACACCCAACCCGCACTTGCATATAACTACAATATAATTAATACAATGAAATAAAATAAAACATCTTTCAGAAATATGATGAAACTAAAGGAAGGGATGGGTGAAAAGTTGGGAGTAGTCGCTAATCTAGTGGGCACAGCAATACTGTGCCTCTGCCAATCCTTTCCTCTAGGATGGGAACTCACGCTAGCCTGCATCACTGTCGTACCATTCTCTATTACAGCGTCCATTATTTTGTCAAATGTGAGTACAGCACAAAGTTTTTCTATATCCTTATGCTATACTTAACAAAATTCATTACCTACATCACTTTTAACGTACTTGTTTTCATTTATAACCTGTTGTTTGTTGAAATTCTTGAACTGTAGTACCAAACGAAATCATCAATGAGGGAGATGAACGCTTATAGCCAGGCGGGCAAACAGGCCGAAGAAGTGCTAAAATCAGTAAAGACGATCGTCGCGTTCGGTGGAGAAAGCAAGGAAATTGAGAGGTAAGAAATTTACTTAGATGTATACTTTTAAATCAATTACTATCAAAGTAAATAAAATAAATATATTGAATAGTAGAAAAAAATACGTGTTTGTACTTTGAGCTAAAAGGTCCAGACTAAAATTCATTCCTACACCCAGTACTTGGTAAAAATTGATTGCGAAATATATAGAAAAGAATAATACTATTCCTAAATCATCAAAATACGACATAACGAGATACTCCTTTTACTATTTTAATTATCATTAGACAAAAGGTGTAGAATGTGTGAGCGCCAACCGCTTTGGGTCAGTGCACTATTCTGCCCCATATCTTTATAAATTATGCAACTTTGCGCAAACCGTATTGTGCAATCATTTATATACGCCATAAAATTCATGTACCTGGCACGTGAATCATAGTTAGCATTAAAACTCCAATTTAGCAACGGTTTGCGTATTACATATACATTCGCGCCACAAATGTGCGCATTCTATTGTGCTGCCTTTATGGCAATAACATAGTCTTTATCAGACCGTTAACACCAACAGTAAAACTCACAGGCGTTATCTTATTAACTTCAAACTCAAGAGTATTAGATTACACTGTCGATTAAATATTTGCTAATGATTATTGAAGTCTGTGTGCATGTAAATCTTTACTGGCTTACTTAAATCGAACGACACTTAAGAAGTTGTCACATTCCGACTGAAATTTTAATAACCCATCTCAATTGAAGGTATTTTTCCACATATATAGATAATGTGTAGTAAAGATTATTTATATGCAATGCGTTTACTTTTGCGGTTAATCCATGCATGTATATTCCTTATACATAAGTGTTTGGAGTATATTTCTTATATGAAAAAAGTATACTGACAGACGCAAGGTTTTTTGTATAAAAAATAACTTCAAGTAATTATTAATTTATAAAGATATAGCTAAATTATTGTAATATGATAATTTACACGAGTGTATTTTGTCTAGATCGCCGTTATGGTTATTTTTATTGTATTAAATTATTCACCTATAGTGCAGTGAGGGCCGTAATTAGAATATACCAGAGCTGTCGAACAAAACCGAATGCCCAAAGCATTGAACAGCCTAGCTGGAAGCATATTTTTACTAATCTATTGCAACATTTCTTGGAGCACTATGGGACATAACTACGGTTCATCAATATGAGCTGATTAACAGAAGACTGTATTATTAACAAACAAAAGCTGAAAACACAAATTATAACTTACTTTCAGATACCGCCATTTATTGGAGCCAGCAGAACGATATGGACGGAAAAGGGGTTTGTACACCGGCTTGGGCACTGGTTTCAATTGGGTCTTAACATACTCTTTGAACGCGATTGGCCTCACCTACGGCACGCGACTTATTCTTATTGATTGGGAAAAACCAACTGACGAGAGAAAATACTTAGTTGGAGTTGTGTTCAGCGTAAGCATGATGTTTGGAACAGCCATTATAAGTGTACCCCAATGATATTATACAGCGTGTCGTTACAACCGCGACAATAAATTAACACACGTCTAAGGCTACTACTTGCCAATAATCATGAAAAAATATAAAACTTTAAAAAAATCCATAATTAAAAAAGTATATTTTTCAAACAAACTAATTAAAAAAAATAAACAAAATTTGTAACATCCTATACAACTACAACTGAATGATTCATAAATTCAGACACTTTTTCATTCCTTGCCGCAGCGTCGCACTACCAATCTCTCCTTATAACAGTACGTTTTATCGAATTCATTCAACCCAATCATATGCTTTCTGACTTTTACAAATGAACTTTACGTTACCGTTTTATACGTAAGGGCGTTCTTAAATTGTTTGTTTTAGAAAATTTAATAACTCGGTAAATAGTACTGATGTTTAAAAAATGTAAATGTTTAATACAATTTTAAAAAGTTATCCTCCATATGTCTGTTCATTTATTGTCGCAGTTGTAAGGACACGCAGTATATAAATACGAAATAGAGATTACACACTCAAATTACGCCAATTGGTATAATTAGATTGCAATTCTATAGACTGCTATCTCTTTCCGTATCCATACTTCACATCACTTTTTTACATGTAATGTAAAGCGGAACAATTTTTAAACACTTTTTCTTTGTTCAAACAAAGAAAAAGTGCGCCATGTTTATTAAAACGTCATTGAACGTACCCCTGACGTGCATGAAATGATAATTAGGAAATGAAATCTTTGAAAAATTAGTTAACCTGACAAAACACAGAAGTATGACACTTCCACTTCACGTCGATCTCCTATGAGCTCGTGATTTTCCCCCGGACTAACCTACCTTTTCTTGCAACAGCAAAGACTGCTATGTGACACTACAACAGTTGAAACTTTTTGTAAAGAAAAATCTACGTATTTGCTGTTCATCCATAGAGTGTATACATGATTACAGATTCTGTTCAGTGTGTATATGGCTACCCAATCGATAACATTCTGCGTACCTCACGCCGAGGTATTTGCGGCGGCACGTGGAGCTGCGGCGAGCATTTTCCAACTTTTAGATCGAGTGCCGTCCATAGACAGCTTGGACTCTGGCGGCCTGTCGCCCCGCAGAGTGATAGGCGATATTAATCTGGAAGACGTACATTTTAGCTATCCGTCACGCCCTAACGTAAAGGTAAGAAAAAATTTAATAATAATTACGAGTATTGGAGTTCATCCATCTGCTTTTAAACACTGGTAGGAGGGCCATAGCGTTTCCATCCTAAATTAATATCCCTTTTTAAATTGCACTAATTATTGAAATGTTTTCAAAATAAAAAGTTGTTTTTTTAGCCAAGTTTGGAATGCATAGTATTTGCATAGTTTTATTTGAACTTCCTAGGTCACTTAACATTTTATCAAGGTTGCTATCATTCTGTAGAGGGTACAAGGATCATTCTAGAGAAGATTTGTCAAAATTCTGTTAATCCTTCCAAATCTGCAGTGACTACCGAATGAAGCATTTAATTTTAAATTTCTCTAGAAAACATAAACAATTTCCAAAACTGTTCTTTTCATTAAGAAATTTGGAGGCTGTAAAATTTAATATCTCGGTAAATATTGATGTTTAAAGAATGTAAATGCTTATTACAATTTTAAAAAGTTATCCTCTATATGTGTGTTCATTTATTGTCGGCGTTGTAACAACACGCTGTATAGAAGATTTTTTTATACTGTACTTCCTATCAGAACCACATGTAAATTCATGAACAAAATAATTATACACAATAAATATTTTAATGATATTTTATTTTTTTGTAACGTTAAAGTAACGTAACTGTATAAACAATTATATCAATATAAATACATTGATAACACATTCAAAAAAAAATATTAATTTCATAGATATTCTGTAAGTAGATGACATCTAGCTGATAGCCGTCATAGCATATTCAATATACTCGAGCAACCTGAGTTCGATCCCCGGTGTGGGCACCAATGAAATTGTTAAATTTAAATGCCGAATAATCACGTGCTCTGCAGTGAAGAGAAACATCGTGAGGAAACCGGCATATTTTCGAAATAATAACAAAAAAAGAAATATTTCTTAGATATGTAAAGTCCACGATTGGGGCCGCGTGATGTACAGAGGAGGCCTTTGCCTAGCAGTAGGACATGTATAGGCTGATACTTTAGGTGATATCTTATTCTGTATATTATATTTTCTCCACATCTGCTTCCTTCGATTAAATTATAATACAGTAAATCAATTTCTTAAATGGACATTTATAACGGAGACGAAAATTTTAGAAGCACACATATTTTTTCTTACTCACCCATCAGTAATAAACTCATTAAAAGTATCACCACATATATTATAAACTTAAAGAAACTTATCAGGATGTATTCTTATCACAAACATTCACGTAAACCAATGTTTGGACAGGTACTCCAAGGCTTTTCTTTGCACATTAAACCTGGGGAATGCGTCGCACTGGTTGGATCATCTGGATGTGGCAAAAGCACTATTCTTCAGCTGCTGCAGAGACTATACGATCCCCACTTGGGGACGGTTAAGCTGGATGGAAAGAACGTTAAAAGTCTTAATTTAAGCTGGTTAAGATCTAGCTTAGGTAATATGTAACACCGGATTTTGTTTGAACTACATTCATGTTTTTTCTTACTTTATTTGCTAAAAAATATTATGCTCAACACATCACTTTCATTTAAAGGCGTGGTCGGACAGGAACCAGTGTTGTTCCGGGGTACGATTTATGAAAACATTTCAATCGGAATTCCCGAAGCAACTAGAGAGGACGTTCAAAGAGTAGCGGAAATTGCCTACGCTCATGACTTTATAACACAATTGCCCAACGTAAGTTTCTTCGAAATTCAATTCATAGTTTATAATACTAATAAAATATTACTTGATATGCTATATATATCATATAGTACATGTGAAGCTATACACACTTGAAAACTTAAAAAAAAAATAAAAACAGTTTTTCTCATCAAAGATTAATGTTTCTTTTGGCATGCATTCTTTAGTCTTACTACGACATCTTTTTTTTGAATAAACAATTTAGGTTTTTTTTAATATGATAGGGTGGTAAACGATCTGGCGGTACACCTGATGTTAAGAGATAATCGCCGCCCATTAACATTTGTCTTCTGTGAGGTTGTGGTACTTACCCAGACGGATCTGTCCATTAGTGCCACAGCGAAGTCTGTTGCATGGCCCTACTACAGTTAATTTATTTATCTTAAGCTAAGCTACGATGGGCCGACATAAGTAATGGCATTCTCTACCAGTCTGTAGAATATAATATAATAAATATGTTATATAAACAACCTAATTATGCAAAATGTTTGATTTTTATAACAGTAGAAGATATTCCTCATTTGTAGAGGCATTTCATAACAAACAATTTAAACTGAGACAAAGATCCAAATCCGAAACAGTTATCTGCAAATCATGAAAATACTTCTCCTGGAAATCAAACCCGCGAACCACTGCCTAAGCTTATCGATTAGAAATTGCCAGCCGGTAGTGCACACATATCTTTTGTATTCAATATTTGCTTTTATTCTATGCAAACCCTAAATATAACTATTTGCAACTTTTCTATAAAACTGTTTTCGCGTCTGCCTTTAGGGATACGATACAGTCATAGGAGAGAGGGGAGCATCTCTTTCGGGCGGCCAGAAACAGCGGATAGCCATAGCGAGGTCCCTTTTACGCGAGCCGGCTGTTTTACTACTGGATGAGGCGACCTCAGCGCTGGATCCTCACTCGGAAAGACAAGTGCAAGCGGCACTGGATAGAGCCAGTGTCGGCCGAACAACTCTCGTGGTTTCACATAGGTAGTTAACCATATTAACTTCCTGCTTTCCACCTAGGGGGATATAATCTTTACATGGTATAAAACAAAGTAGCTCTCGATGTTTGTACGCTTAGATCTTTTAAACTACAAAACGGACTTTAATGCGGTTTTCAGCAATATATAAGTAGATTGATTCAAGCGAAAGGTTTATATATATTTAGTACACATTCATATTATAGTAGAGAAAAGCCGAGATATTCAACATCTATGAGCAGATCTTGTATGATCGTAGAGTAAAGCGTATAGTTTCAGACGTGGAAGCCATCGATGAGTTTTTCACCAACCCACGTTATGCAATATGTTAATTGTTGCGATAACCAGCAACATTTTCAAAGTAAAACCATTGGACGATAATATCTCCCATCAATAGTTCTAATAAAACACTAACACTTTTTTATGTAGATTATCTACAATAGTCAATGCAGATCGAATCATATGTATGGACCAAGGTGCAATAGTTGAGCAGGGGACCCACGAGGACCTTATGAAAGCGAAGGGTAAGCATTCCAACCGCCAACGCTGTAATCAGAAACGGCTCCATGTCCTTAATTTACGTTGATTTTTCTTTTGCAGGTTTCTATTACAAACTTGTAACAACAGGCAACGAGAACAGAGAACCCGATGTAATAGAAACTTTGCCCGAAGAAAATGATAGCAACACTGAGCCTGGGGATGCATCTTCGCTTCCCAGGCTAGACGTGAAAAGAAGATCAAACAGAAGGCTACATCGGCATCATTCGACGAAACGAGGTAATATTTCGAGGCCCAACGGAGAGCTAGTATTCGAAGTCGAACGTAGGATACCAACTTTATCCAATATTTATACTTTGATGTCTAACTAACATTTCATACGAATTTTTTCTTTAGTGAGTCTTAATGTTATTAATATTACTGTTAAATTTTGAGCTTTTGAAACATGAAAAGTGATGAAAGTAAAATACGAATTTTAGATTATTGGTAATTAATATTTTAGTACCGCTATTGAGACCATCTGGACGTTGCTAGACGTTTATGATGACCTTAAGGTAGATGTTATTTGATTGTTGATATTTTTACTTTTCAGATTCACATGACTGGATGACCCCACGTGGTTCCATATCTTCTGTCATGTCTACCGGCCTGCAAAATTTTGTTTATAACACAGAGTATGAATTAGAAGAAGAGAAAGAAGATGAAGATGAAGTAAGTTGATTTTTGAAGTTATACCTCTTGAGGCGCGTTATGAAAAAATGATGAGTGAAATTTTAAGATGAAACACAAAAGTCACACCTTTGAAGCTGCCCGCAAATTTTTATAGATGGTAGCATATTCTCAGTCACATTTACCCTTTACAGTTCTCTATAAAGAATGTAGATGGCGCTTTCATAATTTTGCTCTAATTTTGAACATTTGTATGCTTTAGTACATCTATATATACAAAAACTAATTACTGGCCGCGAATACGTCTGCGTAGAATAGACTGAAGGCGTAACATTCAGACAGAAAGACAGATGTAGGTACATTAAATATGTATATAAATTATAGCCTATGTCTTATTCTGATGTATTAGCTATATTATTGTAAAGTTTCATTAACTTCCATTCAGTAGTATTGGCGTGAGAGTAACAAACATCCATCCATACATACAAACTTTCGCCTTTATAATATTAGTAAGAACTAACTGCTGCCCGCGACTACGTCTGCGTCGAATAGGCTGAATGCGTAACATGCAGACAGATAAAATATGTAAATAATACAGATATACAGTGTGTCGTTACCATCGCGACAATAAATGAACACACGTCTAACGCTACTTGCCGATAATCATAAAAAATATTAACGTTAAACAAAATCCATAATTAAAAAAAAATATTTTTCAAACAAACTAATTAAGTAAAAAAGAAACAAAATTTGTAACATACTATACAACTCGCGCCACTGCGTCGTATTACAAGCCCCTCCTTCTAACAGTATGTTTTGTCTCTTTTAAATTCATTCAACCCATTTATATGCTTGTGACCTTTACAAATGAACTTTACGCTACGCTTTTATAGGTAAGGGTGTTCTAAAATTCTTTGTTTTGGAAAATTTAATAACTCTGTAAATATTGATGTTTAAAGAATTTTAATGTTTAATATAACTTTAAAAACTTATCCCCTATATGTGTGTTCATTTATTATCGCGATGGTAACGACACGCCGTATATAAAATATGTATATAAATTTTTGCCTATGTCTTATTCTGATGTATAAGCTATATTATTGTAAAGTTTAATTAAAATCCATTCAGTAGTATTTGCGTAACAAACATCCATCCACACAAACAAACTTTCGCATTTATAATATTAGTAAGGATGAATCGCTGAATGTGTTGCTAAGCTCCAATCTCGAAAACAGGTGAACCGATTTCGCTAATTCTTTTTTTTTAATATTTCTTGAAGAACGAGGATGGTTCTTACGAAGAGAAAAATTTTAAAAATTGCCTGAAAAGGTCTAAAAACGACATTTTTCTATATTCCCGTACAAAAGATTCTTAAGGCCCTGTACGCAGTGAATTTTTAACTATTTGGGTGGTGACGTATGAGGAAGCGGAGGAGGGGTAACACCGCTTAGCGGGACGCAGCGCGCGAGTTTCGTCGACCCGCCGCGTGACATGTCATTCATTACCTAGTGTGTGTGTAGTGGTGGGCCGTAGGATACTATCGATAGTATCATGAAAGGCTATCGAAAATGTACACAGATGATCCCTATAATATCTTTCATAGACCATGATTGTATTTTAATTTTATATTGTTATAGGAATAATATAAACAAACAAATATAAAGTATGAGAAAGCAATCAACAATTTTAGAAAAACTTCCTTTCTAATTTAAATTATCAGGAAACTGATTAGAATTGATTAAAAATACATCTTAAAAAAAATTAAGAAAGGCAAATGACATTTCTTACAACAAAACAAAAAATAAACGAATTATTTATTTTGATTTAAAGCAGAAATTACGAATACGACTTTTTTATTACAATTTTTCTTAAACTTTATATCTTTAATTTACACTTTAAATGTGAAAGACTTACTACGTTATATTAATTCCTCAATGAAATAATATTTAAAAATCGATAAAATTCCTTATATCAATAAACGACAACAATTATAAGTAGAATCGAAATTTTGTTACCTTCCGCAGACATCGTGTAGCCTATTGGTCTGATGGTAGGTGAACAATTACTGTGGTCCCAAGTTCAAACCTTATTGAGTGGTACATCTATTTCTAATTTTAATTTGTTAATCAATTAATTATTTTATTTTTATTTCATAAAATGTGGAAGATAAACAAATTAATGAAAAAAAATATAAAACTATTACTTTTCGTGTTCGTAAAAGAATAATTGTTTTAAAAATTAAATACTTTAATACAACAAATTAAAAACAATATACAATATAAGACTTGTTAAAAATTTTAAATAATGAAAAGTTGGTTTATTATCTGATCGATTGTTCCCCAAACTGTTGCGTTCTACGTTCAACAAATACAATAATCTTACGTTGTAATTATTTATAAAAATATAAAATTTTACAAAAATTAAATGGTAAATAAACAAAATACCTACAAAAAGAAAATCACCAAAAATATAACAAAGAAATGTAGGCATTTGAACCCAATCCCTTTAAATTGATGGACTTTTTATTATGTATAGGACTGATAAACTTATCAATTACAAGATAAGATATTGAAATTACGGTTCAGTTGTTAATACATACAAATAATACAAAATATGTGAATATATATATATATGTGTGGGAAATGCTCGAAATACAATCAAAACGTTTGTAACTACTTTATAAATTTTTACTTCTTTTCGTCGTGTCCGTCATTTATCTCCTTTCTATCGCCATCCTCTTTCTCCCTTTAATACTCGTCTCGCTCACACTCTCACTCTTTTACGTTCCATTCCCACATTCGGCCATCCTGACATCATGACTGTCCTCAGAGATGCTTAACAATTACATCTTAAACATGACGTAATTAATATCTCAATAGTAACTATTCATATAATCAGCGACTTATACAATCTTGTCTCCATTATGTTATGCTAGGCAAATCAACACAATAAGTAAAACATAGAATAAGCTTAAATGTTATAAACTAAAGCGTCGTTGATATTTGACATGACTTCGCTACTACTGCCACCTTTTGGATACCCTGTTTCATTTAGCGTTACTTTCGTGTTGTTTGCCGTAGCGTCAGCAACGGACGCTCCGCCTTCTCTCGGTGTTTTCCGCTGTTGATCTGCAATGCCGTCAACCTTAGAACTTTGCTCGTATTTTCCGAATGAACCCGATGCTTCCCGAATCACGAACGTCGTAGCAATTCCGGAGGATCCTTGTTGGCCATCTAGCTTACAATGGTGACTAATATGACCATAGCGATTACACTTAAAACACTTAGGTCCCTTAGTACACGCGGCAGCTATATGACTCGCCTCACCACAATTGTAGCATCGTTTACTCATGCTAGCTCCGGGCTTTTGGAATGCTGTTGATGATGGTCTTGATCCTTTCTCCACAGCTGGTGGTACCTTCTTTTTCATCTCTTCGTATATTGCCAGTTTTTCTTTTAGGACCGTGTTTGTTGTTACACCAAATAAAATCATTTTGTTAACTGAGCTATCTACTGTTCCATCGACGATATATTGAATGGCCACGTAATCTGGAAAATGGGCACGCTTACCTAATTCTTTCATTTTAAGCATGTATTGGTAGCACGTCTCTGTTGAAGACACTGGCTGAAGATTTTTACTAAATCATAGAGTTGTGTCGAGTGTCATTGTTCTTTTGTTAATGTCTGTTCTTTCTGTGACGTCAATATACAACTTTTCATAAAATATTAATTTGATTAAATAAATCCGTAAATTGGACCTTAATATTGTAGCAGAGCGTTAGCATTACCATGAACAAATTTGAAATTAATATTGGAAAGTTGGAATGTACTGCGAACTGGCCAACCTGGAAACATAAGGTAACCCTACTGTTTCGAGGTTCGGCAAATGATTTGGAAAGAGCAGTAAATGGTACCTTAAAGAAGCCAGTGCTATCTGACAATGATGCTGCGTCAGAGGAAGCAAGGGCTGCTTATCAAAAAGCTCTTAAGAACTATCATGAAATTGACTGCGCAGCACAGCTGGAACTCACAGCAAATATGTCTGATGAAAATGTACAGAAAATTATGAGATTTCGTACTGCTCAAGATGTATGGGACGAGCTTCACCGCCTCTATGATGGAACTTCCGAAGACCGATCGTATGATTTATGTATGCAATTCTTCAGTTACAAAAATAATATTGAACACGACACGACTACCCATCTGTCTAAGATCAAGAACCTCTGGTTTGAATTGAAGACTGAACTAGTTAAAGATGAGAAGTCTGACCTCCCGAATATATTGTTAATATGCAAAATACTTGACACATTACCGGAAGCCTATTTCTCATTCAAGTCGAGTTGGATTTTACTGTCGAAGAAGAATCGTACTGTAGAAAATCTTACGTCTCAACTGTGCGCACATGATGTCTGGTATGTTCCTGAAATTAAAAGAAATCTCTTCTCAGTTCTCGCTGCACAAGACATGTTAGATAAAAGCAAATTCATATCAAAGAGGGAAGTTATTTGTTATTTGAAAGTGAACGGCAAAGTTAAATTAGTTGGAAAACGAGTGAAGAACGGAGGGCTGTACAAGTTAAAAATTCAATGTTTAACAAACATCGCTCCTAACTTAAGCAACTGATAACGTCTGAAAATTTTCATGAAAGGTTTGCCCACCAAAGTAAAAGGCATGTTAAGAAGGTTATTGAACACGAGCTTGGACTCTGGATTAAGTTAATCTGGATTCTGAATTATGCACTGGCTGTATTTATGGAAAAATGCACAGACGAAAATTTGGGACTTGAAAACGAGCTAAGACACCAGGAGAGGTCATTCATACTGACGTTTGTAGACCTTTTCCGGAATCCTTCAACAAAAATAAGTACTTCGTACTATTCAAAGATGATTTTACCAAATATCGTCACGTATTTTGTATCAAACATAAGTCTGAAGTACATTTGAAACTACAGCAAGTACTACAAGAATATAAAGTGGCCGGATATTCAGTTAAAGAGATCATCTCGGACAATGGAGGAGAATATGACAATAAGAAAGTGAGAAAAATACTTCGACAGGAAGGTAAATCTCAAAGACTTACAATGCCGTATACGCCGCGACAAAATGTAAGCAGTGAGCGTGAAAACCGGACATTAGTCGAGGCCGCCAGAAGTATGATGCACGCTCAACAATTACCTGTTGCCACCTGGGCTGAATTAATATCAACTGCGACGTACATCCTCAACAGGACTGGACCTACTCCAGTACCAAATAAATCTCCATATGAACTCTGGTTTAATAGGAAGCTATCAATCAAACATCTGAGAATATTTGGCTCAGAATGCTATGCACATGTTCCTAAACAGGAGCGAAACAAGATGTCCAAGAAAGCTGAAAGGTGTATATGGATTGGCTATGATGGAGATGATGGTTACCGTCTTCTAAAACGAACAAAATGGAAAATATATTTTGATCAGATCTAGAGATGTTCAGTTCAATGAAAATGTCATTAAATCTATTGATCTCGAGGAACCTGAAGTTTTTGAAGAATCTTCTGTTGAAATAAAGCTATCTTCAAACAACGACAATCATAAAATGCATGAAGCAAGGGAGGAAGAACATGAGAAACAATGCGAGGCAGAATTTAATCTGCCAATATCTGAAGTTGAATCTCAATCTGAACTTCACATTGAACCCACTTGCGATGTGCCCCAAACATTTAATGATTTACCTGACCAAACTGAAAATGAGCATGAAGATTCAAATGACGAACAAATCTCTGAATATGATATACATGAAGATGAGATACCTGTTGAATCGAGAATGCAATTGAGAGATAGATCTCAACTAAGACCACCAGTTCGATATGATGATTATGTTTTGATGTCTGCCGCAAATATTTTATCAAGTGGTGAAGATCCAAAGACATATCAAGAAGCCCTTGCAAGTCCAGAAAAGAACCAATGGATTCAAGCTATGAATAGTGAAATGAAATCACTTAAGGAGATGAAAACTTGGATTTTAGTGCCACTACCTAAAGGCAGAAAGACAGTTTCATGCAAATGGGTATACAAAACTAATACAAACGCTGATGGATCTCTTGATAAATTTAAAGCAAGGCTTGTAGCTCGTGGCTATACACAAAGGAAAGGCATTGACTACGAACAGACATTTAGTCCAGTTGCCAAAATGGTTACGATACGTTCAGTATTGAGCCTAGCTGCAAATGAAGGACTAACGCTAATACAATTCGACGTGTCAACAGCTTTTCTGAATGGATCGTTATCTGAAGAAATCTTCATGAAACAACCTGAGGGTTATAATGATAGTTCAAATAACGTATGCAAGCTTATGAGAAGCCTTTATGGTTTAAAACAAGCGCCACGGTGCTGGAACAAATGCATCGTTGACTATCTAACATCTATTAACTTCAAGCAATGTGATAATGATAACTGTCTGTTTATAAGAAACACCAGGAATTCTAAAATCATATTGGTGTTATATGTTGATGATGGTCTGGTTGCTTCAAGTAATCCACAAGAATCAAAAAGATTTATGAAAGAGCTGACACGACGTTTCAAACTAACGATCAAACTAGCGACCTACTTTCTTGGTCTCGAAATCACAAAAACAGAGTCTAGTGTTAAACTTTCTCAAAAGCACTACACTGTTTTCAGTCTTAATACGTTTTGGGATGAGTGACTGTAAAATAGTTACAACGCCTATTGTCAAAGAAGATATGAATGATTTGGAGAAAGAGTCAATAGATGGAAATACATTTCCTTATAGAGAAGCTGTAGGAGCCTTGGCCTTATGGTTGGAAGTAGACCAAACTTAGCTTATGCTATTAGTGTGGTATCCAGAGGATTAAGCCCACACCTGCAGACGTTTCAAGGATCAAGAGAATCTTGGGATACATTAAGGGAACCCTGGACTATTGTCTATAAAAAGGAATACAAGACAGGCATCCTAGAATGTTACAGTGATTCAGATCATGCGGGTGATGCCACCACAGGACGTTCAACGTCTGGAATTTTATGCTTATATTCAGGAGCAGCAATTTCATGGTGCAGTCGTAGACAGACTTGTGTTGCCATATCCAGAACAGAAGCTGAACTGGTTGCTGCCAGCGAAGCAGCTCGAAAGATAATCTGGCTGAAAAGATTGTTTAACGTTCTATCACCTCTCAAAGAGGTACCTCAACTCAAAGTTGATAATGATGCAGCTGTAAAGATTGCTAAAATTCCTGAAATGCATAGAAGAATTAAACATATTGCTATACGACATGTGTGATGTCAATATTCAACTTTTCATAAAATATTAATTTGATTAAATAAATCCTTAAATCGGACCTTAATAGTCGAGACTATTTTTATATCCCGCTTTTTTTACAGGATGACATAATTTCATGCATTTCTTTAACATTTACTGCTTCTGGAAACTCTTTAAGAACAGCCGCCTTCAAGTCTTCGAATGTTTTATGCAGCTTTTCAGAGCGCAACCACAATGCTGCCGTACCAGTTAAGGATCGCCTTACCATGATGAGCTTTTGCCGCTCCGTTCATCCGAAGATCTCTGCATTTTCTTCTATATCAAGTGCCCATTTTATCGACGAATGAGTCGTGTCCTCTCCATTGAATTTAGTAATATCTCCTTCAACTAGACCGAATAAAGTTCCGGCCGCATTCTTTTCGTCCGCCATTTTGTGTCGTCTTTTTCTTAGTTATTCATAAAACAATTATTCCGTTATATATCACTTTTTCTTTTTATTACAAACAATCCCGGACGAGCCCCCAAATTTGTGGGAAATGTTCGAAATACAATTAAAAACGTTTGTAACTTCTTTATAAAATTTTACTTCTTTTCGTCGTGTCCGTCATTTATCTCCTTCTCATCGCCATCCTCTTTCTCCCTTTCATACTCGTCTCGCTCACACTCTCACTCTTTTACGTTCCATTCCCACATTTATCTTTTAATTTCGTGTTTTCGATAGGTCTAATAAAATTATAACTCTCAATAACAAATAGATACGGAACATATTTCGTAACGGTGAGCGGAAGACGAACGGCAAAACAAGTGAGTGACTGTGATAAAATGTTAGGGGAGAATCACATTTTTGGATTTTGAATTTATATCTCAATGGATAGTATATCTAATCTAGTTTCAAAATAAATTCATGCTTTTTGACATTAACTTTATCGATTGAGGAAATATTACATTTTTGAGAAAAAGGAAAAGTGTGACTTCTGGCCCCATGTCAGGGATGGTTGTCACAATGCCAGGGGTAAGTAGTCACATAGTAAATCAAGGGAGGAAAATATAAAAAAAACACTTATTTAAATCAAATGAGTATGTATTTTTATCAGAAATAGAACCATGAACTGGTATCCAAGAAAAGAATTGAAAATATTCATTATAACAAGAATAGTCAACAAATTCCATTTAACACAACATAATTTCCATTTAACAAAATTAATATTGTTGTTACGAAAACAACAAAAATGTAATCATAAACAGGCACTGATTTATTTGGACGTCATACTTTTAAATTAAAGTGCGGACGATATAAAATGAAGTCAATCCAAGTAATCAGTTTCACAATTTTGGCAAATGTAATAAGGTTTTTGGCTTCTATCAGCTCGCTGTGGCTTATGCGGAGGAATTTTTGCATCTAAATCACCCCAATTTGCCCACGTTCCATATTTCAAGTTTTTATAAAAAAACTATTGAGATTTTGTGGATTAAAACTGGTGGCTCGAGCAAACTAGTGGATTCAAGTCTTCTAATGGACAGAGAAGGATGTCTCTTCATAAACGACGTAAACCAATCGGTGCGAGCTAGCTTGTTTGAATCCCAAGAGTATGGACTTAACTTTCAACTTATTGGAGACAGCAAGCTCGTACGTTATTATGTAGCAAAATTCCAAAAAGCCAACAAAAAAGCCAGCAGACATGCATGGGGTTGATTGTCACATGTCCTCGTTAAGCTGAGACAACCTGCCCCAAACAAACATTTTAGAAAATAACCCTAAAAATAAATCTTAATCGGTGTATATTTATAAAACTATATAACAATATCGTGAGCCATATATTTAACTTAACTAATACATGAATAGGTATTTTACAATGCAAAATTTAGGCATACTTACAAAGATCGACATAGATGCACGAAAAATTACTTTCAATGTGAAAAACAAACGCAAGTTTCTCCGTCACGGCGTTTCGGAGCGAACCAAAGTGAAGTGGGGAGGGAGGTGATGCCTTCGCGATTATTTGACGCCGATCAACTTTCGTATTCGTTCGTTAACTTTTCTGTTATGACCGCTGTGATAACCAACCCGTGAAACAACCATACCCGGTCTCCCCTACTTGAAATGTAAACTTCTCTTTGCTGTGCATCACTACATAGTATAAAACAAAGTAGTCCCCCTGTCTGCCGGGGCGGGTGCTAGTTAAGTTTACCTATGTAAACTCGATCTCTCTTTTGTTTCGCTAAAAAGTATAACGACTTACATACATAATGACGTACATAAGTACACACAACGTTTTTTTTATTTGTGAGCATTTTACTCCTAAATCTGTAAATCAACTGCAACTTTACAAACGTTAAAAATATTTAGAAAAATCTTAGCTGAAGTTTGTTTAACTTTACAACTTGCAAACTACATATTTTTAGGAAGTCAAACCTGTAAGCGACTGGCAACTTTTAAAACTAAACGGACCAGAGTGGCCTTACATAGTCGTGGGGTCCATTGCTGCCTTTATTCAAGGCGCCTGCTTCCCTGTCTTCGCTTTGCTATTTGGCTACACTGGTGGTGTAAGTATTTTTCCAAAATATACTGTAAAATACTTTCACAAAAAAAGTTCACCGCACACAAAAGAGTCGGCCATATAAATTGTATCTTGTGACAATTTTCTGTACTACTGTGATTGGAAACCACTACCTAAAAACAAGACCACTCTTTATCAGATTTTTTAGTGTAAATTTAATTATTTTATTCCACTTTCAGATCTTTATTCTAAAGGATCACAGTGAAATAATTTACTTCGCGGACTTCTATTCCGGTATGTTTGTAGTGGTGGCTGCTGTGGCAGGCGTCTCAATGTTCCTACAGAGTGCTACCTTCACACATGCTGGATTAAAAATGACGACAAGGCTAAGATATCAATACTTCTCGGCGATACTAAGACAGGTATAAACATAGATCACATATTGTTTTACTTTTGTATGGAATTGTTCTTTACTACAAATACAATTTTTCACTAATAAGCTTTTGCTATTTTGGTTAAAATAAAAATTAAGTATTTGTGTACGATTCAGTTACTTTATTTAATCCATATTCGTGCCCAACCGTGGTTCCGTACAAATTTATGAACCAAACCTTTAGCAACTTCTGAAGAAATTATTAAGCTTAATCACGTAGCTTAGCGCTAATTGTATCATTGGTGATGATGATGATTGAAGTTACAATGATATTTCAGGAGATTGGATTCTTCGACAAAGAGAGCAACACTGTGGGAGCGATGTGCGCTCGCCTTAGCGGCGACGCTGCAGAGGTGCAAGGCGCTACGGGACTCAGGATTGGTCTGATACTGCAAGGGACTAGCTCCGTCTTCGTTGGCTTCATAATGGCAATTTGTTATAACTGGAAACTGACACTCGTCGGCACTGCCTTCCTGCCTCTTGTAAGCGATTTGGGTGATATGCAATACACATATTTTCATACGCAATCAAAATAGTAACATTTCAATTTAAAAAGAAAACAGACTTCGCACTCATTCAATATATTGAATTTACTTAAATTTCCAAAATATATCCACATTCTATGTCTTAAGAATTATATGCATGCTCTATTTTATTTTGAGGAGTTCGCCGATGTGTCTCTCTGTCTGAAATTAATGACAAGACGTAAGCCGAACTCAATACTAAAAGATATTTTAATCGGTTCATTAATGAGGGGTTCTTAGAAATAAACTTAAAAAATACAACCATTTGAGAACCTCCTTTCTTGAAGTTGGTTCGGAAGAAAAGAGATGTCAACTGTGTCTACATAGGTACAAAAATAAAGTAAAATACGTTAAATTTTCATAGGCAATTTAAAAAAAAATATTACTTCCATAGAAACTTTATTACTTCTACTAATGAGGTCGATTAAATTTTCTATAATCAAAGTGATTGATTATAGAAAATTTAATTTAACAATTACCATCGTTGCAGATGGTTGGAAGCATTTGGCTAGAAGGAATAATATCTCAAAAGTCACAGAGCGACGAACGGGCTGCAATGGAATCTGCAACTGCAATCGCTACCGAGGCTGTTGTCAGTATTAAAACTGTTCAAAGCTTAGGTTAGTATTTTTTTATTTTATTTCTGCAAATACACAGAAATGGAAAAGCCAACTTGGTCGGTATTGGCTTAGACACAAACACTAAAATTTCATTAGATTAATTCTATAGAATAATTAGATTAAACTGTTAGTTAATTAAAAAGTATTCTCTTTAGCAGGCGTGGAGGACACAGTTTTAAGGAGATTTGAAGTAGCGTTGGTAGTGGCATGCGCTGCATAACGAGTTTCATATTATAGAATATATTTTTTTATTTATTTATTTATTTGCTTATTTGCTTATAACATGGTTTCACAAGGTGTTACAAATCATAATATTGTACCACATGTTATGCTAATGTTTATATAGCATGCAAAATATTACCGATATCAACTTTACTATTTATATAAAGTTTACAAAATACAGTTGCAGTCAATTCTACATTAAATGTAACAATTTATAATAAAGAGTAGAAAATATAAAATTAAAATTAATAAAAATAATGTACCTGACAATAAATTAAATCTTATTAAAAATTCTTTGATGTCGTAAAAATTATTTACTTTTAACCATATTAATATCTTTTTTTTAAATTGTCTGTCATCTAGCATTTTCATGTAATTGGGTATTTTATTAAAAATTCGTACACACATCATCAAACAATTATTACTATACTTTGCAGATCTAGGGTTGTCTTTTAGCAATAGTCTATGTTGGTTCCTTTTTGGCCTGATATTGACTTCGTTTGCTGTTGTAAACAATTCTTTATGTTTCCTTACAAAGATGCATATTTCATAAATGTATAGCGAGGGCAGCGTTAATATATCAAGGGCCTGGAATAACTATTTACAGGACTTGTCAGGGCGGACGCCACATAGGTTTCTGATACATTTCTTCTGTGCTATAAACACTATTTATGTTCGTACTGTTACCCCATAATATGATTCCATACTGTAGTATTGACCCTATATAGGCATGATAGGACGACATTGCTCCCTTTTTATTAGTTAAGATTTTAATTCGATTTAAGGTATAAACAAATTGGTTTATCATACTACATAAGCCGTCTACGTGTTTTGTCCAATTTAGGTCTTGGTCAATAATTAAAGCTAGAAATTTGGTTTGTGTCACTTCTTTAATCTTAGGGATATTCAACTTTAAATTGTACTTTGCATGTTTAGATTTGTTAATTTGGATATAATTTTATTTCTTAAGATTAATTTTTAAATTATTCATTTGTAGCCATTCTATAATGTTATCAATTGTATTATTAATGTCCATTTCATGATTATTATTTTTATCAGATGTAACAATTACGGAAATGGCATCTGCAAATAAAATACATTTATGATTCGTTATTTGAGGAATGTCATTTAAATATAATATGAACAATATTGGTCCGAGTATGCTACCTTGAGGGACGCCGTATTTGTTTTCTCTGTAGCTAGATGAATAGGACTTGAGCTCATTTTTTTCAATTTTATTAATAACAACGCATTGTTTTCGGCCAGTTAAGTAAGATGCTATCCATCGTAGAGCCTGTCCTCTTTTACCAATGTTTTCTATCTTTTTTATTAAAAGGTCGTGCGAAACAAAGTCAAACGCTTTAGATAGGTCAAAAAATAGTCCTGTAGTATACTTTTATTATTAATATTAGTTAAAATTGTACTTAGTAAGGTGAAAATGGCTAAGGTAGTGGATTTTCGTTTTTGGAAGCCAAATTGTGTTTTCGTTATAATATTGTATTTATTGCAGAATTCTATTAATCTTGTATGCATGCATTTTTCGAACACTTTTGACAAAATAGGTATCAGAGTAATAGGGCGATAATTGTCAACTTCATCTTTATTACCTTTTTTGTAGAGTGGCTTTATAACAGATAGTTTTAATAGTTCAGGAAAACTACCGGAACAAAATGATAGCTTGATGAGATGCGCCAGAACCGGAGTCAGTTCATTGACACTGGCCTTAATGATCCTAGTAGTTATTTCATCATATCCTTCAGAGTTAGTGTTGTTTAAAGATATAATTTCACTTCTAAACTCATCCTCAGTTATGGGCTTCAAAAAAATCGAGTTGGTCATCACCGATTTACTAATGTTTGTGATAGGTCGAATACTATTTAATGCAACGGTATTTGTCAGTTCAATAAAATAATTATTAAAATAATTAGCAAAATTATTATTAGCTATATCCGTTGGATTTGTTATATATTCATTGTTTATTTTTATTTCTGTTAATAAACTGGTTTTAAGCTTTTTATTTCCCGTTTCCTTATTATTAACCGACCATGTTGCTTTACATTTATTTTTACTTGTATTTATTAATTTTATGTTGGAATTCTTTTTCGACACTTGGATACACTTCTTTAATATATTAGAATATTTTATATATCTATTTTTATGTATCACCGTCTTATTTTTATAATACATGTATCGATTTTATTTTCAACAACCACTATTAGCCTCATATGTAATAAGACGTATTTAATTATTTCGTTGCTTTTGTTTATTATTAATTTATATCGTAATAACGTAAACCGAAATATGTTTGGAGAAATTTTATTACGCATTAGTCTATTTCTTGACATTTTGCATGTTTTTAATGCAATTATTTCTCACCAAATAATAACTGAAGTCCTCTTATTAAATATATAAGATACTATAAACAAGGTTATGGTAAAATTAGACCATCGAATCCTTAAGCGATGCGGGTAAAATAATATATATTAGTAAGAGTATAATCATAATAATGTGTTTATTTTAAAGTATTCTCTTTTTCAGGCGTGGAGGCCACATTTTTAAAGAGATTCGAAGTAGCTTTAGTAGAGGCATGCGCTGCGGTGTCGAAGAAAACCAGGTGGCGGGGCCTTGTTCTTGGCCTGGGGGTATATGTGCCCTTTATGTCTTACTGCAGTGCGACAGTTTATGGAGCAGTTTTGGTAGCCTACGAGGGGCTGGAGTACAAAATTGTCTTGCTGTAAGTTTATTCTTATTACGATTACATAAAACAATTGGTGACAATGGTGTAGACTGTGTGTTGCACGTTTTGTCTTATAAACAAGGGCATTTCAAACAACACGTAATTTTTTTTTTTCAGTGTAAACGAGGCTATAATGTACGGAGCATACATGTTGGGTCAATCTTTGGTTTACGCACCCAGTTTCAATTCAGCAAAAGCCTGTGGTGCGAGAATATTGTCTGTGATCCAGAGACAGCCAAAAGTTAGGACGGAGGAAGGAGTGAAAGACCGAAAAGATTGGGTAGGTGAAAAATTGCAAAGACAATGTTGAACACACTAAGTATTAATATTAAATAAAACATGTGCAGTCTATTTGACTCTGATTGTTAAAGTTTTTCTTTACTACAGGCCGCAACTGGTAACTTCAGCATCAAAGAAGTGGAATTCTGTTATCCCACACGACCAAATCAAAGGGTATTGAGAGGACTAGACCTCAAGGTTGACGCTGGAAAAACGGTGGCGTTGGTTGGTTCTTCTGGGTGTGGAAAATCTACGGTTCTGCAACTAATGCAACGTTTCTACGATCCCGATTCTGGCAACATTGTAAGTCCAAGTAATTAATTTTATTTGTATCATTAAATTAACTGAAACGCATCGCCAAACAAATCATTTATTAGAATAAAATATTATTAGGAAAATAAAATTCAATTAATTTATTTCATTCAGAAACTCCCAATTTACACCTTAAAATATTTACTTCAGATATTAAGTTCTACGCTAGAATTTCGATGTATAAAAACTTTTTCGAGAATATGACAATACCGAAAGTGACACCTGTCACTACTTCAAATAATTGTTTCATTTATAAAGAATTGCATGAAAGTAGTTATATAATGGGTCATTTCCTTGGGACGTTTAAAACGCGACACCTTGACCTTCACCAAGATGACAAGCCCACCTTCGACTACAACGCCGGCTTTAAATACAAAAGAGCGCAGCGCCAAATGATAGCTCAAGAAGATCACCTAATTTCGGCCCGCATACCACCGCGCTACCGTGACTATTGCGCCCACCTAGCTTTAGAATACAAGATCTGCCGACGCAAAAACTGGCCCCTCGCTCATTTGTGTCATCATGAGCGACATGCGTACTTGAACTGTCAGCATGACGATTACATTTTGAGAATGAAAGAATTCGAACGAGAACGAAGATTGAGGGAAAGGGAGATTAGACTGGAAAATGTAAATGAAGACCCAGCATTAAGACATGGTCCACGCTGCACTGATTAAGTTACTGTGGAAAACATAAATTCTACTGAAGACTGTTTAAATCTGCAAATAAATCTTTGTTCGGCTCTTTAATTGTTTTTAAGCAGAATTGTGTACCAGCCATTCTTCGAGTTACGCGCTTACCAACATTCATTTTTATTTATTAAGAAGATTTATATCGAAATATATTAATAACGAAATATATTTGTAAAAATTGTATTAGGCATTAGTCTATTACTTTACTTTAGCGTGTTTTTAATCCAATTATTTCTCAGCAAATAATAACTGAAGTCCTCTTATTCTGAGGATACTATAATCAAGGTTATTGTAATATTAGACCATTGAATCCTTAACCGCTGCGCGTAAAATAAAATATAGCCTAAACGTGAGTAAGAAAGGGCAAGCGTCTTTTTGAATAAAGGTAAAAGGCAAATTAACAGCATTTGCTCAACGCAATACGTTTAGTCGTCACTAACTATCCAACTTTATAATATAAGGAGTAAAATATCAATGCAGAGAGAATATACGAAATTTACGTCGTTATCAAAGAAAGCAGGTTATATGTTTATACATAACGGTCGCTCTGAATAACCATTAGCCTATAACGTGGTAGGTGGTGGTACTTTTAAACACACAGCTTGAATTACTCTGTAAAAACTAGCATTTTTAAAAATTGTACTCTAATCTAAATCTAATATAAAAATTAAAACAATCTTAAGCAGTATCTTGAGTAATTAAATTTTAAAATTCTATATCTGTACCTATATAAATAATGTACAAAAATTATTTTCGAGTTCGATTCAATTTTAATAAATCTTCTCCATAACTATGCATAACATCTTTCAGGAGCTTGATAGTCGTGACATACGTATGAAATTAACACTCCCTCGGCTGCGGCGTCAGCTTGGGGTCGTACAGCAAGAGCCGGTGTTGTTCGACCGGACTTTGGCTGAAAATATAGCTTACGGAGACAACAACCGCAAGGTGTCCATGCAAGAGATCATTGCTGCTGCTAAAGCTGCTAATATTCACAGCTTTATTGTATCCCTACCCAAGGTAATATTTGTGTAATATTAAAGTATTAATATAGTTAACATAGTCGGGCGATGGATGCATGTTGGTGTTGTGAATGAATTTAATATTCATCTTGAAACTAGAAATTATAATATAACTGTTCTACGGATCAAGGGAATTTACCTAAGACATTTGTGTGTGCCCCTCAATATTTATGTGCTCTTAAATGGTTCCCCCTTCAGGGTTATGACACTAATCTGGGTGCAAGCGGCGCTCAGCTATCTGGCGGACAAAAACAAAGGGTGTGCATTGCGAGGGCTCTCATAAGATCGCCTCGCCTCTTGTTACTGGACGAAGCCACTTCAGCTCTGGATGCGAACAGCGAGAGGGTGAGAATACATGCATCTATTTAAAAAGTTTCAAAAGATACTAATTACTTAAATTACCTCGTATAAATTACTTATTATTAATAAAAGTTATGTTCTGTAATTTTTCAGAGCAATATGAATTTATTTTTATAATTAATAAAATTTAATATAAATTTATTACTTATTAATAATGCTGGGGGTTCAGAGTTGGACTGAAACGCCGGTCATTTACATCTTCATTTTATTGTCGCCAACAAAGAAGCGCACCGCGGCCTACTCAATACCGCTCTAGTGCTTACTACTACCACCGGTGCGATGACTCTCCCGTTGCGCACTAATTTTACAGTGACACGACTGCCAGTGCGATCCATCTCGCTCCAATCACCATTGTACGCGTCCATTGGTGCACTACGCCAACCCACCGCGTACGAATTTACATTACTAGTCACTCCGCGTCACTGTTCACTACTATACTGTCCACTATACTGGTCACTCACTATTACTTCACTTTCCACTTTCTTCTTCCTCTAGTTCCTCCACTGTACTGTCGTATAACGCGCTCCGAGTTATCGACGTATCGTTGACATTTAAGACGCCATCCTCATAATCGTAACAATAATTAATAAATATTGTAAAAATGCGTTTACCATCTCTCCAGTAGTTTCATTCATCTCTCAGAACATAATGACGAAATAACCTCTCTGGAATTCCTTTGAATTTTTAATTATAATATAGTCATAAATTTTGTGCGTCATTGTTTTAATATAATAGGTTGGGGAAAAAGTTTCTTCGCATTTTATATGAAAATTCAAAACATTTTTTAATAAAGTTTACTTATATTTAACTAAAGTATGTAGGTGCCATTTTGTTGTACATGATTGTGGGACATGATCCTATTGCTATAGAAATTCTGGGGCTTCTGATCAAAAAACCGCGACAAGTGGTTTTGGCAGTCCTCTCGTGATGTTTACCTGACACTGCCTAAAGAATTCTGAAGAGACCGAAACAAGTAGAAATCTGAAGGTGCAAGGTTAGGACTATACGGTGGATGCATTAACACCTCCCAGCCAATCTCTATTAATTTTTGATTTCTGAGTGAGTAAAGATGTGTGAGGTCTAGCGGTATCGTTATGACAAACCACACCCCTTCTGTTGATTAATTTCGGCCGCTTTCTCTCAACTTCTTACTTTAATCTCATCAGTTGTTCGCAGTAGGGTTCAGAATCAATGGTCCTGGCTGGCGGTAAAAGCTCAAAATGAATAATGCCCTTCCAATCCCACCATATACACAGCATTATCTTGTTGCGAGATAACCCGGGTTTTGCTAGTGTCTGTGAAGCCTTTTTCGCACGTTCTTTTCGTACGTGATCCAATTTTCATCTCCAGTTATCAGATTTTTCAAAAATGGTTCGGTTTCATTACGTCTTAATAAAGAATCACAAATGAGTACACGGATCAATAGGTTTCATTCAGTGAGCTCATGAGGCGCCCAAATAGCTCATGTGCTTTTTTGTGTACCTAGCTTTTTTCAAATGCTCCAAACTGTTTTGTGGTCAATTACCAGTTCTTAAGCTTCATCGAAACTACTGATATGCCGATCTTGCTCCACTTTTTCAAAAATGGCATCCATTTTATCCGTAACAGGGCGCCCAGAGCCAGGTGCATCTTTGACATAAAAATTTCCGGATTGAAAAAGCTTACACCAAATTTGTGTTACTCTGACAGACACTGCACTAGGTCCCTAAATATCATAAATTTTTTTCGCGGCTTGCGTTTTTTTTTGTAGTAAAATTTTAAAATGTATCGAATTTCTTCATTAGAATCTCACTCATCTTAACAGTAAGAAAAACAAATGAAAATCAGACATTTTATTAATTTGAATTCGGAGTTATCTTTTTTAAAATTTAAACTTTTTAATGATACCAAAACCAGCCAGATACAAATGGTATAGCAAAAGAGATTATTATTATAAGTACATACATACTATCTGCGAAAAGAGTTTTTCCCCAACCTAATATTTTATCACATTTTAGAAAATATTTTATCATATGTTTTAATTTGAATCGAATTACTATTTAATTATAATAATTTTACAGACTTTGATTTTTTAGACTTACAAATGTGCAGTACGATTAAATGATTAAGATAATTATGGTAATCTATGACTATGCGTTTGAAAATTCCTTTATATAAAAGAAACTATGTTTTCATGTTAAGAGTTTTTCTTATTGAAATTCCGGTTTCATTGTTTATAGGCTGTGTCGGAGGCGTTAGAGAAAGCGGCCAAAGGGCGCACTTGCATAACGATCGCCCATAGACTGTCTACAATAAAGGATGCCGATCTCATTTGTGTTTTGGATAAAGGTAAAGCTAATATGACAATAGGGCTTGGATTGTGCTACTAAGTTGGTATAATTCACATTATGGGATATCATTTTATGGCCAGTACAACTAATGCGCAGCTTTTCGAAGAATTCACTGACCAACTAATTCATTAATGTTCCTCAATAACTCATTCAACTCGGGAGACTTTAAATAGTAGACACTTATCCGATCATTAGATTTTAAATTCATTCAACCCATTCATATGCTTTGTGACCTTTACAATTGAACTTTACATTACAGTTTTATATTAAAGGGTGTTCTAAAATTCTTTATTTTGGAAAATTTAATAACTCTGTAAATATTGATGTTTAAAGAATGTAAATGTTTAATACAGTTTTAAAAAGTTATCCTCTATATGTGTATTCATTTACTGTCGCGATTGTAAAGACTCGCTGTATATTTACCTACATGGTACATGTGTAAATATTTAAAATTATATCACGCCCTATCTATTGTAATGGCTGTGTTAACACGATAACTGCTGCCTGACTTGACATACCAAATTGAATTAAATCTCCCCTTGTGCCTGGCAGTGCCGTAGCTATAATAGATGCAGGTGGTGCAGTGCACCAGGGCCCCGAAGCACGGGGGCCCCCTAACCTTTGAACTGAACGGGGCAGCCAGCTCCCAAATCTAGCAAACCTCGCAAGGATGCTCTCAAGAATTTCTTTTAGAACTCTTTATTTATGGCTTTCTACAATTTATAAAGATTTTGTAAGGTTTGGCCTTAATCTTACGATAAGTATTAAGTAAATCGGAAAATTTCCTGCAAAAAGTTCTGCTTATGTCCCACTCAATCAATAAGAAATTAGTTCAAAGAGACTAATATATTCACTTGCTTCTCAGTACATACTTCAAAATGTTGTGTCCATAAAAAGAAAAATAAATTTTCTACTAGGAACAAACATAAATTAATTATACCCACAAACGGGTTCGATTCCCACAGTGTCGACAATCTTTTCGTACTTTTTCTACAAATTTTAATAATAATTATTTTTTATTATACCTTTAAACGAGCAATTCTTTTATATTCATATAAACTGAATCTGGAAAATGGCTCCAACGATTTTCAAGAAATTGGTATGCAGGTGGTTTCGGGCGCGATAAATCGATCTAGATTTCATTATTAGAAAACGTCGTTTTATCCGTTTTTAAGGCAATGAAAAATATCATTAGAATATGAAAGTAAATTTCGCCGCCTACTAAAAAAATATAGTATCTCGGGCGGTACTTCTGCGAACCCGAAATACAGGGTTGCGGTTCGTGTCAAGAGCAATTATGTCCTTATTTTTTTAGGTTTCCAGTTCATTTTTTTCTTTGCTTTTTATTTCTTTTTCTTTCCTTTTTAATGTGAGTTGCCAAGCGAGCAGACGGTTAACCTGAAGTTAAGTGAATACCGCCCCCATGGACATCTGCTACACCCTAGGGTTGCAGATAAGTTGACAACCTTTTGAAAATTGTGCTCCGGCTACCTCACTCACCAGGCGAAACGCGAAAGTATTATATATACTTCCACTTGACCCCGGTCTTCTGTGAGATTGTGGACCTTACCCGGACGAGCCTGCCTATTCGTGCAACAGCCGAGGCTGCTGTGGCCCTACCACCGTAGAATTCGTTTCTTCTTTTGTGAGAAAAGAAAATCTCGGTCATTCAGTACTCTACCTTATATGTGTAAACCAATATGTATATAGTGCTCTGATATCCGGGACTGCCGACATTTTTTAGATAGAGTTAAGCCACATAGTTCACACGGAGTCATGTGATGTATAGAAGCATGACAAAAAGTTCGACCATTGACAAGGAACTTGAAGATGAAATTCGCAAAAAATCATCATTTTGGGGAAAAGTTCTTTGCAGATTATTCGACATTGTAACTACTCTTGCGAAGAATTCTTTGACTGTTATCTACATTGTTTATTAAAATTTCTAAACAATGCTATAAAAACAATGTTTAGAATGCATAAAGCATCTGTTATCATCCTTTACATACAGTGACACTAAATATTTTTTTTTTTTATAATGCTCTGCACTTAAGATGAAACATTAAAATTTGTAGAAAATAGGACGAAATTTCAAATCGAAAGACGAATCAAACCTAGGTGTTCCGGCTTTCTTTTCTCTATAAATTACTGTCAACATCTGTATAGTAAACGTTCCATATCGTTTCCCATTTTCCTTAAACACATAGTGATTCTACTCATCATACGACGTGGTAAGGACTTACTCGTAATAAAGTAGGAATAAGTTCAAGTCACTGTATTATTTTGTTATGTCCATCTATAATTTTGAAGGCCAATCGGTCAATATAATTTTAACTACTTGGAAAAAGGGGCTTTTTCTCTTTGCACCAGGCCCTTGTCCACCTAGCTACGCCACTGGTACTTGGAGTGGTTAAATAAAATAAAATAATTTTTAATAAATCAAAACTGGTCTAAATACTGTAAATTATAGATAACCAGCATTTTTCTTTTAATTTTATTGGGGTTTTACATTAAAGTACATAATTTTTCCGTTAAATTTCAGGGAGAATCCTAGAGCAGGGCACGCATGCGGAACTAATCAACTTAAAAGGCTACTACTGGAGAATGTGCAAGGGACAAAACATGGCATAATTTTTTTTCTTATTTTATTTGGACATCTTAAAACAGCCAAACCACGGCGTAGTACACCAGAGTACACCATCTTACACAGCAGAGACCAAAGGATCGATGACCAAAAAAAAAACGCCAATCTTTGAATACATTTTATTCATACAATTAAGATATACATGTGCCATTAATTTGTAAGTGAAATAATTTTTATATAAATCAATTTTAAGTTTTTTGTAAACAGAGATATCAAATAAATAAAGTGTTTTTTAGGGTTTAATGGATTGATTTATTCACACTAAATATTAACAGTAACGCAATATTTTTTTCGAAATTCCTTAAACTTTTTGGTTTTACCCTGTATTCAAATAGAAATAAAAAAAATTATATGAACTCAGTCTTCGCGATCTGACGCAGCTATTTATTAAATTCGATCAGTTACTCTATGGAGTACAAATTATTTACAATGCTGAACTTTTAGTGGTTGAGAGGCCCGTGCTTCTATAAAAATGCTATAATCATACAGTTGCATCAAATCAAAATACGAAACTTTTCTGGCGAACCAAACACGATAACACTACATCCTCTATGATAGAATTATCATCAGAGGCAAACAAAAACAGTTACGAAGAAATACAATGAGATCAAATAATTAATTAAATATATATTCTGATAAACGTAATTTAAATTTTCCTAAATAGCACCACTTTGTCGCTTAGACCTCAAAAAATTCAGCAAGTAATCTATCTGACGCTATTTTCAAACCAATTCCCTGCTCTGAGCCGTTCAAATCACGAGAAACATAGCATTATCAATATAAAAACATATAAAGTTATAAACAGCCACATAAGACGATAAGAGCTTAAGCCTGTTTGGAAATGAGCCAATACTTACATATCCCAGATAAGCCAGTAACGATGTCTGTGCCACGTGATTATATAGAAAAAACAAAAACTCTTTCATCGATCTAATTCATATTCCGATACTGCTTCGAATTTCCGTTACAGTTCACTGTAATCGAATGCACAAAAAATAACAGTAAAATTAATGAATCCGTAACCACAGACAGAACCAAACCAAGATACTGTGAAGTTTCAACTTTTTTCCATTTCGGTATTTTTCGATATGAAATGGCCATTAAAGTTACATTAAAATTATTATACTAGTTATGCTATTCTCGATACAGGTATTGAATTCACTTAAATGAATAAGATTACATGTGTGCGTGTAACATGAGAAATGCTTTACGACAAAGCGGTACTTTAAAAACTATGATTATTCTGGATTATTTGCTTTGATTTTCATAAATATAACTCGATTTCATACGTGCGTCAAATTGTTTACTGAAACTATAATACCGCAGAAATATAATACCGCATGAGAAGAGAAACATACAGATTCGAAAAATTAAAATTATCTTTAACAGATTTCAAAGATGACAAAAGTTACTCCTTACGGCTAATATTAATAACTGTAGATCCAATGAAAACATCGACTAACATAATTATGATTAAAAATTGTTACAGCTACGTCATAGATATTAAAAATGGGCAGGTAATAGCGCCCCTACAACTGTCACAACCAAGCCTTGCATACGGTTATATTTATATATATATATATATATGCAATGATGCACGTAGCTTATTGTTTGACGTAATCGTCTATAAACCCGACCCATGATTCGGTGAATCTAAATGACACAGTTAAATATTTTTTCTTATTTCTGTGGTTATAATATATTTCGATAAGTTTATGAATTATTCTAGCGTCTCCCAATTTTTTAAGATTTGAAAGTTTATGGAACAGAAGGGGAATTTAAATAAAGACCATATGCATTATAAGTAGCGAAATTTTAAACCAGGGTGTAAGAAAGCGTATTTTAGGATATCATGACGTGAAATTTATTACAAGATATTTGTCTTCTTAACTAACGACATTAATCGTTTCTACTACTGTTCGTCTGTCTGTAACTATCAGAAATCTGCTAAGAAATAAAAGCTGGATATCAATTTGCGAAAAAAAAATACAATGGATATTAAACTGAAATGAATTTAATTATCTGTAATGCTATAAATAATTTGAACTGTGTTTTAATTTATATAATGGACAATACAAATGGCCAACACGAACTAGCAAACGCTTATTGGCTTACGTGATAAATAGCTTCTGGTTTAAAACTTCTTAAATTTAAATATGATTTTGTAAATAAAAAATATGGACTAGTAATAGTTGGGAACGTGTACATAAATAAAGAACAGTAATATCCTAATAAGTATCGAAACAAATGCATATATATTACAGGTACATCAAAGTATTGGATTAAAATTCCTTCCACTTTAGAGAAATCGCCAAAAGCTTTTAGGTACTTTAGAAATTCGAAAGCAAACTTGTCTTTGACAGTCATTTAAATATATAGGCGTAATAACAATATAATAAGTTTCTTTGGTTTAGAACTATGCAAAGTCCTTAAATATCGTTACATTTGAATGTCATGTTTAGTTTAATGACAATTACTGTTACTTTACACGAGAATTTGGCTGCCTTTAAGACATCAAAATAATGGCGACATCAGTATTAATTAAATAAACAACATATTTCATATGTCTCTTATAAATACAGTATACAATGCATACAAATTATGTGAAGAAAAAAATTAAAAAAAATGGGTGTGAAGTATATGACAGAATGTAAAACAACAAACTTCAAATTAAATCTAAAATAAACTTTATACTTTAAGCTTAACATAGATTTAAAATCTGTAAATTTTAAGCAAGCGTACGTACGCTCAAAGACAACAAAATAAACTACATAATATTTAAAACAAAACACTTTGCAAAATATCACGTACGTTTAAAAACATGAATCTTCTTCATATAAAAATAAATTTGTAATTATAACGTCTACAGAGACTAAAACATGAAAATTTACATTAAAATTATCAACATGATGTGGAATTTTAAAATAGGGATGTCCAACACGATGTGATATCGAAATATTGATACAGCACTATACGATATATCGAAATTCAATACGATTTACTAGGAGTAACCAAGTCACAGATAGCTCCTTTAAGATAGATTCTGAGAATCAATATAACCTCACATTATCCCAAGGTTCATACTGACAGAAAATTAACCCAAGGTTCATACTCGCAGAAAGTCGTACAAGTTAAATCCACGCGCTAATAAAAAAATATAAGTGCTGATCAGAGGGAACTGACCAAACCTTTGTATGCATAAAGTTGTCTAAAAATAAATGTACTTTTTATATTAGCTCATTAAAATATTTAAAAAAAAAATACCTTTAAAATTTATCTATGCGATAAGGCTACATTGCGACGTACCAATACAATATACGTTTTGGGCATCCCTATGGCAAATATCATATTAAATTACAGATTCGTTAATTAAACCGTCTGCGATATAAATTTATAAATTTAAAACGAAATTAACAAGCAACTAAAATAAAAAAAATATCCTTTACATTTCGGCGGTACACAACACGTAAATCGGGCGAGCAATATTACCTCATAGCAACAGTTTTAATGTACAGTGTACAATATTATTACTCAAAGTACTATAGTGACAAGGGTACCACAACTATCCTTACTTTCTCATCCCTTTAACTACAACATTTTATCATGTTTGTTATGGATACTCAATACGCATTAAACAAAAAGTTATTTATAGTGAATGTGATTTTTTTGAAGATACTCTCGTTCATATCGCCAACGCATTCATATATTTTGATTACAGAATTGCACAACTAAACTATACACAGCACTTAAATAAAAAATACACAAATGTAAGACTTTTGCATATATACATTCATTGTTGGAATAAAAAAATGTGCTCATATATTCCTTGAAGCAACGGCCCTAAGTTGCATTATAATTAATGACAGTGCAAGGCGAAGGAAACCTAAATAGGACAACCCATTTGACTGAACGTTTGTGCTCTGTGCTTGGCGAAATGCTATGCACTTCAGCCTAAGCAGAGTGGCCAAGGATGACAGTTGACGTCAATAAATGATTACACAATTAACATACGGTAAAAATGTCAAGACGAGTAAACATAAAACTTGCAATCAATACATAAAAGATATATCATTAATGCATTATTTTTAAATAAGTAACTGTTAATTATGTGGCCGTGTTAACATTAAATAGGTATGATATATAAGACACACCAGTGAACATTATAATATATATATATATATATATATGATAATTTAGGAAAGCTGCGGAAAAGCTTGACGGCATTCGTTTACTGCGGCATGTTCTGGTCCATGTGTCCATTGGACGAGTTTGGTGGGTTCTGCTGTTGATATTCAGTGACAGATAGCGCTTGGGTGGTGTCGTATGTTATTTGCGGCGGCATACGATGATTTTGCGGAATCTCTTCGCCCGCCATGTACGCGTTGGGAACCTGGAACATAGCAATGAAAGAAAAATTATAGATTTTATCTTTTATATTCATTAGCCCCTTGAAGATAACAAAACTGTGCATTACCTAGATAATGAACAATTACTGTAGCTCTTCGTACAATGCAAGAGTAGATCAAACGAATAGAGATGTTTAGATAAAAAAGCTTTTAAACTATGTATTAATTAAGTTGAAGGGTTTACTCATTACGAGTTAATACTGATCCCCTGCAAACATTTTTTATGCTGAATAAAGTTTTAAAGATCATGCAAAGTTTCAAAAACCATAAGTTAGACTATCTTTCACATTCAGCATTGTGGAAGCCCGTTTTGATGTCTAATATCGTTACTTACCTTAAACTGACTACAACACTTCAAATCAAATTATGATATTACCCCTTTGCCCAGAAGTTTAATAAGAGTTTTTAAATAAGTTTATTTAAGTATATCTACCGCTAATAAAAATAATATTACGTTGAGTCGATCACAAGCAGCCGTTATCAGACACTTTTATCATTACGCTTAAAATTGTATTCCGTTTATTAATCACACATGTTACTCAAAGTATTCGTAGCCCATACTAAATATTTAAAAAAGAACTAAATATTTAAAAAAGAACGAAGAAGAAAAATATTTAGAAAAGAACTTAAATAATAATAATTTTAGCAACATCACAAAAACGAAAAGAAAATCGGTACAAGCTACTTACCAGCTCCTCGACTCAGGCATTGAACTATGTGCCGAAAGAAAGTACACTGGGCTGTATTCCGGGTGTGAAGTATTTTGTTTAACAAGCAAATGATTATTTGTTATGTGATTGATTTTCGAGATACGAGTTAAATTTGTATTTATTACGACGGTCATATGCTGGAGGTCCACAACAAAAGCAAAAGAATGCCAAGCCATTTTTACAATATTTCGTAAGGCGATTGGCTTTGTTTAAATTAAAACTAAGCGTTTAACATAATTTTATGAAAATTCCATCTTATCTTTATTTTAATAACTTAAATTAATAAATTTCATAACAATAAAATCCTTATTAATAAGTTATAACTTTTAACACTCTAACACATTTTTGTGTTTTTGAAATCTTTATCAATTTTTTTAATCGTTCGTGTCGTGTTTGAGTTTCTTATTTTTAACTCCCAGCGACTGAATACATAACATAATACATTGGTGAAATTTTATATCATGGAAAATTCTTCTACATCTGACAAGACATGCGTTAATTGTCTTTCACATACATATCTTGGTGGTATTTAACAATTAAAATTCGTCCTTTTTTATTATGAAATGAAACCGATGCTTGAAGGAAAACTTCTAGACTACCACAAAGCAAACTAACCCGATGAGGATAAACAAAAAACAGCTTTACAGAGTTCACAGAACAAACGTGCAATGACATGTTAAAGCTAAGAATTTATCGATACTACTAGTAGTAATACATATTGACACATGTACATTTTTCCACATTATATTATATAAACTAGACATAATCAATCAAATCATAAGCCGAAGTCAAAGAGTTACACAAAAACTGTAAAACATTTACAATCCTTATTTCCAAAATTACAATACACGTACACTGCAAGTCATAATTCGCTGGAGATAAATTGTAAAAACTATATACAACAATTTACAATACGGTGGTTCAACTACTACTGTACTGGTTTTTGGCAAAATGTGGAAAAAGTAGATGCGGCAATATGACGCTCGCTGAGCGGAATGTGCGCACATGGGATGTGAAGTGTGCTTGGTGGTCAGTGATTGAGCGCTATAGGGGTTTGCGGCGGTGGTGCAACGCACGAGCGCCGAGCGGTCTTGGTCGGAACGGGTACTAACGTTGATGATCGGCTGAAGGATTCCGAGGCGGGCGAGCAACAGCTGCTCCTTGACCTGGCGCAGTTCCTCCTGCTGGCGCACTATCATCTGCTGCAGTTCCTCGTGCTTGCGCTGCAACTGCTCCGAACGCCGTCGCCGGCTCGCATCACATTGCACCGGCGGAATGGACCGCGCGGCGCCAGGGTATTTGACTCGTTTGCCCGTTCGATTGCTCTTTTCGCTTTCCGGTTCGTCCGTGAGCCGAGTTCGCAAATTAATACGACGGCCAAAAGAAAATGTAAAACGCTACTCTGCTGTGTACTGTACCGACCCGCGCACTGCGCGAGCGGACGCCGGGGCGGTAATGTCTTTGACCATACATTGATGTACTTATGTGTATTGTAGGCGTTATTTTAAACATTAATAAAATAACTGTGTAACTGTCAAATGTTACCAGCTATGTGCTATTTTGAACAATAAAATTTAAAGTATGACAATAAATAACCAAACTGTACTCGCACAGCAGAGTGTAAAAGATTTTTAGTGACTTTGTCATATATTCGTGTTGTGTGCTGAATGTTGTCCATTGAAATGTAAACAAAAAATACTCTAAAACGAATATAATGTAGAAAAAAAGGAATATTTTTGCAAGACAGAAAGGCAAGCAAGAAGAAATAATAATAATAATAATAATATAGTAGTGGGTCAGTGTAAATGTTTCGAGCTTTGTATACTAAACATTCATTACATATGTATAAAAAGCTGCAAATTCCAAAGATTTAACATAATCAAAAAGAAATTTTAAATATTAGTAATACTGAATTTGGTCGACTCAATATTCCCAAAAATTCCACATAAGTGAAGAAGGCGGGGGCTAGAAAAATATAAGAAACATTATTAATTTTCTCATACTTTATCGGAACATAAAACATGCGTCAATACAAACTATGGCCGAAAGAAGTCAAATACCCTGTAAAATGGACGAAAATAAAAAGGATACGCGATGTTTTTACGTTTAAAACGTCTTAAATCGCATTCGTTTATATTTGCATCTCTAATAATAATAATTTTGTAAATATATTTCACTAACAGTGTACGTGTAATTAATTTCAACATAACCATTTAGTGTAATGTTTTACATACAAGTGGAATAAATTCACATTCTTACTTCTACTCTCCCTCTCTTTCTCTCTTTATTTCTTAATTTCGATGATAAAAGTCACGAGTTTCTGTCACATATTAAACCCGTTTATATTTAAACATTTCAATATTTATTTTATCGCCTTCATTCGGAACCAAATCCGATTATAAATTCGGACTAATAGAAAACGCATTGCACAACTTTTTTTTACTTTAGCGTGTTTAGTTGTGCCTAAAATTTTCTTCCATGCCATACCCAAACTCCGCCAGAAAAAGGGCACAATTCAAACAACCTACTTAAAGAAATCGTTTGTGTTCTCCCGCATACTTTAGGACCGTTGTCTCAATATTCACCGTGTCGGACTCGTTCGCGAAAGATGCATTTCGGAATCATAAAAATCGCAAGTGTCACGTAAAACTCTTAACCCGCGGCCAGACTTATTTATCGACTTACGTTGTGTACACATTAAATATAGCAACGTGTATGGTACGGGCGAAGTTTTTGCTCACCTGAATTTGCGCCTGGTCCGGGGATACAATGACGGGCAAGGGAGGTAGGGAAACCGGGAGGACCGCTGGGACCATGGCGTTCACATACGGCGCCGGCTCCAAGTATTGGGCCCCTATACCGTGGTGCGGTATCAGAGTCGTATCAGGGGCCTTGTGCGTCTGCGGGAGCATCATCATGTTACCATGATAAGGTCCATAAATGTGGCCTCTTGAGTTCGCCACCGGCATTTGCTATCGGATCAGAAAGACACTTGATGTTTACACAGTACTTTTCAATACAAACGAAATATCTATTTTCCATAATTACAAAAGCTGTAATGACGACGTTAATTAAGGTTGTCATTACTACCATAATATAGATATTATATTATAAAGTATCGTACTATATTTTAGACAGTTGTATTATGTATATTTTTCTACTTTATATGTATGAAAAAATAATATAGTACGAAATGTCATTGTTAATTCAATTGTTACACTGTTTTGTCTGTAATATCTACTACGTGGCGCGGAGAACTACAGAGCAAAATTAACGACGTTGATATGTTATTTTACATATTTTGTCATATACATCAATTGTCCTAGCAACTAAATATCAATTTATCGCTGAATACCGCCTGATTTTCAAGGTATTGTAAGATTTTAATTTGTAAAATTGTAAGATTTTAAAAAATATGAAAAGCGTCGATAGTTGCAGCTCTTAAGAAGCAAATAAAAGAAAAAATATTACAAAAAAAAGTGGCAAACTTATTGTTAATTAATATATGTGGTGGTTACACATATATATATTGATATATAATTAATATATATATGAGTGTAAACTGTAGTAGAGCCACGCAGCCGCCTCGGGTGTTGCACGAATGGGCAGGCTGTTTGACAAATATTTTCGCGTTTCGTCTGGTGAGTGAGGTGGCTGGAACCCAATTTTCCAAAGGTTGTCAACGCATCTGTAAACCTCGGGTGTAGCAGATGTTCATGGGCGGCGGTATTCACTTAACATCAGGTGAACCGCCTGCTCGCTTGTTGACTTTTCACATAAAAAAATGGATAAAATTATCTGCCTCTAAAATAAATCACATGATAAACAATTAAACAAGTCTTTCTTTCATTATATTCACAAATTTCGTGTATCGTGGAAAAGGGCTCATAAATTTTGCCTTTTGAACAGGTTAAGGTTTTAAATTAAACTTTATACTAAGGTCGTTCTTCTTCCAAAAATAAAACTGGAGCCGATCAGTCTCCCTCTCTCGGAATGTGTTTTTGTTTTAGAAGATTATGATGAACATCCTGACAGACTGTGAAAGTTGTCCCCCGACGAGCTATGATGAGCCCATCTCTGAAGTTGTGGATGTTCATACGTTACGCAATTCACAGGCCCACTGAATACCAGTGCTGTAGTATGGTATCGACTGCAGCATTAAGCTGAGTTCGGTGCGTTTGCCGTATACGCCACACACACATAGGTAAATTATAATACTGATGTGCGCCTCATAATAAGAAATAATTATTCTTATGTTTGCAGTGTGAATGTACGTACTTAAACAGCTGGACCTGTTCAATCCATATATGGCGTATTTGTGATATAATTTTTTCTTCCTTTCGTTGTCGATACGAAATAAATTCTCCAGAAACGGAAATGTTTCGATTACAAACCTAACACTTATGCAACGGACGGTTCGATTACTTTGGCCAATTCGAGGATGAGCAGTGGAGTGGGATGAGGAACTTGAGGGAACGGTCGGGGGCGCAATGAGGGTTCGGTTCACCTCGCGGGTGGTCACGCCGTTCCTGAGGGAGGAGCGCGACTCTGTGGACAGCGAGGCGGTGTCGGTGCCGGCGGCGTAGCGCACTCGCGAGTTGGCGGCCCACGAGGCGCCCGCGGTGCCCGCGGTGCCGGCCGTGGCCACGGTGGACACGGTGCCGCTGACGCTGCCCGCCGACGCGGACTTCACGGACGCCGCCTGCCGCCAAGTCGGCCCGTGACCTTCCCGCGCCAATGAGGCGGAGCGCGGGTGGAACGCGCAAAGGCCTGCCCGCCGCCGATTCGTGTTCGTGTTCATTTCACTCACACTCACACACATACACACACACACACACACACACACACGTGCGGAGAGCATGCAACTTCCTCCGGGGCAAGCGGGTGTTCGTGTTCATCTCATTCAGACACGCTCGTACGGAAGGAAGTAGAGTAGATAAAACGCGCAAGCGTTTGCCCGTCCCCTTAGGGTTGGCAGCGCAACGGCGGTGATCCCTTTCTTTTTATTTATTTGTATAAGAAATAAAGTTTACACACATATTAAACTGATACAAACAAACTCATAAAAGTTTTACCGTGTAACAGTATCATCAATTGTCTATACATAGTTACTACCATAAGTCACAAATATCCATTTAACATAACAAGATGAGTAGGTACTAAGTGAACGAACATCGGTGACCGCTCTGGCCGCTTTAGTCAGTATAAAAAACAATAAACAACATACAATGTATTTATTTTATTCTGAATTTTCCATATTTAACTATTAATATTTTGCAAGAAATGTTATTTTAGCTTGTATTTTGTCTTTGTGACGTATTTTTACTATTAAGGATTTGGGCAGTTAGTTAATAAGGTAGGGTAAGTATAATTTCTATATTTTGGAAGCAACAACTTTGCGTTCGTGACACTTCGAGTCTTAATTTCGTTATTATGTGATGTTTTAATTTTGTGTAGATTACTATTGAAAAATTCTTCAGTTAACAATATTACTTTAATCTTTTTATGTATACTTTACAGAATTCAAATAGTTAATAGTAATAATTTTTAATTTTTAATGTTAATTAGCACTATTGTTTTTGGTATACGTAATTGGAGAATATGTATTTGTTTGTACCAGGTGAGTTTTATATGTCCTGCCGTAACTCGACAGTCGATTTCGGCTAGTGACTTATAAAGTAGTAAACTTCATGAGACCATGCTCAAATAACCAGATCGTTAAAAAGAACATAATGGAGTGTACGATATAATTTCATAACAGCTTTTATGAGCGTGCGTTTCGAAATGAAACAAGACTAAATAATTCCAATTGTTATTCAAAGTTCATTGACCCTGTTCAGGTAATGGCCAAAGAAAGAAAACAAACAAACGCATACACTTAGTATCTGAATGATGGTTTGATCCTATTGATTGTACTATATTGCTAACTAGCGACCCGCCCCAGTTTCGCACGTGTGCAACTTATCATACGTACAAACCTTCCTCTTGTGTCACTCTATCTAGTAAAAGAAACCGCATCTCTCAGTTGCGTAGTGTTAAAGATCTAAGCATACACAGGGACAGAGAGACAGCGGGACGACGTAGTTCTGTACTATATAGTGATAACTAGAAGTTAATACACTGTACGCAGGGCTGGTGGAGGCTTAACGCACCTGCGGCATGGTCGGATAGGAGCTCCCGAAGGGGTCGCGCACCTCCGAAATGTAGCTCGGGGACAACTGGGCCAACGCGTCCTCCACGGGCAGTTCCTTCATCACGGGGCAATTGTCCACCTCGACCTCGTCCACGGCCTCCGGCTCAACGTTCTCCACCTTTGGGCACTGGGCCATGTCTGCGTAACTGCACACAGAGCGCGCACAACCGGACCACATCCTTACTTCCTTACTAATATTATAAAGGCGAAAGTTTGTATGTATGGATGGATGTTCGTTACTCTTTCACGCAAATACTGCTGAATGGATTCTAATGAAACTTTACAATAATATAGCTCATATATCAGAATAAGACATTTTATGTATATCTGTCTTTCTGTTTGAATGTTACGCCCTCAGTCTATTCTCCGCAGACGTAGTCACGGGCAGCAGCTAGTACAAAATAATATTCGACGAGCCGCCATTAGGGGCGGGGGGGTTAAGGGGGGAGGATTGGGAGGGGTTAAACTATGTTTACTGTAAGGTAAGACGCCGTGGGGCATACTGAGATATCCCTTTAAGATCCACTAACAAAAATAACCGCATAGACGGGTGGAAAGATCGTTTGTATTGAAGCAGATACTCATGTAAATTGCTGGATGTATATTAGTTGAGGGTGTATGGGCTACGTGCTGTTAATGGGTACGGGTGTTTTGTTTTATTAAAATTCGTAATAAAGTTGCAACGGTCACCTAACGACGCGATGCGTGCATACAACGAACTCCGGTTTCGAATTCCACTGGTGATAAGTTATGAAGAACCGCGTCTGCAACCAGATCCACTGCTGTCCCTTGGTGAGGAAACGATAGTAGCACGACGTCAGTTCACCCTTCTGCATCACTATAAATTGAAAGTTTGAATATGAAATATAAAAATGCGTTTAATAGCACAAAAATAATATTTACATATAATAAATAATCACATAATAAAAGAAGATAACTTATGTAAAATCAAAGACCAATAATGAAATTATTTGAGTTACATAAATCAGCGTTTCTAAAGGGATTTTAAGACAGAATCAGTAAACGTATACATGCAACACTTCGTCATAGTGGATAACTTATTGCATTAGGTACCTTTAGTACGAATTTTCTTAAGAAAAAAATTGTAACAAAAGGAATTTTCATTTGCAACGTGATTCGGGCTAAGTTGAGTGACGGCTTACGGTGAAAGTAATCACTTACACTTCTCGTGACAATTTACGACTTTCTCGAGGTCGTCAAAGTGGTAGTAGTCGTAGGCGGACGTGCCCAAGACCTCGAAGGGCAGGTAGCCGATGATGGGAGGCGCACGGTGGTCCAGGAACAGGAACTTCCACTCGAGGCTGTGGCGCGACGTGAACTCGCTGCGGTTACACGCCGCTAGGGACACGTCGCGGAGCAATTGCGGCGTGTACAACTTTCCCGTACACACGAACAGCAAACTGAAACAACAATGGTGTTGACAAATTGCACATTTTGATGGGTGCCCCATTCATTTCCCGTTTAAAATGATACCGCGGCGCAGAAACAAACTGGCAGTATCCATGGCCCCATTATAACCGTTTATTTAAGAGGTCTAACATAAAAATGAATGAAAACTAACATAAAAACTCGCCTACCGCTTCGAAGCTGAAAACTGTGATGTAAAATATTTTCGGACGACTTCAATCCAAGGCTGAGCCGAGTAAACTGACGGTCAAATCAGAGATCCAAGTTGGTACTTGGTCATTTATATACCTCTTAGATTCGGCCGTCCTGCTCCGTCGTACCAAGTGCGCAGCCGCTGAATACATTGTAAGTACCTCACAGTTATCACAGTACCTTTAAAATTTAAGCAACAAATTTATGACAATAATATCATCCCCGAAAAGCAGATAAAATAATAAATTGACATTGCTGGAGACGAAGCGCTTGTTGTGCCAATCGGTAACGTTTTCTCATAATTTGTAAGTTGACCATGTATAATTAATTATGGTCGAATTTCGACCACTGGGCGACCACTAGTAAAATATTAATCCACGTGTCTTCTTAGTTATTTTTCAAATTTTCTGAGCTTAGAACTAAGTTATAAAATGTAATATTAAGAAGGCTCGAATCAACTCAATTAGGTCAAATGTTCTTTATATTTAGGTAGTGTTGTGTGTTAGAAAATTTTATTCGACCTTGGCACGAACGATTTCATTTTAAATGTTCTAATCGTACAGTAAGTTATGGCATATACACATGCATGTACACATTCGAAGAACCAATAACCATTGGGGTAGAAAGATCCTCGAGTGGTAGCCGGGTACTGATCGTCGTAGTGTAGGATGACCCCTCACTAGACGAAGTGACGACTTGTGCAAGTTTGCGGGAAGTCGATGGATGCAGGTGTCTCAGGATCGTGCTTCGTGGCAGTCTGTGGGGGGAGGCCTTTTCAGCAGTGGACACAAACAGGCTGAAATGATCATGATGATGATATTAAACTCTCTTTTTGTTGGGTCATTCGTATTCGATAGCACATCATTATGATTATTACGGGAAGTGGGTTTTTTTTCTCTTTATATCCTATACATGATATAAAGAGTATTACTGAATGTAAAATTAGATGAATATCGGACCTATTTCTTAATAACTAGTAACATGGTTTTTATTATGTTATCTAGTGTGACAAAGAAGTAGAATTTGTTTGTTTTTTTTATGTGTTTATTGTGGTAGGGCCACGTAACAACTTCGGTTGTTGCGCGAACGGGCAGGTCCGACTGGGTATGTACCACGACTTCGCAGCGTGAATTGGAAGAGCCACAGTTCGGCGATTCGTCCGTGGAATTAACACGCCGAAGTAGTGTTATACTTTTGAGTTTCGCCTGATGTGTGAGGAAAATGGGGCAATGCAACTGCAACCCCCGTGGATTGTAAATATAAATCATCATCATCATCATCGTTTCATCCTGAGTCCACTGCTGAACATAGGTTTGCGGGAAGTCGATGGATGCAGGTGGCTCAGGATCATACTTTATGATCTATGGGGGAGGTCTATGATCAGCAGATATACGTGGACAGCGATAATCGCTTGACATCAGACCTCCTGACCTCCTGCTCGCTTATGAACTTTTCACATTAAATAAATTATTGCGGCGAAATTTAACTAAAATATTTTTTTAAATATATTGAAATTAAGTTATATTAGGGGTTGTAGGCAACGCGTTATAATTTTAATTTATATAATTAAGTTTTATGTTATATTTTATGTTCATAATTTTGTATCTAGTTTAATAATTTTGTGTTTTTTGTTTATAACGTAATGTGTAATTTTGTATTTTTATTTCCCTTTTTTATATGGCAACTGCGAGAGGGCGCGCGAACGTTACTTTTTGAATTTAAAATAAATACGGGTACTGTCTGTCATACGTTCTTCTTCTTTTTCCGTGCCCGCGCTCTGCTAAGGTTTACTGTGTCCACATAACTGTCCTAAGTTTTAAATTGTATTTGTACTTTGTTGCAAATAAAGAACTGTTCATCTCAGTGCACCGAATTTGACTGCGAAACTTCCTTGCAGGGGTTATATTGAATAACAGGGAGATAATAATAAGGCAAAGTGGAGTAAACAAGCATACCGTGTTATTTGACATTGTAATATCCTGCACGATGAATACTGTATACGTAAATCAAAAATGACGAAAGGCGTAGGATCGAGGCCTTTATGCCTAACGATGTGCTTATTTGTGTGTGTGTGTTATCAATGCAATAACAATGCTGTCTAGTTGCGCAAGTGTTTTGAAAGTAAAGAAGGCAATAAAAGTGTATTAATCATAAAGGCGAAAAGTATAAACGCGCGCAAGCATTTAAGCTTCGTGGGGAGATCTATATACTATATCTCTACGATTCAATATCGCGACTTTAAGATAAAAAATCGAAATCCAAGGTGTCAACTTAGTGTTTCGAGCGATAGCAACAAACAACAATAGATTTTAATTTATTTAGAACTTATAGACAGACTAGAACAAGGGCAGAATAAACTTTTATGGCATTTTATACCAGTCAATCTTAGAGTGATGCAGAGAAAAATATAAAGAGCTGAAGTTGCATGACACATAAATAGCAAAAATAAAATGCATATTAGAAATTAACTGAAGTAGGTCCACGCAAGTCTTTACTGTTGCACGAATGGGCAGACCCATCCGGGTAAGTACCACAACCGCACAGAAGACCGGGCGTGAAGTGGCAGTTTTATACTTGAATGAATTAATGACACACACCAAAAATAAAACAAGCAAAAATTAAAACTTAATATAACTAATATATTAAGTTATAACTATAACCGGCCTTATTACTAAGAGTAATTTCTTCCAGGCAACCTTTGGATGGACTAAAAAGATGTAATTTAGGAATAAAGGTGTTTGTTAGTTAAATAAACGAATGAAAACAAAAATGATGAGCCGTCACAGTACGCCTGGCAGATGTGAAACATCGACATTATTTTGTAAAAGTAATATGCAGAAAAGAACAGATTGTGATAGGAACTAAATATGTCATAATGATAAAATAAAATATTACGATTTTTTTCCAGATAACGATGACTATTTATTGAATAAACATTTATTTTCATTAAATACAAAAATTTACGAATTTATTTCAAATCGTGACTACTTAATTCGTTTAATCAGTGACTTCGGTAATAGTACACACAATTAATTAAAGTTAATTTAATTAATTAATAATTAATAAATAATTATTGACAATTAATTTAAATTTGAGTAATTAATCGTACACACTACTGCATATAGACTGTATATATATACCATCATATAGCGTGGCGACGCGTCGCCACGGCATGCGTCGCCACGCCAGAAATCGCTTTTACGTGCGGCTATAGATGATTCACATCAAAATATTTATCTACAATCATAATTCATATTAATAAGATATTTATAAATATATAAGTAAATAAATAAATGGGTATACAAAAGGCTAACAAAATATATACATATAGGTACACATTTATATACATATACATATCAATATATACAAATACATATATCATTTTTAGAAAATAACATTACAGAGATAAGTAATTACTTTGCTAATTACCTTATACTTCCGCGTTTCCTCTACTGAGTGAGGTAGCCGGGGCCCATTTTATTAAAAGGTGGTAACACATCAGCAACCCTACGGTATTTGTAGATGTCTATGGGCAGCGGTTACCACTTAACATCAGATGAACCGCCAGCTCGTTTGCCAACTTCTCAAGAAAACGAGAGTAAGCTTATATAAAATATGACGTTCGTATCGTATCACGTTCCAGAAAACGAGACTGCGAGTATTATTATTATTTATTATAAAACCAAATTGAGGCACGTTTTATAAGTAGGTTAAAGATTAAGAAGCCATAGAGATTAAAAAACTTCGTCCTGTGGCGAAATTTGTTTGCAAGCTTTCGGCAACGAAGTTCATGCGTCACACGGCCCAGGAACGTGACCATATTTCCTGTGATATTTATTTTGGAATCAGTAAATAACATTCGATTGGGTTAATTATTCCAGAAAGCAGACCTTTCTTTTCCCAATGTGTTTTCCGCGTAAGACAACGGTCCTAACCAATGATATTATGTTATACATATAAGAGGTAGATATGACACGAAACTGAAGCACTGAAATCACGCCAATTGGTGAAATTAGATTGCAATTCTATAAACTGCTATCTCCTTCCGTATCATACGTTCTATTTCATTTGTCACAATCATTTATATATGTCATATAAATTACATGATACTAGGGTGCCAGACAGACGTCCAGTATAGTGCTCACCTGGAATTATGATCTTGTTGATAGCCCGACAGGCCCCCCGCGTCATGGTGCTCCATGTTTGTACCTACGGATCGAATAAATTAATAAATTATTATACATTTAACTATTTAGTACAGTATATATCATTCGTATGTACACTACTGGGACGAAAACTTAACGTATGCTGCCTAGCGATTAGTGAGACAGTGAAAAATGATGAAACAAAATGGCGGCAATCACATTCTCAAGGTATTTCTCAATAATTTCTACACAAATGTATATAAAAGTATCGCACACAAATCCAAATCAATATTTCCCAAATAACTTAAAAGGTCATCTTATTTTACGAAAAGGCAATAAGATTGTCGAATGAAGATTATAAATCAAACAACCGAGGTCCTTACTGCGGTCAATGACATAAAATCAAATGTAATCGCGTCCACTGAACGACGGGACGAGATATGCAGTTTATTCATTTATCGTCCGACACCTCCGCTCATGATCGTTTCGACTTTGTACACCTTGGTCCCTCCCAAAGACGGAAGACTGACACGTTGATTGAATATAGTTCTTATCAAAGGAAATCTTCAATTTAATGTATAAATAAATTGTTCTTAAATGCTTTTTAATAAGTTCTCGCATATTCAGGCGGCATTTATTTATTTATTATTTATTTAAACTTTCTGTACAAACATTTATGTACAAAGGCGGACTTAATGCCATCAGCATTATCTCCCAGTCATATGTATAGCACATTTCAAAAAAGTACTTTGCTTCTACGAAGCCTGTGGAGTCCTAGCCCTTCTAGGTCTGTGCCCCAGGGGGCTTTTTAGTCAATGGACTGTAAGGTCGTACATAAATAAGAAAAACATGAAGACTGCCGAAATAAGCAAAATCTTAAAACTATGGGATTTTTTCTTTATCAAACTAGAAAATATCCACATCTTTTGCGTTGTTAATTAACTTATAATATTTACAAAAACACACACAACTGAACACGTAGTGCTTGTTTTTAGAACTTTAATAAATTGAAATTAACCAAAAATCTCAAAATATTTTTCATAAGAATCGTGTCAAAGAAAACTTAGAAAAATTAATTGATGTCTATTCAGTAGCTTTCCGTGATGCGCGCACATTATGGTAGACCTCTATTAGGGTCAAATGATAAAATTTTATGTTTTTTAATTTAATGTTTTCATGTGCCACGTGTGATACTTACAGGAAGCTAGCCGATAAACTATTAACATTAGCATTTTGGTTATGCTTCGAAGTTTCTAACCGTCAAAAAATCACCCATATCGTCTGTACAAATTTTCACTAAGCGAAACAGTGTTAAGGATTTGTGCCCGCAAGCTTTTTCTTAGCAAGCAAAAGCTGCTTATATTACGAAACTGAAAAATAAGAAAATGCGATCACTTACGAAAATGTCCACTGAACTGGATAAGCTCGTATCTGTTTTCATCTGTGAAGTTCAGGCTGTTGCGGCGTATATGGCACCGGAACCTGATTTCGTTCTCTACAACAGACGCCATTTTAAAGACCAATTTAAAATTACATCAGTTAGATTATACGAAATTAAAAGCGATCTAATGAAATTGTCACTAGCAATTCCAAGTGCCGATTTACGTGGTCATCAGTGAAGAAAAAAAAAGTCGATGTCATGCAAAGTCCGCCAATCTACTTTTTTTAACTCCAATCTTTGTACAAAACCCCTTTTGTACAGAGATTGGAGTTAAAAAAAGGCTCCTCTTTGCCCGGGAAATTGGACATATGTGGGCTGCACATTACTTAACTTTTTTGATTTCGTTAACATTTTTAATTACTTCATAAAATTCACATTATTTCATTGAAGCTTGATATGAGATTTTTGCACATATACTACATAAGTGATGTAGGCGAAGCAAAAATAAAATCGCTTATTACTATTTGGATATCGCGCAGACATTTTGTTGGGAAATGTTTGTTAAGTTGTGATATCGATACATTAATTATTGACATTTAGCGGATTAACTATATTTAAGTGGTAAACTTTTGTTCAACGTCTAGACGTTATCAGGCTGATGATGATGAATGAGAAGCCTGGTTTTGGTGCGCGCATCCACTATCAAGGTTTCTGTGATACCAAAAGAACAAATTCAAAATTTAGACGTTAGTTGCACGTTTTTTATTTTGATATTTATAAAAATTACATATTTTAATATTTTTTAGAGATTGAAAATTCGCCAGCATTACTCATCGGGCATATAATAGTAACACATATATCACAAAGCATCGCATTAGCTTCCTCCCCGCCGAAAGAGCCAGGAAAATAGAATATGAAAAAGATTAATTCGCAACGCAATTTGACGTTGAGCTTGGAACGGAACGGAACCCAATTATTGTGTACGATTATCGTGTGATTTCACACGATAATTGAACTCAATAATTGGGTTCATGTGCAATGTCAACGGCGGCGCTTAATTTGGAAATTTCGTTCTGAAATTTCGCCAGTGCGCTCGTTGCCCCGAGGCGAATATCCGATCGATAACTAGTACTTAAATCTTCGGTTCACGTGTCCTATCGAAAACGTGGCTCCAGGGTCGACTTAATAGTATCAATGCCGTATACAGTGACAATGTTGCTACGGACTCTGTTCTTTTGAAAATTCACAAATTTAAAACAATTAAAAGATTTAAGCGTTTCATTTAGCAAAATGATACTTTCTGACTATGACTAACGTAAATGGTGCTTTTCCATGAATATTGATACAATACTAAATAAATTGCACCTAGCAAATCGCTACTCGAATTTTGGCTTTAATATTTTCGATTAATTTTTGCCAAAGAATAATAATCAGATATTTTTTATTGCTATCACGGTCCAGTAAACATACATGTTATGCAAATTAAAATGATACGCATGAAAGTCAAATCGCATATATTTTTATTACATTATTTACAACTTAAAATTGTCAACATTTATTTTAACTGCTCTGCTATACATATATCCTTTGTTTATAAACCAATATCCCTTATTTTTTAGTTTAAAATTATGATTGAATTTAGACCAGCAGGCATACAGACAATATTTCTTTGGCCTAATGTTACAATGAAAGCTTGCACCAGTTAAAAAAAATAGTGAAATGGCTAGCAGAGGCAGGACCACATACAAAATTTTGTATACATGTAGAGTAGTTATGTAGAATTTCCAATTGTGATAAAAGCCAGCCATATTTGTTCTCTAAATATGTATTGTCATAACTCCCTATTTTAGGGTTCCCTACCCAAAGGGTAAACCGGCCTAATTACTAAGAGTCCGTTGACGGTCTAACCGTCTGCCTGTTGAGCCGCCATGGTTAGACAGTTGAAATTTTTACAGATGGTCTATTTCTGTTCCCACTAAAACAACAAATACTAAAAAATAGAACAAAAAATATTTAAGTGGGTTTCCCATACACCAGACATGATTTTCTTGTCCGTTTTAGAGTCCGACAGGACTTGGCCAGTTTTTTTATGCAGAACATTTCCGATAATATCTTCTTGTTTTTGTTGCGAGCCTGGTCATTTTCTCCTGTCTTTATGCCACTTAGTCGGGGCCTGCACAACATGTCAATAATTTTGGTAATGGTATTAAATAGGTTTTTAAAAACCAAATGCCCACCTGACAGAAAACCTTCTTTGGAGATCCCAGATTGGAACTTTTATCTATGGGTCACTCAAACACTTGTTCCCTTGTGGAAATTAAAACCAAGAGCAACAAGAATAGCATAGCAACTGCACCACAGTCATTGCCTGGATATTTTATAGCCAGTACAACCACTGCATCTGTCTTTTCTAAATTCTCTATCTACCTATATCACATAATTTAAGAGAAACTTGGTATTTATATAATAACTAACTATAAGTGAGCCCCTTTTTGTATGTCTAAACATTTCAATGAAATGTTTAAACATTGTTTGAAACAAGAATTTGAAGCTTAATTTCATACAAATTACTTAATAATGTAATTATTTTTAAAAACATTATCCTGTGTTTTTAGGATGTTTTACATCAACAATCAATTTCAAGTGGACAAGCATTGAGATATGAAACAACCATTTGTGGGTCACACTATTAGTTTTCCCATGTGGGAATCGAACTAAGAACCCCTGACACCGAAGCCTCTGTGTCCATATTATCTGACTGTAGTTTATAATTGTATTGAGTATTGAATAGTATTATTGTATTGAGTATTATAATGAGGTCGTAGTTTCGACTTTAATTCTAACACTATAGTGGATATAGGATTCCTGTGAAATAATTGGCAAACACAAGATAGTCTTTAAATAAATGTAAATAGTCAGCTCAGCATTATCAAATAACAATGCTCAACAGAAAAAATCTCCATGGTATAAACGCAATGGTATTTTAACACTAACCTCTGCTTGTAGATGGTGTAGGATCATTTGCGGTTGGTGGATTTTGTACAAGATTGAATAAGTTAGGCCGATCCTCTTCTAATGTTAGGTCAAAAATATTTTTATTCGTCAAATCAGCCTAAAATAAACAATGACGAATGAGTTAAATTATGTTTATACAAAAATAAAACTTAATCTTGTTTTAATTTTTAATTGCATTAAAATTTACCGGACTATGCCCTAACAAAGATGTAACACTCTCTGACACATAGTAAATTTGTCCTGTTGTAGAGAAGACCATTATAAAGCCTTCTAAAGCCTCCAGGATCAAATAAGTAAACTCTTCATTTGAAAGAAAGGCTGGTTTCCAGTCTTCTTGAACATCATGGGCTCTGGATCTGACGGTAATTTCTAAAAATGAAAAAATAAATATTTACTTTTTATAAGACGTTTTATGTACAATTGTGCCTCACCAACGTGTTATTAACAATTGTTAAGAAGTTTATTAAACATTTTTATTTCTTTCTTTTTAATAAAAACTCTCAGAATTTGCTTCAAATTATACAAATTGCTTATGATGACAATCATTGCTTTAAGAAACAAATAGCTAGTGATTTTGAAGCCCTCAATTAAGTATCCCACAATTTTGGCTGCAATGTCTTGCAAGTCACTTTTCAAATTGTTCACATCCTCTGAGCAAGAAACAAGTTTGTGGTGGTATCTGCATCTTTATGAAAATTACGTTTTCATAAGTAAGCAAGATATCTGTAGTTTTTTCAGTAAATAATGGGAGCAGTGTATAACAGGAAAAACAAGATGCAAGTAGGTTTCACATAATTCTAGTGGCGAAAATTGCTTCTTACACTAAACTTTCTGATATATCAATTTTATAATTACCATAAATATAATATACATTAAAATTTGCATAATTGAAGACTGGATTTACGAATTATACATATAATATATAAATATTGCATCCATGGCCCTTGTCACTTGAAATTATCTCTAAATAACTTCACTTTGGTTCTAGTCTCAAATATGTTATAATAGCTGCTGCCCGCGACTACGTCTGCGTAGAATAGGCTGAAGGTGTAACATTCAGACAGAAAGACAGATATACATAAAAATATATATTAATAAATAGCCTATGTCTTATTTTGATATATAAGCTATATTATTGCAAAGTTTCATTAAATCTATTCAGTAGTATTTGTATGAAAGAGTAACAAACATCCATCCATACATACAAACTTTCGATTTATAATATTAGTAAGGGTTATATGTGAACAGGATTTATAATTTCTTTCTAAATTCCATCATATAATTTAAAAAATAGTATTAGCATAACACCTGTGTATATTTTGAGTCTCTTTTTTTTTAACCAAGCAAGAATTTTCTAAGTGGTATAACAATATTCTAAAAGTGTTATACAATTGACAAATCCAATGATTATTATAAGATTTATTAAATACTTGTAATATGACTTGAAAATATGTTAAATCTTTTGTTTTTGTAAATATGAATATGGGGTCCTTCCTCTCTGTATTCTAAAAATATCTAAGAATATGTACATTTAAGAGAACATTTTATGTATACCAACCATTATGATTCTTCAGAAAAGCAATTGTGGATTTAAGGACTGTCGACTTGTCCATTTTCCGGTTGTTAGAAGAAACCATGGAAGACAGTTCATTGACAAGCATATTGAACGTGTCACGTCGCTTCTTTTCACTTAAGTTGCGCGTCCTCCTGTATAATATGATATGCCATTAATATATATTATACAATTTTATCTGCCTTATTGGAAACAATATTATAATTTATTATTATTGAAAACAATATTTCATAGAATTTTATACATTATACAATTTTATCCGCCTAATTGGAAACAATATTACTATTTACGGTGGTGGGGCCACGCAGCAGCACGAATGGGCAGGCCTGTCCGGGTAAGTACCACGACCTCACAGAAGACCAGCGTAAAGTGGAAGTATGACAAATACTTTCGCCTTTCGTCTGGTGAGTGAGGTAGCCGGAGCCCAATTTTCAAAAGGTTGTCAACGCATCTGTAACCCTCGGGTGTGGCAGATGTCCATGTGCGGCGGTATTCACTTAACATCAGGTGAACCGTCTGCTCGTATGACAACTTTTCGCATACAAAAAAAATTATATTATTACCATTATTAAAAAACAAGATAAGACTTTTGTACAGTCCGATGAAGTATTTTCTATATGGCAATATAAAGAAGCAATATTGATAATATAGGATAGGAATTGTAAATGTTTCTGTAAACTTATTTATGTAATTTAACCATGGCCCACTTTTTAATAGTTAGGAACACATATTCACTCATCAGGTGTTGTAATGCCTCGGGCAGGAATATTGAAACAGCAGATATATAACACTTATTATCAACCCACCTTGAACTTGCTAACTTAATAATAAAAATATATAAATATAATATTCTAGAAGTTTTTTAATAAATAAGAATCTAGAATCAAAAATAAAACCAATATTTTACTTGAAGAATAAGGCATAACAGGAAATAAAGTGGTTTAATTTGTAGTTGGTCATTGTTGTCATGTTTATTAACTTTTCTCCGAAACATGTTAACAATTTATAATGTTTGGGTATCAACACATTCTCACTTACAATAATACAAATTATCCTTTGATTTTTGATTAAATATATATTGAGTATAATAAGATTTAACAAGACCGCATTTATCAAGTTATTAGCTTTGTGCCATTTCAAGTCATCAATTTATTTTTTTATAATTTTAGTAATTAATGGAATAAAATTGTAGAAACTAGTAATAAAATTAATTAGAGAAAAAAACACTGTAAATAGCATTAAAATGTGGTATTATTCATTTCTGTAACTCCCACAAATAAGGAAATTGCAGACACTAAAATGCAAATGATTTTTTGTTATGTTTATCCCAACTATTTATCAAAATCTAAAAAAAAAATTACCAATGCCACCATGTCAGGGTACCAAAATGGAGATCTGGCGGCATTATAAACAAAATTTTTATTAAAATGTCTTGCTAATTAGAAATATGTTACTCCTCTAGGATTATAGAGAGTGACAAATATCAATTTTTAAGAAATGTAAAATAAACATTTGTGCACTTATGAACAAACAGTGACTGGAGAAGAGTGAAATAGACCGACCAAGAATTATTGTTATGTAGCTTTCTGAAATTGGACCATGTTTTAATAAGAGTCAAATAAAGTAGTCATTTTGGACAAATACAAAATTACAATTTTCTCAATTAGGTCCCTTTAATTCCAAAAGTATGATGTTGTATATTCTTATCTTTTTGTAAAAAGGAACCACTAGTTCTAATTTACAAAAAGATCAGGTTTTAAATCATGAATATCATGCAGAGCGTGTACTGCAGACTGCAGAGCATAGATCTGAACACAGTAGAAATTATAGCTGTTCTTGAGTTCAATAAAAATGTTCATTATCTTCCCCCCCATCTTTGTTCTAAAGAGCAAAAGTATCCATAACACTAAATAAAATGCTTTACAATCAACAAAATGCAAAAGCAATGAACAAAATTGAATGATGATTGAAGTGAATTTTAATAGTCCTTTTGATTAATAATTAATCTATTCGGTGTACACACAATATTTTTTCAATTTTCTTCTTTTTCTTTCTTTAAATAAAACTGGCTAAAATTTGTGACCATGGTGGACTCAATTTTTAACCACCAAAGCATTTTATTTAATTTTTGAACCACCTGCTTTTTTCAAAATAAATTGTAAGTATAATAATAATTGTAGTATTAGTAGTAGTTGTATTTTGTAGTATTATATAATGTTACATAAAAAATATTGGTATTAAATGAATTTTATAAAAAAATTATTTGAATTAAGGAAAAATGCATGTGAAAGAGATGCAAATGTTGAGATGGATGCATGGTGTGACAAGAAAGGATGAGATACAAAATGAGTATATAAGGGAAAGTATGAAAGTGGCACCAGTGACTGACATGGTATAGGTACATTATGAGAAGGGATAAAAATCATGTGACCAGAAGAGAGGTAAAATACACTTAACAACAGAAGTGAACCTTCTAACCTAAACTGTCCGAGTCCGATTGCTCTGTTGGATCAGCAACTCATATAATTTGTTCGAACAAATGGTACAAGTATGAAGTCTCCACTTCTTATATTTATTTGCAGTACTGTGCATGCCGTTTTACTAAAATTAATAAAATGTGCATACTTTCTTAGAGAAAATAACAAGATATAATTTTTTTTTTCTTGTAAACTGAATGCGACTTGAGAATTCTGCTTGTTGTTTAATTCATTAGTGATTTTTCGCTATCGTTTATTTTTTTTTTAATATTCGCATCTTCACAAAACACTGAAATTTATCAAAATTGTGTTCCATTTCATGTTTCGTAAGATTTTAAAAAATAGCTAATTAAATTTTTTACACGTCTCCGGCAGAAAAAAAAACCTTAAGAGTGCTTGGTATGAACCTCCTTAACCCCCCCCAAACTTACAGTGTACTTGAATTTGGGCAACTCAATTCAAAACCCAATCCTAGAAGAGTGATGAATATGAATGTGGTTGGATGAGACAAAGTTAGAGGAAGACACAGAAAGATTTGGATGGACTGTGTGAAGAATGATATGTCTGTGAAGAGTCATTCAAGAGTGGGTCAGTATTGAGAAGACGACTAAAATTAGGCAAGTGGAATGAAAGGACATGTTGTGGTGACCTAGTGTGGGATAAGGGTAGGAGAAAGAAGATGTCTGTTGAAGAGATGATGAAGATTATGAATGACTTCAACATGACTTTGATTTTCCTAGGCGTCTTTTTTTATATATTTTAGAATAATTAATCTGACATTTAAATCCAAACAGACCATGACCATTTGGAGTCATTAATGAATTTACTATATTCGAGAATAAATTGCATGCATTGAACTCACCGTTTTGTATCATCTTTATCATCACTGTCGTCTTCCATGATTCTAAGTATATCTATTGCAAGCCTCTTTCCAAAAACACAATTTACGTCATATTAGCCTTTTGCTAGGTCTATTATCGATATATGCCTTTTTCTACGCTTAAAATTATTCCCGATACAAAGATCAATCGTAAAAAAATTAAGAAAATTCAATCACATAATTTTAAAATTGCCTTACAAGCAAAATATTCCGACATATCGTCGCACCAAACAAATGTCTAAGTTCGTCTAAAACCTGAATCGTACTTAATATGCTGAGTATATGTAGAAAAATTATTATCGCCCTTAACATATATTTGTTTTCACCCACATTATTATTAGTTAAGTATAAATTCATTACATTTTAATAAACATTTAAATAAATGAAATAATGTTTATTAACACAAATTAGAGAATCGTTAGAACACAGGCCGTCAAAGCCAACCCCTTAATGTCCATTTGTCCAATGTCCTATTTCGAATCGACATTCGACAATCGACATCGACAATTCAACACAATCAAAGCATTGATCCAGAGACAAATAATGACAGTGATGTGCCATAAGCTTTAGACCAAAGAATTTGGTTCATTCAAAAACGTTATAACTCTCCTACGTGGAAAAAAACGAATAATATTATTCTAATTTTTTTTTATCATTAAAAATTGCTATTATTTTAATATCATTTAAAATAGCTGTAAACTAGTTTACAATACGTTTTTAAGCATTAAAATAAATTTATTTTTCAAAGACATTTTTTAGACAATATAAGAAATTATTAACGTTTTTTATTAGAAAATAATCCAATATTATACAAATTTATTCCACCAAAATTATTGAATAGTTTTTGATTAATTGAATGTTAATTTACAATATTTCATTGGCATTATTTAATTTAAGTTAATTGGAAAGAAATATTTAAATTCGGTCAAAGTGACCATTAGTTTGACGGATAGTATCGATATCCATAACACCTTGATGATAGATTTAAGTTTACATGTTTATACATAACTAGCGACCCTCCCCGGCTTCGCACGGGTGCAATGTATATCTAGTTAAAAAAACCGCATCAAGATCCGTTGTGTAGTTTTAAAGATCTAAGCAAACATAGGGACAGACAGACAGTGGGACGACTTTGTGTTATACTATGTAGTAATGCACACAGAAAGAGACGTTTACATTTTACGTGATATTTTACCACAGTCACTCACTTTTTTTGCCTTCCCGGAACCCCTCCTCTACACTAACTTAAACACACTAACACTTAAACTTTATGGTATGGTATTAAAATTCAAATTGACTTTTAAATATTATTACGAATCTTTTGTACGGGAATATAGAAAAGTGTTGTTTTTAGACTTATCAGGCATTTTTTATTTTTTTTCTTTCATAAGGACCTTCTGCTGATAATAACAAACACAACAAAAAAAGTGAAATCGGTCCAGCCGTTCACGCGTGATGGCATGACCAAGTGAAATAGGGATTCATTTTTATATATATACAGCATGTCTTTACAATGGCGACAATAAATAAACACACATATAGAGGATAACATTTTAATATTGTATTAAACATTTACATTCTTTAAACATCAATATTTACAGAGTTATTAAATTTTCCAAAACAAAGAATTTTAGAACAACCTTACGGATAAAACTGTTATCTAAAGTTTATTTGTAAAGGTTATAACCTTACGAGCATATGAAAGGGTTGAATGAATTTAAAAGAGACAAAACATACTGTTAGGAGAGGATTGTAATGCGACGCTGTGGCAACGAATGAAAAAGTCTCTGAATGTATGAATCAGTCAGTTGTAGTTGTATAGGTGTTACAAATTCTGTTTCTTTTTTACTTAATTAGTTTGTTTGAAAAATATTTTTTTTTAATTATGGATTTTTTTACCGTTGATATTTTTTATGATTATTGGCAAGTAGCGTTAGACGTGTCTTAATTTGTTGTCGCGATGGTCACGAAACGCTGTACATAGAACCTAAAATCAAAATGAAATAACTCTAACTGTAATTTTCAAAAGGCCTAAAAAAGTCGTTTATTGTGTTCAAAGCTATTGTTTAAATTACTTTTACGTTTGTTTAAGGTAAATAAAATATAAGTGTTTAAAGTACTTTTCAAAACCAATAGCTGAAGTGATTAACAAAACAACAAAATATAAACTATCATTTTATTAATTAATAGACATTTTGCATTTTCTTTATTCTCTTTGTTCAGTCAAAATAATGATAATGAAATATTATTCATGGCTAGACTGACCACTTTTTTTCTAACTCAAAACGGGACATTGATTTACAATGAAAATAAACATTACTTTTTAATTTTCTTTATTCCGAAAATATTAAAAATTAAAACATACAAAAAAATCGTCAGTTCACTACTTTTTATTAAAACAACATGTTTTTAAATATTTTTATATTTCTCCGAGGAGTAATTTTTTTTTTAATAAAGAAGGTGATTTTAAGTAAGAAAAAAATTTGGCACGTATCTTTTATGTTGTCCTTTGTTATCAGCATTGCCTTCAGAACTGGAGCTGTTCAATATCACCAGCACCACTATGGGAAACACTAAACCGTGCGACACTTTAAGCATCTGACATCCGGACTGTTAATTCGCTTAATAAATGGGTATTTTGTTTGTAGGCTGACATTAAAGAAACAATTGGGTTTCCGGTTTCGGCATAACTATAGGAAAAATTTCAAAATATCTACAAAACTATTTAACGAACATTACACAAAAACGTTTGAAATAAATAAATGTCCCTTTTCCTCTCCTCCTCACCGGGTTACTAGGTGAGACAAACCGAGAGCGCGTGCATGCGGGGAATAACCGATCGCGGTTCCGCACTGCTCATGATCATATCTGAAGAGCGTGGTTTTAAAATTTCGCACAGTTTCGGAAAACGGACAATTTGCGCCCCGAAGTTTGTTCGGGGAAAAGGGATAGCTGTCCGAGAAAAGGGACAGTCCCGTTCAAAACGGGACGTATGGTCAGTTTATTCATGGCCCTAAACTTTTTTGGATCCAAGCCTCACATGCATACTTCCGCTCTTAGTTTGGGGCTAAAACCCTAAGTTAGCAAGACTACACTAAGGGCTGTGAGAACAGTTCAATTCCACTTTTTTCTCTATTCCGTGATTAATATTAAGAAGTGAAATGAGTATTCCAATTAGCATTAAATAAAATTATATTAAAAGCATATAAGTTTAAGAGTAGAGTGGAGAAAAGGAATAGTTTCTAAAAGTTAAACGTTTACCTTTTATTATTATATTTCCACTGTAACGCCTTAAAAAAAATTGCCCCAAACCACAGAGAAATTAATCAAAATAGTTAATCCCACATTTTATAATCTTTTTTACTTTGGTAATTTATCTCTTGTTTTGTCTACCAGTAGTTTCTTATGTAACTATATCAGCCGTTTTACTATTATATTTTTTCTGACCTATTCCATGTTATTGAATTTTTGGTAGGTTATTTATTGATATGGCAATAAATGTTACAAAAGGCAGTTTAGGCTGGTAAAATTGAAGCTACAGCAGTCGCACGATAAATTACGAGAGAGTCAATAGTCTCAGGAGAAGGATTTTACTCTTTTTTTGTATTAGTAAAACAACAACAATAATAATGTGGCCAGGCTCGAACGAGAATGATGTTTCTCCGTCATCATCGCAGGTATGTGTTAACATGATTTTTTTAGAAAATGACAAACACCGGCAGGCGGCAAATTTGAGTTAATTTATAGTTTGTTCATTTTTTTTTGACTAAAATAAATATGATAAATTTCATTGAAAGTACTTAGGTGGGCCTGAAACTTTTTAAATCCTATTATCCTTTGCACGTGGTCATTACGTAAGGAATTATATAAGAATTTGAATGAAACTGGGATTATTACAAGGTATGAATCATCACAATGCCAATAAGATTGTTTTTTTTTTAAATTGACAAATATGATTTAAATTCAAAACTTCCTTTGTTTAATCTAGAATCTGCCTTTAGTCTAGAAATGTTAGGAAAACTATGTAAATATATTTACTGTAATAAAGAAGTCTATGTAGTCAGTATGATGTAATTTACAAAATGGCGCGATTTTTACTATTTTATTTCTTTCATACTTTTATACCTTTCAAAATGCTCTCTTGTAAAAAAATGCTTAATGTCTTGTTTTAGACGATCAATAATTTGGCACATAGGCATTTCGGGTTCAATTTTAATTATTCGGTTCTTATTTAACTTCTTAATAGGTATCCAAGTATATATTCATTATATAATCTTATTTTTAGATTAATTAATTATAAAATAAAAGTAAGAAAGTAATTAGCAGGGATCAAATGACGAACATAAATTGAACTAGTTTTAATTGAGCCGTTTATATGACTTTTGTTAATAGTTTTAATGTATTTTTACAATTATTATTATATGAATTATTATAAAAAAATAACCATTTAAATTTATAAAGTTATTAATATTTAGAAAAATGATATTAAAGTAAGTTTGCAACAAACTACTGATACACATACCTGCGATGATATTACCTTCATTAAATATCTTATTAAAGGTCAAGAGCATGTAGAATGACAAAAACAATATTTGTATGTTATTTTTTAAAGGACCTTACAAAATTGATTCGATAAAAGTACTCTTAGAAAATTTTCTTTTACAATTGTTGAAATTTTTATTATTAATCAATATAAGAATTTTTATAAAAAGTATTAAATTTACATTTAAACGGCGATTACGATAAAAATTATGTAGTTAGGTGAAATAGTGCAAGCGTGGCATGCTCTTAAAGACTCGAAAGAGTCAGTGTGCCACTGGGTCGTATTATGTAAAGCCGCCGATTACCGCGCTTTGCGTAAGAACCGTAAGCAATACGCTAGCCAGATTATGATTTAACGTCCCCTGTGGCGTACGACGTACTTTTGTGGGACAAATATAGACCAGTACGTGAAGTCTGTACCTAATACCCTCTGTACAGAGGATGCCTTTGCCCAGCTGTGGGACATCTATAGGCTGATAGATTACTTTACTTTTTACGTGAATTCACGTCTGACATCGCTGATGATTCTCCTCTTTCAGTGGTCCTTGATGGCCTGTAATTAAACTCGATTACTAGGCATCATTAGCGAGGAGTATTAACTAGATAACCGTGAATTGAAACATTAGATTTAGCACAAATATTAACTATGAGTAGAAATAATACGGTCGTGTATCTCGATTAAAATAAACTTGGAAGGTTATCGCCGGTTTGTGAAACAATGATCATCGTAGAAGTCAACTAATCACCTGTCAAATTGCTATTCAAATGTCATTTGAGTTGCCAAAAGGATGGTTAAACTTTTTAATTGATCATTCTGATCATTCTTGTGACAGCTGATTAGTGTACATCTACGATGATCACGCTCAGTTTCTGAAACACTGATCATCGTAGAAGTTTACTAATTAGCTGTCATATGGCTTTTCAAATGTTATTTGAGTTGCCAAAAGGATATTGAAACTCTCTGAATATCTCTCTCTCTCTCTCTCTCTCTCTCTCTCTCTCGAACGTGAAAGTGAATCAAACATTTATCTCGTGTATATGATAACAATATAAATATATACGTCATCAGTGAATTTTAAGTTGTCTGCAACAAAAGTTATTATTAGGTACGGTAGATGTTAATATATATAATTTATTTATTAAAATATAATTATAAAAAAATATTGTTTAAACTTCATCATAAGGCCAAACAAAAGGCAACATAATGCTAATAATAACTAAGCTTTTTCTTCCAGTCAACCCTGGAAGTATGGAAAATTTGACGTAGATGCAAAACAAAATCAGATATTCAATTTTAAAAATGACCAAGAACAAAAAAGGCACATTTTATATAAATATACTAAACACAAACATGAATACTATAAACTATTAAAACGTACATAATCACTCGCAATATTCCAATACGTACATAAATTATGTATTGAGGCAAGGAGTTCCGCAGCAGTGTAGCCTGAATAATAAAAGATTTATGGAAGAAGCCGGAATTGATGCGTCGGAGTACAAAGTATTTACTGATTGATGAGCGAAGTGCTCTATCGTGAGTTAGTGAGAGATATAGTCATTTTTCCTTTAAGTAAATTAAGAATAGAATAAGAAGAAGATAGAATCCTTGAACTACGTCTGTGATGAATACTAAGCCATTTAAGTAATTCTTGATCCGAGCAGCAGACACGTACATAATCCAAAATGGGTAAAACAAGGGAATTAATGAGCAAAGTTTGGTTTTGAGAGGCCAAAAGTATTTTTAAAGTATGCAAAAAAAGGTGGCAATAAGCTTGAGACTGATCTCCTTGACTTGAACATTCCAGCTCAGAGAATTATCTATGTAAAAGCCTAGATTTTTCACTGTGTTGGCAAACGGAATTAACATATCGCCATAATACAGACTAGGGATCATCAATCGGTCCGTAAATTCAGCAAGTAACATACGCCAGGTTTCTGAAACACTGATCATCGTAAAAAGCCATTTAACAGCTGATTAGTTAACTTCTACAATGATCAGTGTTTTAGAAACCGGACGTAAGACTGAAACAATGTTGTACCTAGTCTAAGGCAAAGGAGTCTGACCTGCTTTAAAAAACCAAATAATTGTTTTGAATTTAAATCACATTTTAAAGATTATCAGCGATACTCGCAAGTATAATGTTAGAATTATGTTGTATATTTCTTATGGGCAATGCTAAAAAAAATTTAGTACAATTAGAACATAGTTATTTATGGACAAATGTAAGGTAGAAAATAGTCACTGGAAAAAGTATACAGAATTAAAATTTATTTATTTTTAACTTTGTTATCATCCATTTTTTTAAACTCTTGAATTTTGAGTGCTAAAATTTGAGCAACAAAATTCCTGTATTCCAATACAAAAGGCACAGACCCTTCGCTTCATTTTTACAAAATCGTCCAATCTATGCAATCGTCTGATACACACTTTCATGATTGCTAAACAGGCTTCAGATTCGAGTCCTAATTCGGTTACACCGTCACGGTTGGACTTCTCTGCTCAGAGCCCACAGTTAGAAACGGTGAATTTAATAAACCGTATTATAGATAAACGCGCGATAATAAACGTTACATAATTTTCTCAATATTTATGTACTTATCATCCTACTTACTACATAATTATTGAGACATGTTCAGTGTTCACAGCTTTAATATTTCAAATACTGAAGGCAAAATTTTAAAAGTATACATAATAGTAGTAATGCGTTTTATGTAAAGAATTACGTGCGTAAATAGTATTTTCTTCTTTTTTAAGGCTTTTCTTCATTGTCCGTTACTACCACTATTATTTAATCATATGTAAATGCAATTTAATTTGACAGCAGCCTCAAGGAGAAGGATCTGCCTCTACGGCTTCTGGAAACCTTAATACTACCGTAAGTTCAATATAACGTATGTTTTAATGCGTAAAGCGAATAAGCGAAATTTTTTAATTTAATGAACCAAACTTTTTATCATATAAGAAGGGTTAAAGTGTAAAGCTTCATAAGCTACGTTTAAAGAAGACGAAAGAGTATTTTATGAAACTGGGTAATTTGAGCTACATACATATATTGTTTGTAGGTCCTAGGTAATTTTAAACGCGTTTTAATTTGTCCGCCAGTATAAAATAATACCAATAGTAGTTTACACAAATATTGAGGTCGCAATGTGTCGTAGGTTCATATTGTGTGCTTCTTACGAAAACGGCTTGCCGTCGGGTGGGTGCATTTCGCAGCAAGTCTGCTCTGTGATGCCGACACCGCCGCCGCCGCTAACTCGACCGGTTTACGTTCAGTGGGCCAAGTTCAGTTTTGTATCGGGTGGCCGGCTATCGTAAGCCTCTTAGAGCGATGTGTTACGAGTAGCGATGGTGCAATTAGTAGTTCCTACCGCCGTGACGCTTTGTAGATTCGCGGGCTGTAGCGTCTGTTTTTTAGCTCGCGAGATAAGTTAAAAACGTAAAACAAAACGTTAAAATAACTTTTAAAGTAGCCGCGATCGCACTAAGACCGTTTTTTTGTATGTAACCGTCCAACAGATTTATAATATCACTCAGTTATGGATTCAACACCCAAATTCCAGGTTTAATGACATAACGTTCTAAATTGAATTGCAATAATCCTGTCAGTAATAAATAAATATTCATTTAATAAACTAATTCTGTCGGGTCAACGGAACCGTTTATGTTTATCAAAAACAATGTAATGTTATTCATGACACACGCTAGATAACTTAAAAAAATATAATTCAACCGTATATCGTACGCGTTATTATCGAGTCTTGTACGATAAACAGGGCATTGCGTTGGTTCCCTATTCCGTTCGCATAAGGTACATTTTAGCTTGGCATTGTCATGATTGATCTATAAAAGTCATTTACATTGTAATGAGTCTTTCCTTTCGTTTCCTTTCCACTGTCAGATTTTCTTATGGGGGTACATTTTAGCTTAGCATTGTCATGATTGATCTATAAAAGTCATTCACATTGTAATGAGTCTTTCCTTTCGTTTCCTTTCCACTGTCAGGTTTTCTTATGTGTTTGTAACAAAGCATATTCAAAAATCCATAAGGTTACATACTAAGCCAAATTATTCACAACATAGAAGCGAGGTTTCTAGTGCAGATAGGCCTTTCTACCGAACAAGTCAAGTCTCAAAATCTGACACACTGCTGAGCCTTTCTCTTAAAGGAGGTAGACGTGACGTAAATTTTATTTGTCTAGGAGATTTCAAAAACAAAAAGTTCGTTGGCCTCACTGATTCGAACCAGTGTAGAATACTAAAACATAATTAAAGTTACTAAACTAATTAGGAAAGTAATTTGTCTCAAATTGTAGCCAATTACTTCTCTTCACAGATTATACAAAATCACAATCAGCGAGAGACTGTTGGTCCAATCTATCAAAGTTCTACTCTTTTCCGACGGGAGGCCGAGGAACCTCCCGAAAGCGGCCGCTCATCGTGGAGGAGACGGGAGCCGTACCATGTACCAAGCCGTTATCGCAGGGGTCAGCAAGCAATATCAGATTCGAGTATGGAACAAAGTGGAAACATATCATTGAGCCCATACATCAGTCGCAGTTTTGAGCTACCCAATGTTGGAATTCAATGGAGGCCACAGGTGGACTGGCCACCGCTGCCTGGAGTCGCTTCTCAAGATTCTAACACTGCGCGTAAATCGAAGTCCGACAAGGAGAAGGAACCGCAGCTTCCGCCAACTCGCGTGATATTAAGAGGTCTCCGAGCGAAGCGGTGCATAAAGTTCTCGCCGACGGTCTGGAGAATGGCCTTGAAATTAATCAAACAAGCCCGAGAAAACAAAATACTCGACATAAGGAAAGTTCTGTGCCGCACTTGCGAGAATCTTCCAGTGCGCCCCGTCACTGGGACGTGTGGACACACGAGATGCACAAAGTAAATATAAATTCATACTAACATTTTAAATTTTGTTTCTATGTAACAGAAATAGGTTTTAAGTTCTTAAACGCTGAATAATGGAATAGAAAAATCAATTCAAAATAATAAAATAAATTCCGCAGTTACTCTATTCAGTTTAATGGCCAATACAAAAAAGTAAAGAATAAAACGATACAATGTTGACGAGAAAATTAATACATGTGAGTAATATTTAAATGTGAACTGGTCCGTTCCTAATTCACTCGCACCGGTTCATACGTCAAGATTTATCTATGGCCTTCCCTGAAGACTAACGTAGTTTGGCTACAATATTTTGGGTGCCCTTGATTCAAATAAATGCAGGCATTCCTATAGGGTTGACAACATAAATCGATTGCTTGTGCTGATGGTTTCTATAAACGAATGTTATCGAGTAGCGTCGAGTGAAAACCTTGGCCGATAGATAACCCTCTTTTTGTAATAAAATAAAAAATAAATGTTCTTCCATTTTCAAACACTTAACATATTGACAGATGCATTGAGCAGAGCGGCTCGTGCCCATGCGGCGGCCGGGCGCCCCGTGAGCTCTTCGTTGATGTCTTAAGTCGGCAGCTCATTGAAAAGATGATGCAAGATGGAGAGGGCAGGTACTGTTATGCAGATCCTTGTACACAATTTGACCTCTCGCGACGGTGTATGCGCCTCGCGAATGCTTTTACTGCTTTATGTGACGACGCAAGCGCATTTTTCTTTTCGCACAGACACTAAAGTGCTGGCTACGTTCTTTGTTTCCCGTTCTGTTTGTTTTACTGTAGTGTTGTGTATTGTCCTATTGGACACATGATACTGACACTAAACCACACCGTGTTCCTAGGAAAGTACGACATGCAGATGTCGGTGCAGGTGTTTTCAAGTGGAAAGCGAAGAAATTGCACATTAAATTAGTGCATGGATTAATGATTATCTCAAAACTTTGAGATGTTTCCAATTTATGTATATAATATTTTACATATATTATAATAATATATGTTACTTATGTAAAGTATCTCAATTTAACAAAATTCTCTTATGTCCGTTGTAGATAAATCTTTGCACATCACTTAGAATACAAATAACTAGCGTGTTGTCTTGAATAATTGTTAGGTTCGTGCATTGAAGAACGATTTAGAGGGAACTTCGAACCGTTACACCGTTTGCCTCAAGGATTCAATTTCGTAGTACCAATAACGCACAGTAAGCGCTATTGATTTTTATTGGAGAATTTTTTCGTTCGCTCGTCTTTCACTGATTGAGAATAAAACGCCTAAGCATAGATTTTGTTGCCATCTTTGTGAAATTTTGCATGCAACGCATTCCGGGCATTAGCTAAATTCATAGAAAATAACGATAACGTTACTTTAGTACATAAACATTTGAGTTGTCATCAAAATCAATTTCCTAATCTTAAACTTTTCATCAATTTATTCAAGTCCAATTATTAAGTTCTAAGAAGTTTAAAAATAATTCAAATGAAACAATTTGTCTATTGCATCTCACCAAAAATAGTCTCAACAAAAAATCGATTCGGAATTGATATAATCACATGCTAATACACATAAAAGCTTATCTTTAACGCGAATTGAAACTTTAATTAATATTTATCACAATCGGGTAACCGTTTAAAAAAAAATTGCACCACTTCGAACGTCTTGCTCTTCGTTTTTGTTTAATTCACTTAACAAAAAATATAATAGAAAATTATAAATACACATAATAAATCTTTCATGTAATTTTCTTTTCGTCACTTTTATACTTAAGATAAAATCAATAAAAACTTTGTACATTATATATCGAGGTGGAATATTTCACCTACTTTTAGTTTACATAACCACTTTAATTTCACTTTTAATTCGCAATCTATATAATTATATCGCGGCGCTTTAACTTTGTGTGCGAACTTGAGAAAATAACAGCAAAGAAAACTGGTATCACATATATGTAAATTGCGAATGACATTTTAAAATAAACAATCTTTGATAAAAATAAACAACCTCTGATACAATTTAAATGAATATTTACGTTTATTGAATGTATATTTTTATACAATTATATGAATGTACAGTTTTTCGTTGGTTTATTTCCCGATATTCACAAAATTACATGGATATAGCATTAACATATTGCATACTTACTTTCTCATATTCATTTTGATTGATAATGTGTTCCTACGCTTTTGGGCAAGTGTTGTAAGGCGCGCACAATTTAAACATGGTCATCTGAAGCTCGTCCCAACCGCCATATTTGCGCCATAACCGCAGTTTATAGGGTCTATAGTATATACCGCACTTTATATAGGATCATATTGGCCCTTTCGTTCACGTTGCGAGCAAAATAGCTTTCTGTCTCGCTCTTACATCACTATAATATACATAGTTGCATACGATGTTTTTTGTTTTTGTCATCATACATTATTAATATCCCTTCAGATATGATAGTTTCTTTTAGCGATGACCCAATTTCTGCGCTTGACGCAACCTACGCAGTAGTCGCTGGGCCTACTTCACCAAGTGGTATTTCGGTTTTGCGCGGGCCATAGGTGTGCGGAACTTTCGACAGTCTGAACTTTGTACAATATTATGATGTTCAATTTGCAGTGACATAAACTTCACACATGATCGAAGACATAACGTCCACGAGGCCGCCGGTACATCAGCCACACTCGGTGCTTCGGCCACATCAGTCACCCCATTAGGTAAGTTCAAAAACAATGGGTTTCTATATTTATATGCGAATCGATTGTGTGACTTATTTATATTTTTTGCGAACGCTCGCGAAAACATGATCGCACCTAAAATTAACCTAAATCATGATATATATGTTTTAAATTTCTTTTTTATTCTGTAACATTTCAAGCTAAGCGTTTCTGATTTACAAATGACTCAAATGTCGAAAAGGTTTCAAAAGTTTGGCTATGGAAAATTTTATCAATTTTTCATCCGTCAGCAAAGTGTGTGCACAAAGCCATTGGGAATAAACGGAAGCTATGCGTTACTTTTTTTTTACCACTTTGGAATAAACAAATTATATTATTTGCAAATGCTAACCCTTATCAAAGTCTGATGATGGCTGCATACTGTTTGTTACTTTTATTTCTGTGTTTGCGCCTTTATTATCATTGTTATAAAACTGCGCAATTAACGTTCACCAACAACAAGCTCTCGTAAATCATACTCGATAACAACTTCATATCGACCCAGAGTCCTGAACTAGGAATTTAACCTGTATCTCTGCAAACATGCATGCAATAAAACGTGCATGCTTTTGTATTTTTATGTATATTAAAAAGTAAAGTTACAGCCTTTATGTCCCACTGGTGCAAAGGCGCCTCTGAAGAGGATATTAGGGTCACCATATTTTAGAAATATTTTTTTTTGTTATTGAGAATATTCCGGTTTACTCGCGATATTTTCCTTCACCGATGAGCAAGTGATAAGTCAGCACTTAAAATTTACAATTTCATTGGTGTCACGGTCGGGGGTTGAACTCAACTTGCTCGAGTATTAAAAGCTCGGTTTTATATGCGAGTTCTTGTGCGTAAATTATTTTAATTCGGATAATACTTTACTATTTTATATAAGAGTAAATAAGATGTATAGTAGATCACAGATGTTTATGTCTACGTAAAAATAACAAGAACATGCTCACTATTATTTGACCTAATAGATTCCAGTCAGTGCTAAGATTTGAATAATTCGATACTGATATACCAAAAATACCTCGAAACAAATTTGATTTCGCCGAAATGCCGCCTTTAAAAAGTTCTAATTGTAAGACTAAATTTGACTACGGTTTTAGCGTCGAGATATTTGAAGCTGTCAACAACCGACATTCTTGTTATCAAAATCTACAATAAGAAGTTGTATTAGATTTACTTCTGCTTATTTCACTAACAAAAACTTCACTGATAACGTAACGAATATACGAGGAGCCGTCAAAAAGTTTGCTGAATGGCAGTGAAATAAAATGTGATTAAGCCCAAATTTAATTTTTAATTCAGTCTCCCTTAACACTTTTCTGAACTGTATAAGTATATAATTTGAACTATCGAAAAAAACATCTTTTTCTTCAAAATAGGCCGAAATTTCCTTTACATCTTACACTTACTTTACATCTTCAACATTATTAAAGTTTTATTCCCCGAACGTCTTTTTAGGGTTCTGTACCTCAAGAGGAACCATTCACTCTCTTGTCCGTCTGTCTGTGTGTCACCACCGATTTTCTCAGGAATGGATGGAACTAGCATTCTACTTATGTTACGTTACGATACGTTGTCCTGTACACACTTCTTAAAATCTAAAATTTCGAACGTTTTTGAAAAGCTTTGTGAATCTAAACCATTCCAGCCGCTTGGGAGGCGTTCAGTGACATACACGTACAGAATACTACAGTACAGTGTATTATAGGTAAATATGAGGTGGATAGTCCCTAGTAAATGTATAAAAATCGACTTCCTAAGTCAACACTATATAAAGGTGGGCAAATGGGCAAATTTAGATTTTCGCGAAACATTTTTTTTCTTTTTCGGAATTTTCCCTTTACTTGTGCTGTAAGAAGCTTTTAGCCAAAATTGACAATTCTAGGTCAACCGAAAAAAGTTGAAAACTAAAGGATTTCCCCATACATACATAGTTGACGCCAACTAAGAAACTAAGATAGTCTTCTGAGTTGTATGGGCACTCATACAAATACAATCACATACTAGATAATGGTTCGGAACCCTTCGTTTTTTTGTGTTCGGGAACAAATAATAATCTGACGGGGCCAAATGACTAGGACGGAGTGGTTCAAGATTCCGAAGCCACACTCCTGCAGGTCAGCCATCGCAACGTGGCTCTCGTGAACTGGCACGTTGTCTTGCATAAGAGAGTCCATTTTCCCGTTTTTTGCCTTGATGGCATTTTTTAGTTTTTGTAATAAACTTGAGTAGTATTTACCAGATGTTTATTGTAACCATTTTACCTAGGGGATTTCTTATACCCTCGGAATTTAAGAAAATGTGGCGTCTCATTAGCTACTGTGTAGCGCCGCTTTTGTCTTATGTACCCTAACTCTCATCTGGTAATAAATAATGCTAGCATTACCCTAATATTGAAAAATTACTATAGCAACGGGTGACAATAAAAGATTATGGTTTTCTCAACTCTGCTTGTTCTTTGAACTGCTCCTTAAATATTCCCTCCTGCCGGCTCTCAAACTGGTGACCCCGAAGTGATTGCACATGCAGTGCGACCAAAAAATCGTGGCCGTTTGCGATGCTTTGAACATCTTTGGACGGCTCAGGCACGTTTCGTCCCCAGTACAAATCGGTTCGTTAACTCGAACTCGGTTTCCGCTATAGAGTTCCAAAACTACCTACGACCACTTGACGCGTTGGTGCTTTTCAAGTGGTTTGAGCATTATCGGCACCTATCTTGCGCTGACTTTTGAAATGCCAAGATGATCATAAAGAATATTCAAAAAAGTACAATTTTGAACATTCTCTAGATGTTTGATTGTCTGATGTTTTTTTTCTACATATTTTAATTCTCTAGATGCTACTTCAAACATTAATTTTAATTAATACTTCTTTAAACGAACATCTTCAAGACTAAATTTTTTGACAATGTCTGAAGGATTGGCTTCAATCGGCCGACCTGGACATATCGCATTTTTATAAGTAATTAAATTGGTTTATTAGTCTATTATTATTACCCCTTTATGTGGGAGTGTCCTTCAAGCTTTTTTTTTCTTATGTAATTTCCATCGCCTCAAAAAGATTTTAAAATGCAAATGTGAGCCGCCAAGATAGCCAACAGTAAGCGTAAGCTTTTACGCATTTGTGACACATCGTGGCCGAGGTATAATCGCGACTCTGGGTGTAGTTTGAAAATAGAGAAATATGATAAGTCTATTATTAGTTGCGAACTCAATTATTATTACAATAAAGAAGTATTACGAGTGCACGGCGTAGTCGCGTGGGCGTCTCGATAAACGCGGACCGGCAAGGCTATTATGTAAATCGACCATTTGTTTGTTACATTGCCGTTACATAAGTGCATTGTCGGCGCAGTTCGGGTCGCAAAATGCTTTGGGTTAGCTGTGCCCCGCGCGCCTGTAGGGCGTAGCGGCGACGTCGTTTCTCCTTTTTAGGACTCATGCGCTTATGAATTATATAACTTCGTAATTCGTATAAGCGAGCGTTCTGGAGGGGGCATCGTTACCTTGTTAGTATCCCGTACCGAAAAATTCATATAGCCTTTTGAAACTTAAGTAATTAATGAATGCAATACTTGCCCAACCATAAAGTTACTTCATAATGTTACATACGAAGTGTTAAATTTAAGACAAACATAATTTAGAGATAGATTTTGTATTATAGATTTTTACAGGTAGATTTAATTCTTAATGGATAAGGAGACTTAGGTCGTTGTCAACTATGACGATAGCGAACTTGAAAGATACTGTTGTGAAGTCAAACATATGCCGCAAACCATAAGCAGTGGCGGATTTACCTTTGAAATTCGCAATCATATTAATTATATTCATTCTGTCAATTCATCATTCTGCAAATTTTTGATACCTATCAAAGATAGCACCTGCTCTATCGTCTTACATTGTCATTAGCATGAATTGAACTAGGGTTTCCTTGTGCCAGTTTTTAGATTATTTTTACAACCAAAAATTTTAGAGAAGAATTACACGAAAAATATTTATTGATTATATTGATGAGCTAAAAATGCATGTTCTAATCATAAAGGCTCTAGCTACTTAGCCTGCTGGTAAATCCGTCACTGAACATAAGCAAAAGGCGAAAAGCATTTGTAACATCAGCTTACGTAAAAGGATCCAAAATCGCTCATCACTTGCGCCGGCGTGTTACGTAACGCCATGCAAACTCCGCCTTTATTGCCTCTTACGTAATCCCAGGTATTAAGTGTCGTTGCGGACGAAATGTCGCAAGTACAACGGGCACAACTCGACGAATTGTATTAATTTCGTCAACTAGTTAATGTTAACTGTAATAAATGTGTTGTGCGTAACCAATTTCAATGTAAACCTATGTTGAATATGAAACAAATAATATAAACTGCTGCGTTCTGGTTACATACAATGTACACTTGGGAATAAGCAGTAGACACTAATTACCGAATGGAAAGCTGATGAACATAGCAAACCCCGAAACAGTATTGCTGGTAAATTTGTAAGAGCCCCAACCGAGCATTCATCATATAAACAAATGTTCAAGAATTTTTTAACGTGCTTTGCGTGTGATTTTTAAAAGACAAAATTTTGATTGCTATGTTAATAGTTTGTAAAGTTTCACAATGATTGATTTATCGATTTGAATTTTCACTAGAAACATCTATTTACAGTGCATGTATCCGATTTATTATTATTATTAATGTTTCGATTGATAAAATCTAGCACAACTACATTGTGTTAGATTTATTCGAAACCCAGTGCCCTTTCGGTTCAATATCCGGGGCCCTTAATTTAACGTCGATATCTTGGACACATCCAACATCAATTAATTTAAATTTTATCTTATCACGCTGCTATGAACTACGACATCAGAAAGTGCGTTGAACCCGATAACGCTCTGGAGGCTCTATGCATCTACATATAATACGGCAATATAACAGAAAGAAATATGTATTCGGCGCATTACATCACTGGAGAAAAATTGAGATCCGATAGTGCAGCTATTGTATATGTATAGGCAAATAGTTATATGATCGCTTTTACTCCGTCTTTTGCAAATGGAGTAGAATCTTTTTGTATTTTGCTTTAAAGATATGTAAACGAAAAGTTTCTAATAGGTGGTGGGATGTTATTCCTACAAATTGTGGCGGATTATCGAAAGCTTCCGCGGAAAGCCGCCCTATTAAAAGTGGGGCATATAGGTCGGGATTGTGTAAATTTTAATTTGCCGAACAAATTTGCTGGATTTTTTTTATTTATTACCCCGAAAATTAAGGAAGCAAAATTTAGTGCTCGTCTTGACCGCATACTCAACATGTCGCTTCTATTAAGGTATTATATGATTAATTATGGTGTTACATGAGAACGGCATGGAATTAGAAAGCAAAATTGAGCACAGGAATTTTGAACACGCTGAATATGGTTTTTGTACGTTCTAGTAAGCACCCAGCAATGACCGTGTCTACGTAATTTAATTTTGTGAGTATTAGTGACTCACAAAGATGGATCCGCAAGTATATACCCAGGAATTGACGTATTTGGTACAGCACTTTTAGCCTATAATAACATTGTTGGAATTTATTTAGAACATGACTTTTGAATCATAAATGACTGTGAATAAATTTCTAACTTTTCGAGCTTGTTCAATTTTCTCATTTCTTACTTTTAGCTGTCATTCAAGAGCATATATTTGGTTTACTTGTACTTTGTGGGATTTAGAACAAGACTATTATTGCTTCCGACCATTCTGTTAAGATGTCCGGAAATTTGAGTAACAGTTGTCTCTGTTTCACTGGGCTTATAATGGCTATTAATGACTTATAGATATGTAGGTCACAAGAAATACATTATATTTCTTTATAGACGCTGAAACCGCGCTACCCGTGCAAATTCGTGAACCTTCGTCACGGGAGTCTGTCAGTGAGAAAACGCCTCGTGCCCCGATGACACCACAGGTAAGATTTAATCATTCACGAAGGGAGACCTCGTTTAGATGTTGTCATCTGGATCAGGGCAGTGCTGCGCTCTCACAAGAGACCGACGTGATTTTTTTCTTTTTTATTTGTGAAGGTGGCAAACGAGCTGATGGTTCACTTCATCTTAAGTGATAACCGCCGCTAATTGACACGTACGGTTGCAGATGCGTTGTAACATTTCAATAAAGTTAGCCCTGGCTACCTTACTCACCAGACGAACCGCAAAAGTGTAACTCTTTCACTTCACTTGCTGTGGTACTTACCCGGTCGGACCTGCCCATTTGTGCAACAGTGAAGACTGTTGCGTGGCCCTTGTACGTGGTAGTGGTTACTTACTGTCTTTGACTTGCTCTTGGGGTCTCTACAGTGACGATACTCTTCGCTCATAATTAATCGCCGTATGAAAATTAGAAAAATTATAGCATCTTATGGTTTTACACAAATAATGATACAGATGTGATAGGTATACTGCATTATTTTTAGCTGTCGCAAATCGACGGTATAGTTATCAAAGTATTTATTTTTATCCCGTAACATTTATAAAAACGTTCGGGCACGTTTTGGGGGCAAACGTATTTCGCTAGAGGCGAAGTATGTAAGCATCCTATAGTACATCAAAACTTTGTTGAATTTTGAAATAGTAACCGTGGCGCCCGCACGTTGCGATGGGGGTAGAAAGTTATTTTTAGAAATGAACAAATTAACTGGTCTCTGGAAATATTGGGAACGTGACTTTACGTCACTTTTAGGGTAAGGATTAATATTTGGTCGTATATTGTTTCCTACGTTACAAGAGTGTTTTCTTTCTGCCAATCTTATAGATACTTTTTGGACTTAGTTATTACAGATTAAAAATATAACAGGACCCCGCGCCAGGCATGTCAAAAGCGATTCATTTCACGAATAAGTGATTTCATTGATACCAGATAACGTTTTGCCAGCGTATTCATTTATTTCAATTAAACTTTTTTTATGTGTAAAAGTGGCTAACGAGCTGACGGTTCACCTGATGTTAAGTGATATTTATTTAATAGCTAACGCAAACTTCTTAATGTCGTTTTGATCAACAGGACTGAAATTGAATTGGGTAATTAAATAGGGTTGTAAAGACGCAATGGATGATATAGCTTGAGAGCGGATTCCGGGGTCTATGGCAGACGTAGAAGATAACCGCCGCCCATGGACATTTGCAAAACCCGTAGGGTTGCAAATGCGTTGCCACCTTGAAATAAAGTGGGCCCCGACTACCACACTCACCAGACGAAACGCAGAAGTGTAACACTTCTACTTTATGCTGGTCTTCTGTGAGGTCGTGGTACCGGACGTACTTGTCCATTCGTGCAAGTGTTGCGCGGCGTAATTCAATTGATTGTGTTGTGTATTCGTATGGACAAATTACCTATAACGAAGATAAGGCAGATGCGTTCAATTTTATGGCGAAACGAATAATAGGGACGGGGCAGGCTCGAAGGAACCCCTTTTTTCATGGTGTACGAATTGTTTCCATGAATGGAATCCACCTTTGCCGTTTCTTTTAATGTTTTATTTGTATGAAACTTTAAAAATATGCTTAAAGAAATAGAAAGAATACAGTATACCCAATCTCGGAAAAATTACTCATTGATTTCCTGACAACACATGCCTTTGTATACTTTATATTTTAAGGTTGTGTGTATAGTAATGATTTTAAAATGTCAAAAATATAATAAATCAACCAGTTATATAAGTGTATGTTTTACCTTACAGAGCCGTGATAGCTCAGTGTCCGGGCGCTCGCCTTTAATTCAATATACTCGAGCAACCTGAGTTCGATCCCCGGTGCCGGCACCAATGAAGTTTTTAACTTTAAGTGCTGACTTATCACGTGCTCCGCGGTGAAGGAAAACATCGTGAGGAAACCTGCATATTTTCGAAATAATAACAAAAAAATATATTTCGAAAATATGTGAAGTCCGCCAATCCGTAGTGGGGCCGCGTGGTGGACTATGCCCTGATACCCTCTATATAGAGGAGGCCTTTGCCCAGCAGTGGGACATGTATAGGCTGTTTACTTTACTTTTTTTTTCTTTTTACCTGAGATATGATTTTCCTTAACACTTGTTCTGGTATGTAGACACAAGATGGCATTATTTTATTTTTATTACTTAAAAAATACCTACAAAGACGGCGTCGTGCCGCTTAATGATGGTAGGCTTAGGTAGGTATGTAGATGAATTATTATGATGGAAACTGTGTGAGAGAGTTATGTATGTACAAATGGTTTGGCTTATTATCCATATGCGTGGCGCGGATGCCAGTTATTTTTCTAGTCCGTGTTAGTCTTATATTATGTACGGTTCTAGGTTCGTTTGGGATATGCCCGTGCTCTTATTTCTGCGGGGCATCCGAAGGAAGCTGTGGCACAACTTGCGAGGGTTGCAACATATGAAGATCCTATAGCACCCAGCGCCCGCACTTTGCTCCTCCAGGTTGGTCACGGACTCCGTATATGATATTATGGTATTATATTGTTATTTTGTGCTTTTTTGGCATATTTGTGCAAAAGTGAGCAGTGGGTTAACATTTTTTTTAACTTGTTATTTGCCTTGGGAACCACTTACAAGAAAAAGAAATATTAAGACGGATTTCGGAATGTTACTTTTTAATTTGCGGGAGCTCATGGCTTCATTTAGTTTCTCATTATTAAATTTAGTTTTACTCGTTAACATTTTTGCTCGACGATTGTTTATTACTATTGTTGCATGTTGCCAAAGACTTCAATAGACATACATTAGTGTTGAAGGTCTACGACGTAGGTTTGTTTATACTGAATTCTGTGATTTCGGATGATAAAAAATAGAATAGTTTGTATTTTTCACGCAGTCGGGTTTTTTTATCCAATAATTTATGTTAGTTTAAACAGTTACTGCAGAAATATAAAAAAACAATGCGGGATGCCTTAATTTCGTTCGTGTTAGAGGCGTTTACCCTTTTTTTGCAGGTCGGACCTATGATTGACTATTTAGTGGCGAAGCACATTAAAGCTCTACATTAACGAGTTGCAAACCCTTGCATTCCAGACGCTGGACTCTCTCACGAAACAAGAAAACCATCGCGTTTTAACGATCCAGGTGAAGCGTCTAATCCAGAACCACGCGACTACGTCCTGGCTCAGCGTCTCGGACCTTGAGTGTCCGCTATGCCTGCAAACCTTCAATCATCCGGTCACAACACCTTGCGGCCACACCTTCTGTCGCTATTGCATCGAGCGCCTGATCGACTACAGAAAACCTTGCGCTCTCTGCCAGCGCCCCTTGAACGAGAGCTATTTGTCCCTGGTCAGTAAACTTGGCATTTTACTACGGGCTGTATTACCTCTAAGCATGTCCACTTAACTGTATTGGATCGTAACACTAGCTCACTAAATGCCTAGTCGTATATCTGTTTAAACGACCCTTTGCTTACATCAATGGTACATCATATACATTACCTCACTTTTAACTTTTTCCAAATTAATATTTACATGTTAACTATCGGATAGAAACATCACCTAAAAATATATCAAAGTACAAGGTATCACTAAATATACTTACAGAAAACATAAATGTAATAAATGACTAAATAATAATTCAAATTTTAATGGCTTACAGACAGAAGAAACATTCCTTGTAAAGGCAGCTCTGGAATCGATCAACGCTGTGAAACCACGCAAGATGCTAGACTGCAACGTCATCTATGTCATCGCGTGCACCGTAGCTTTTCCGAAGTAAGTAAAATTAATGGTTCGTATAATTTTTAATCCAACGAATTTAATATTGGTTTAATTTTAATTTTGCTTTTCTTTGTTATTTACTTGTTAAATTAGTAAACCCACTATGGGTAGGCGGATATGGAGGTATCAGAATACTTGTGGAGACAGATTTGTCTATCCGCGTTTAGTTTCAATTTAAATCAAAAAGCTTTCATTATTTTCATTGTTATATCATTATAAATAATAGATCCATCTTCAATAATAGATAAATTTATTTTTAATAATTATCAAAATCATATAATATCTCAATCACATTACAATTATGAAGCTTTAAAGACTCAAATAATAAAACTTAAATCGTTCAGTAACAGGTAGCTTTGACTTTTTGTGGTATTTTAAGACCAACGGTACTCAAATATGAAAAATATATAAAAACCGGATAATTTTTAATTTTGTACTACACTTGGGTATGAATAGCGTTCCAGCGACAACCTCCATACTCATCTCACCAAAATTCCGATGAAGACAGATAATCGGTAAGATAGGATGAAAATTTATAAAAAAATATTAGATATATTATTGGTACTCCCTTCACTTCTGTAAATGTCTGATCACAGTTAAAAAGTCCTTACCCCTAAAATGCTTCTACCGATTACATTCGTTTATTGGGCGCCGTTGTACTTTCGGCCCCCGATTGTATCTATTTTTTATTGTTACGAATAAATTTTACTTTTTAATTTTTAACTTAACTTGAAATAAGTTAAGTTAAAAATTAAGTCTTCACTTTTTTTGGAAATTATTCCATCGATAGCTCTCACCGTAGCTCAAAATACATTTCGTTGATTTTGCTAAATCTCTGCGATGCCTTTGATATTCGCCACATTTTGATCGATCTGACGTACTTTACGTATTTAATTTATTATTTTAGTTTTCGTCTTTGGCGGTGTTTGGGCGCTCTAAATACGCGTAGTTTACTAAATACCACACTCTTCGGCTAATGGAATTCACTTACGTATGGTAACCCTGATATTACAAGCTGCCATCCATTTCCAAACAAAGTTTACATGAGATTTGTTTTCTTCTTTTAGCTCATGAACTAAGATTCTAGTACTGCCGATTTGGTCACATGGTGCAGTCCATGATCTTAACCAGATACGTTTTTACTTGTTTTTCTTTTTAAAATAATAAATTGTAGTATGGTGGCGGATACCTTAGCGTAGAGACCATAGTCCTATTCTATGAGCCTGGGACAACAGGGCTGAGGCATCGAAGATAGATTCGAACCGATCGAGATAAATTCGAACAGCAACTCCATCGACAAAATCTTCTATCAACAGTATTTCTTGACGTTTGCGAACCAATTGAGTTGAGCCGTTGTCAAATCATAAATAAACATATAGCCAAACAAGTGGGAATTAAACTTTTGACATTTTCTTAATTTTCGTCATTAAACCTACATAACATTTAGGATCTTTTTTAACAATCAATTTTCGCTCTGATCACCTTTGTCATTAGAAATACTTTTAATCGTTTTCCTTATTCAGTCTCGGTTTGCAGTTTGAAGCAGTTTTCTCATTAAAGCAGCGTCTTATAATACCTAATACCATATTAAAATAAGGTCACTAAATAAATAAGACTAACAAAAAAGAACTGACTTCAAAAAACTATTAGCACTAAAAATCTTATAGTATTCCTTAATATAATATAATTAAATCTTGAAAATCTAACCTATTTAACATAACCTACCTAACCTTTAAATACTTTAATAATTTTTATCGGTGCCTTTGTTCACCATGGGTAATGGTTGTATACCATAAGACAGCAAACAACAGAAAGAAGCAAAGCAACAATTAACACTGCGGTTATGTAATAAATAGGTTAAAAGATAGTTATATATATTCAATTATGTATCTAATCCTCCTAAATTTTGTAACAAATTAAGGGAACAATTTTATGCTCCCATCGGAGATACCCGCTTGGCGCCAACTCCAAAAATTGTTAACTTTCGTTAGAGGTTGGGTTACATAATTGATTAGATTTCAAGATTTGATAATATTTGATTTAGTATTATCATTATAAACGTATTAGTGGTAATAGTTTTTTAAAGTCAGTTTTTGTTTATACTTGGGGGGGGTACCTGAGTTTTACTGAAATTTTGTAAATATTATTATAATGTAGAATATTATTTTAACATTGCATCCTCTAATAATGGTTGTAGTAACTTAAGTATGTAACTTCTTAAACATATTGTTAAAAAATTCAAACAGGTACTAGAAGTTCGTGACTGCGTGCTCTTAGAGAATGGCAGTTTTATACTCTCAACAGTTGGTGTTTCCCGCTTCCAAGCCCTTGAGACAAGTGTATGGGATGGGTAAGATCGTTTAAAGTTAAATGATTTTTTTAAAATTAAAATGTATTTTGATTAATTTCAAAATGAACATAAGTGCAACAAGTGCCCTAATTGTTCAATAAAAATGTTATCAATGATTCGTAAAGGACAGACTGATGATACACTAATCAAGCTGAGCAGCAATTAATCCGAGGACTCACAAAATATTACAATGAGGAGTCAACAAGAATTGGCGTCCTCTTTTCCTCATCAAGATTGTGTGTCACGTGCTGAACTAGTGGAAATCGGTTGTAATGAACTGAGATCAGTCATACGTAACGTTCAATGATGAATTCTTGAGGAAAAAACGAGAAACACAAGTGTTTGAAGAAATGAATTTTATGAAATTTATAAATTCAATATGATGCAATTAATGCACAAGTAAAAATCCTCTCAAACGAAAAAAGATGTTTCTTCTGAATGACATTAACGCAAAATCAAGGAACTTGAAGAAAGATTGTCTCAGTTCTATCTGAGACAATCTTTCTTCAGTCGGCATGTCAATCAAATGTAGAAATTCACTGTCTATCTGAACATAGGCATGTAAATCTTATGAGTACTATTATTAATAGTGGCAAAGTAATTTCATTGCCTATTACAAAAAATGATATCTTATCTTGCAACCGGGTTTAGAAGATTAACATCGCTTCGAAGCGAACTAGAACTCTAGTAGGTAAATTAACAAGTTATATAAAAAGAGGTAATTTCCTTGCCACCGTCTTAAAATATAATAAATCAAATTCAAAACATAAAATTAACACAATAATCCATTGAGACACTGATGCCTGGTCTCTGAAACATTGATCATTGTAAAAGTCAACTAATCAGCTGTCAAATGCCTTTTCAAAAATGTTATTTGAGTTGCCAAAAGGATTGTTAAACTCTCTGAGTTGATCAGAATGATCATTACCGTACGTAAGACCAGCTTACGTCAAAAACACGCGTAATAATAGTAATTTTTTACCAAAAATGAAACCACGGTGCAAAATTGTATGCGATGGAAAAAATATTGCTGATTTGTTTGCTGAATATTTTAAATATGTATACAACACACCCTCTAGTATTACTACTAGCGTCCTTCACGCAAATCATCACTGAGGTAACTGAGATTTCTAAATCCACGCTTAATCTCATTGACGTCCGGTTTCAATATTTTATCTACAGATAGATTTTGTTAATAGAGAGCGGAATTTGAAATTAGCTCCATAATACTTACGTCAAAATACTATCTCAATTCTATCTTTCTGCAGGTAGAATAGCAGGTTGTTTAACAACACAAAAAATTAATGCAATATTAATCACGTTAGGTTACAAGGCTCCTATATTGAAAATTTTAATGTTCAATGGCAATTTTTCTAACTTACAAGTTCTAAAAAATTTCAGTGTCGCCTTAGTATCTCGTAAAGTTCATAATAGTTATACAGCGTGTCGCGACAATAAATGAACACATATAGAGGATAACTTTTTAAAATTGTATCAAAAATTTACATTTTTAAACATCAATATTTACAGAGTTATAAAATTTTGCAAAACAAACAATTTTAGAACATCCTACGTATAAAACTGTAACGTAAAGTTTATTTGTAAAGGTCACAAAACATATGAATGGGTTGAATGAATTTAAAAGAAACAAAACATACTGTAAGAAGGAGAGGCTTGTAATGCGACGCTTTGGCAACGAATGAAAGTCTCTGAATGTATGAATCAGTCAGTTGTAGTTGTACAGTATGCTACATATGTTGTTTCTTTTTTAATTAGTTTGTTTGAAAAAAAAAAAATTTAACGTTTTTATTTTTTTATGATTATCGGCAATAAGCGTTAGACGTGTGTTCATTTATTGTCGCGATGGTAGACACGCTTTATACTGTTGAAAAAAAAATTATTTGTCCAACTCATTTTTAATGGTTTCTAATTTAATTTTTGAATTGCATCTCGTTTTTTGCAGCTGTGAAGTCGCTCGCATAGAAAGGATTGTGGATGTCTTCCCTACAGATCATTTGTCTGCATATGAGTTACAGAATATCTCATCAATAACGCACCTTAGTGCAGTGTATTGGCTAAGCAGTATTAACCCGGTCCTTCGTGACTCCATAGAGGCAACTTTTGGTGCTTTACCCGACTACTTTGACAACTCTGAACGTTTCTGGGAGACACCTGATGGGCCTGATTGGCTTTGGTGGTTTATTGCAATTTTGCCGCTCAAGACTGATATAAAGGTAAATAAAACTGAGTTCAATTCAAAATTTACATGCTATTAAATTCGTGCAAAATGCTTATGTCAAAATTTTTGTCTCCATACCACCAAAATCTTGAGTTTGGAGTAAAAGGTTGCTTACTTTGCCCCAAATTAATTAAGCAATTAAACATATTCGTAGAAATTTGTCATTCTATATTAAAAAATATTCTATTTCATTTCAGATATTAATTTTATCAACCAATTGTATTTTTAAACGCTTTATGGCTGTCATTCGAACCCTGGAAGCAATGCGACATATTCCTAACACACGTAGTAACTTAGCATGTGAACTTTATAACACAATTGGATGTGAAGATTAACAACAATCAGTGCAAAAAGTGATATTTATGTGATAAAAGGTTTATGATTATAAAAGTATGAACTCTGTATAAAAATCAGCCAGAAATGACTGAAATCTTGGATGTAGTTATGCAAAATAGGTACAACATAGATTATAAGAAAAATTAATACAGGTTACTGTGATCAGGAACTTCTTTCAACTAATTATTGATCTCTTGTCTAAAATACTATTTTGTTTTTTTATAATGCCTAATATTTTTTGTGGCTCATTGACATAGATGAATTTTAAGTTTTTCTGTGTTATATCTAGTTTAAATAACTTCATCCAATGGGTACTTTATAATGTTATCATATTATAAATTCTGTTGCCATACCTCAGTAGCGAGACAAATATTTGTTTGTTCTTTATTATGAATACACACACTTGTATGAACAAGTACTAGTCAATTTCCAATATTTTTATCATAGTGAAATAATAATATGTATCTACAATATATATCTTAAGGCTTTAATTAGTTAATTTTATAGTAGTGCTATTGTTGTTATTTTTATAGCCAAAATGTTAATTTTCTCATATGCAATCAATCAATTAATTAGTTCTTATAAACGCACATTCACAGGGTTTCAGAATGTAACGGTAAATTTCAAATAATTTTAGAAATTTAAAATGATATCAAAAAATTTATAAGTGCTATAGTACAAAACTTGTTATAAAATATTAATAATAATGTTTGATAAATACTTTAAAAACATATGACTATTTACCAGAAATATTATTGTTTATGAGCATGTAAATATTTGTATATTTTCTTCCAAAACCTTTTACACAAGTTATGGAATAAATTCCATAAGATTAATTAAAAATTTAAAAAAGGAACTAGTTGATGATTGAAAATTATTAAGTAATAGTAATATATAAATAAAAACATTCCATATTTGTTTCTGTTGTATCCATTTAATTTTTGTTATTGTGGTCTTGATGTTCTGTTACGCAATCAGTAGCTAATCACTTGGCACTGTTTTCGTAATTTTTATTGTTTAAAATGTCTACTTTACTACTGTATAAGATCTCATTTATTTTAATCACATCTGTCTTTTAAAAACTCGGTTAAGCAAATAAAATGTAACATAATTGTAGCAAGTACTACGAATTTGTGATTTTATTATTGTTTATTTAGTATATTTATACCATATGTGATTTTTATACTATTTATATTAGATTTTTAAAATATTATACAATTTAAAAAATATAAATTGGTTTCTAATTTTTTATTTTTTCATTATCTGTGATTTCCTTGATATAAATTAAAAGATAAAATTTTAATGCAATTGAAACTAATAAAATAAAATTCTTCTATTAAAAATCTTTCAGTCTTTATATATATTTCGTATTCGCATTATTAACATAGGGTCGACAGTAGACGCACTTTGAATTGCCTAAGACTCAGAATGATCACTTTTTAATTTTGAAAAAAAACGTCTCTTTTCGTTTTCTCTGTTTGCTTTATTACATTATAATGTTTTTCTTCTTTCTCCTTAGCCTTCTTTTTATTGTTATAGCCTATTAATTTATTCATTCTTAAAGTAATAAACAAAAACTTAATGGACCAATTAAATACACACCACACCGCAGCGTAAACAATAAAAGCGTCATAATCGAACCGAACTCGACTTCGACTTCAGCTAGAAGTCAAAGATCGCGTATCGGAACAAAGCCAAACCACGTGGGACGCTTTACTAGAAGACATCGAGCCATCACACACTGCTTACTGGCGGTTGGCGGAGATAATGTAATAATACGTACTGGCGGTTGGCTCGTCGTTTGAAAGAAGAAACCCACTAATAAGCCCTCTTGTTATCGACCTATCAGCCGAGGAGGCTGATAGGTCGATAACAAGAATCAATTATTTGGGGAAGCTCTACGAGGGGCTCATATTAAATAGACTCAAAGAGTACGTATGTTGAGACGGCCTTATGCCAGTTCGGTTTTCGAGCTGGACACTTCTGTCCCAGCCAATTATACCGCCTAACAGAACACATTCTGAAAGGCCGGGAGGTCTTTTCTTCGATGTCGAAAAAGCATTCGACAAGGTCTGGCACCACTGCTTGCTTTACAAGCTGTTCGCACTCAACGTGCCAGATAAACGCGTGCACGCCGTTCGGGCCTTCCTGTTGAATCGCTCGTTTCGATACCGAATAGAACCTACGAACCGCCCTCTCGCAGCGGGCGTTCCTTAAGGCTCCTTCCTCGCCCCCTTGCTTTTTTCGCTCTACATGAATGACATACCAAAAGATCCACACGTCAATCTCGCGCATTTCGCAGATGACACGGCGCTCTTTTACACAGATAAAAAACTTCAATCGACAAATCGACCGCCTCGGCGATTGGTTCCGTGAAAAAAGAGTGTGGCGATTCACTTCTCACGAAGTACTTATCCGTCACCTTTATAAAGGCCCTCGCCAATACAAAAAACTAGGGCAAAAATCTCTTTACGGCCAACCACTCCCCTGGGAGAAAAACGCCTGACTGAAACTTAAAACACAATTAAGTTTCTCTGTAAGTAAAGAAACGACATTTAATGTTATTAATCACAATGTCAATTCCTAAATCACTATTATACTTATTAAGTATTTTGTAATAAAATTATTTTCATGAATTGTGTCTATATGACACCTTAATTCTTTTTCTGTTATAATCCGGCGTCAACCATAGTTTTTAAAATAAATTTTATTAGCGGCCGATGCGCGAAAATATTTAAAGGAAATATTTAAATAAAAGAAAACAATATTTTTCTTTACATCTCCCCCTCCCAGAGAAGATAAAACATAACGACTACCCACACATCCTATTTATGGTCTCTCAAGCATGGGCGCTGTAGTCAGTTTCGAGATATGGAAATAGTTTGATTCTAATTTCTTACAGTCGGTGTTTATCTTATAAATTGATGTTGATATTTTTTCTATAATTTTGTAGGGTCCGATTCTCAGTTCATCAAGCTTTTTCCTATTCAATTTGTTTCCATTGTCCACAAAAACAGCATCACCAACTTTGAATTCTGTCTTCGATTTTTATCGTAAATTTTCTTGTTCTAATTATGTGATTTCATTGTATTTACCAGAGCCTTTTTCCTGTCTTGGATCAGATCATGCTCGGTCTTCTTATATTCTAGTTTATTTGGCAGAATTGCAACATCTATGCCGTTTAAAAGATACTCTGGAGCATAACCATCTTGTATCTTGTATTAACTGATGTTTTTGCTTTCAGTGCCGAGACTATTAAAGCTTCATCTGACGCAGAACCTGTGGGCTAGCCAGAACCCACGGGTTTGGGCCCTCCGCTGTGGGTAGGGCCGCGCATGTGCTCATGCGTGCGTTTAACTACGACATGTCATCTAAGGGCCATCGAAGTTGCGGTGCGGACCGAGACCCCGATGGCCGTCGACTGTGTTTTTAGCTAATCGGTGGCTGCGAGCGGTGAGAACCGCCCTGGAACGCGGGTGTACCTTGTGTACGCGTTGTGTTGGTCTCGCCGTGCTCGGAGGCGAGGGCGAACTAGTGTATTAGTTGTTGCACTAACTGTGGGTGTAGTGTTGTCCGGCGGGACCCCCGGCGGTGGGTCCGGCATATCTAAGTCCCCTTCCTCGACCGGGTCGATGAGGACGTTTCGCGGGCGACGCTTGTTGGCGTTCGCGTTTGTGTCGGGTTGGTAATTTGCTGCGCTTACCACCAGAGGGTTGGGATGATGTTCGGCTCTATCGAAGAACCGTTTGGTCAGGTCTTTAAAATATTCGCGAATCATCGGGAGTCTGCAATCGCTGTGCAGATCGACGTTGCGTTGATACCACTGCGCACCGGTTGCATGGCGGATGAACTTATTTTGTACTATTTGCAGCTTGTACAAGCGAGTAGGGTGCGTGTGGGCGAAGATCATGCATGCGTAGGACATAATAGGTCGTACGCAGGTCTTATATAATAATAATTTGTGCCTTAAGGGCATTTTACTTTTAGCGTTAGTTAAATTGTGTAGCCGGCTGGAGACGAACGCGGCTCTATTACGAACGTTATTAATGTGCGTTGTAAATGACATACGCGAGTCGAAAGTGACTCCTAAGTATTTGACCTTTTTCTCCCAGGGGAGCGGTTGGCCATAAAGGGATAATTGCCCCAACTTTCTGCATTGGCGAGGACCATTATAAAGATGTGACGGGTAAGTACTTCGTGTGAAGTGAATCGCTACACTCTTTTCGGGATTTATTTCTATTCTCCATTTGCGGAACAAGTCGCCGAGGCGGTCGGCGGCGCTTTGGAGTCGAGTGGTTAGTAGTCTAAGGTTGCGGTCTGAATAAAAGAGCGCCGTGTCATCCGCGAAAAGCGCGAGATTGACGTGGGGGTCTTTAGGTATATCGCTCGTGTAGAGCGTAAAGAGCAAAAGTGAGAGGCAGGAGCCTTGTGGTACGCCGGCCGTGAGGCGGCGGCTTGTGGAGAGGGTGCCTTCAACTCGATATCGAAAAGAGCGGTTTGATAGGAAGGCCCGGATGGTGTGTACGAGCCTATCTGGCACTTTGAGTGTGTACAGCTTGTAAAGCAAGCCGTTGTGCCAGACCTTGTCGAATGCTTTTGCGACATCGAAGAAGAGAGCCCCTGTACTAATATGTTTAGGGTGATTTAGGCCTTTTAGGATATGTTCCGTTAGGCGGAATAGTTGATCGGGACAGGAATGTCTAGCTCGAAAGCCGAATTGTTCCGCCGGCAGAAGGCCGTTGGTAAACACGTGTTCATTGAGCCTGTTTAATAAAAGCCGCTCGTAGAGCTTCCCCAGGCAACTGAGGAGGCTGATGGGACGATAACTAGAGGGCTGGTTGGCTGGTTTATTCGGCTTGCGAATGCCGATAACCGTGGCTTCTTTCCAGTCGTCGGGAAAGGGGCAACTGGAGAGTAAAGTGTTGTAAATGGTCGCCAGTAAACAGATAAGCGGCCCAGGGAGAGCTTTAAGAATTTTGTTACTGATATTATCTGGGCCCGGGGCGGATTTCGGTTTTAGATTTTTAATAATATCCTGGACCTCTTCGGGGGTCACTGAATTTAAAGGTTCGCCTTCCGGTGGAAGCGCAGCCCTAGTCTCGATTACGCGGTCCACCTCCGTTAGGTGGACTGTATCGGTGTGTTCGCGAGATGGCGTACATTGCTGCTCTAGGTTGTCCGCAAGGCATTCGGCTTTTTCGGAGTCATCTAGGGCTACTGAAGCGCTATTAGGTCTAACTAACGGCGGTAGAGATTCGCGGGGGTCTGCTTTCAGACTGCGGGCCAACCGCCAGTAGGCGGTGTGCGATGGCTTGATGTCCTCTAGGAGATTGTCCCACGTTGTATGTCGGTGTTCCGATACACGATCTTTGACTTCTAGCTGAAGGCGTCGAAGTAGGGTTCGGTTCGATTCCGAGCGGTATCGGTCGAAGGCGCGTTTGGCTGCATTTTTCTATCTAATTAGCAGTCTTAGGTCGGGCGGAAAGTTAAACCGTCGGTCGCCCGACAGTTTCACCGTCCGTTCCGAGTCTGTGACTGCGGAAGTAATGGTTTCTCGGAGATTGGCTATCGCTCGATTTGCGTCATCGAACGTAGATATCGTCTCGGGTAGTTCGATTAAGTCCTGGGGGTCCAAGGCCTTGAGTTTGACCTCAAGACGATGCCAGTCCACTACGGATTTGGTCGGAGGGACCGCGCCGGCGTTCTGGCCCAGTTTACACAGGACGGGCCTGTGATCTGAATCTAGTTCGTGGATTGTCTCTATCGACTCGATGTCGAGCGAGACCTCCTTGAATAACATGATATCTAGGATACTCGGTGATGCGTGTCGGTAGTTGTCCACCGTAGGATACCTAGTGGGAGTCGCGGGAGCGACTATGCTAAAGTTTAGGTTATCGGATAAGCTAAAGAGATGCTTTCCGTTGTTATTTGGGATGCTGTTGGTGTCCCATGAGCCGTGTTTGCAGTTTAGATCTCCTGCAATTATCACGGAAGGTAAGTTAAGTAGCGTATCTAGGTCGCTTTGAAGTAAGGTTCTATTCCCCGAGAGGTAGGCTGAGACTAGTACAAGCGGCCTGTGGCCGGTGAGCGCTAACCTACACGCGGATGCCTCTATTTGACTTAGCTCTGGAATGTCGAGCGGGCAACAATACATGTCCCACTGCTGGGCAAAGGCCTCCTCTATACAGAGGGTATCAGGGCATCACCACGCGGCCCCACTGCGGATTGGCGGACTTCACATATTTTCGAAATATATATTTTTTTGTTATTATTTCGAAAATATGCAGGTTTCCTCACGATGTTTTCCTTTACCGCGGAGCACGTGATAAGTCAGCACTTAAAGTTAAAAACTTCATTGGTGCCGGCACCGGGGATCGAACTCAGGTTGCTCGAGTATATTGAATTAAAGGCGAACGCCCGGACACTGAGCTATCACGGCTCTTCAAGGACCGTTTATAATAAATTAATGTGCCTCCCAGACGGTTTGCTAACCGGTCGTGGCGGAATATGTTGTAGTTTGCGATTCTGGGATCGCGAACACTAGGTTTTAAGAAGGTCTCTTGCACTAGAAAAATATCTACATTATAATCGCGAAGGAAATCTGCGATTTCGTCCCTTTGACCCTTAATGCCGTTTGCGTTGAAATACGAAACAACCAGAGCCCTAGGTTTTGTTCTACCTGCGGTTGTACTTCCCATTAAGGTGTTTTTATGGGTCTAATTAACGACGCGGCGGAGCGCGGTTTTATTGCGCGGACTATTGTTTTTTACGATTGGCTCGTAAAAGCCCAAAGGGCTTCCACAAGCGTTTTATGTTGGCTAATTGTCCTAAGACGCTCGTTGCCAGATGTGGCGGCCGCTATTTTAGCGGACAATACGGTGAGTTCCTGCCTATTTATTGATCGTGTCTAATAGGCTGCAGATGTTTGCGATTTGCGCGAATGGGTCGTCTTTATTTTCCGCGAAAACCGACGGAGTTGGCTGCACCTGCGGCCGCGGCGCCGTTTGACAGGCGCGCAGCGATTGTGCGATCGGTCGTGAGGCGACCGGGATTACCGGCGTGGTTACCTGCGCGGCCACCTGGGGTTTCGCCCAGGCGTTTATGACGGGTACGGGCGCGGGAATGAATTTAACGGGCGCGGGTTTGGGCAACGTAGATTTCGCGGGAGTTTTCGGGGCCTTGGCGCAGTCTCTATAACTAGCCGGGTGGCCGGTAGCGTGACAGTTTACGCAGTCCGGTGGATCTGCGCAATCTTTAGGCCTCGTGCACTCGGATGTGCCGTGGTCACCGGTGCATTTGACGCACCTAGGGTTGTTTGCCGTGTGGCCAAATGTTGACAGTTGTGGCACTGTGCCACAACTCCTGATTTACGCGGGGGCTCGATGACTAAGTCACTGAGCCCACAGACCCTCTTTAGGTTGAAGATGGCCTTACCTTCCGGGGTAGGGTCAAGTTCAACCATTACCATGTCCATAGGGACATGGGTGCGAGGGTGTCTGAGCCGACGTACGGCGTGCACAGGGTATCCCTGTGTGCGGATGTCGACCTTAGCCCTATCGACATCCGATTCTTTCGGGACGCCCTTGATAACGACCCGAAGTTTACGCTCTTCGGGTAGTGAGTAGGTGTGGAAACCTACTTTGGCTTCGCGCAAGTATTTTGTTACGCGGCGGAAATCGTCCGTGGAGTCTAGGTATACGCGGATACCCATATTAGTATTTTTAGTCCGGGGGTCTCGGATGTTGTGGCGTTCAAACCACGAACACACCTGGTGCCACTTTGCCTTTTCTTGAATTATTATTGGAGGCGGTGGCTTGATTTTTCGCTCGGAGGCGAATGTCGGTTCCGACTGGGCAGTCGCGGCTGCCTTTTTGGCGGGCGTCGCGGTGGGACGGTTTGACGGGGCGGCCTCGCTTTCGGGGTCGCTGTCAGTAGCGGGGCGTTTCTTGCCCTTTTTGCGCGATTTGACGACGGTGAAGCCGTCGGCGTTCGCGTTGTTCGCGGGGGTCGTTTCGACCTCCATGTCTGAGCCGCCGTCCGATTGTGAGTCGGGTACGACTGAGCGAAAAGAGGTCGGGTTCGGTTGCACGGAAGGCGCTACGGGCGAGTAGGCGTTAGCGGATGCCGACGCGACGGGGGCTTCTAAGGTCGCGGAGGGCGACGGGGTAACGGGCGCAGACGGCGCGGGCAATGGCGGTGACGCGAGATCAGCTACTTGCCTATGCTCGGCTTTATAGGCAAGAAAACGTTCCCACATAGCGGGGCATTCCTTGCGTACGAACTCCTCGAAAAGGGAGCCCATCGCGGCGTAAGTGCCTTTGGGGCTTGTAGCCCCGCCGGCGTGTGTGAGCTAAATAAGCCTCCCCACCTTGCGGCAGGGAGGTGTGTGCCTAAAAATAACAACTAATTTGCCTGCGCTTTAGGTGCTCTAGGGTGGGTACCTAGCTGTCGCCTATTGCAACAAGCACACAGTTAATAAATTAAACAATGCCGCCTCTGAGGCGAGAAGTGTGTGTAGGATTCTACTTACAAAACAGGAACCTGCCTACGAGCACAACACTACACTAACACTAAACTACTGCACTATTTGCACAAGATTTAAATTGCAACCGAGGTTGCGAGTGGCGTCTAATTCGGGTGACATGTGCCCTCCGTCTTAGAGAGACGTCCGTTCCGTAAGAGAGCATGAAGCGGAATGAAGCATAACCAGTGACAGTGTGCTCCGTTTCATTATAATTTTTACACACATTTGTGCTATAGTTGCCCATGCGATTTTAGTGTCTTTTTCGTTAAACCAGGGGTGAGCAACCTTTTTAATCAATGGGCCAATTTAAATTTAAATTTTTTTAGCGGGCCGCACATAAAAATTAACGAAACTTTATTTATTATAAATATTAGAATAAAAAATATAAAATTAAAAAAAAAGTAAAGATTTCGTATAAAAATTTAAATGCTGGTAAAAACAAACGAGAAAAGAACAGAAAAACGAACAAAAAAATAAATATTTCGGTTCAGTATATACTACCTTTTTATTATAATTAATTTTATAACAATATATTGATGGGAGAAATTCGATAAAATAAATTCAATTTTAGAAATGCTTGGCGGGCCGCATAAACATGTTTAAGGGGCCGCAAGCGGCCCGCGGGCCGCGCGTTACTCATCCTTGGTTTAAACCATTTGAGAAGGGCGAATTCACTGCAGTAAAAATTATTAGAATATTCTTTTTATCCAAAATACTTTGGATTCTTTAGAATTTATACTTGGTTATTGGTCTGAGAGAATCATGCCGATATCGTCAGTTTCTGCACAGTCTTTCACTAGTTTGATGAAATCATTTGCATTTTGAGTACTTGATGTTGAAATTTATGAGTACCTAGTGAAATGATCTGATAGTAGGTGCAAGTATCTGTTTGTCGACCTTGAACCCCCAAAGCGTCCAATGGTATCAATGGAATATATCTCAAAAGGTTTTGTAGCGGGACCCAATTGGGACATCAATCCATATTTATTTTGTCCTCTGGACTTATTCTTTATACATACTACACAACTTTCGCAGATACTTTTTATGTTTTTTGTCATGTTTTCTGCTGTATACAATGAGCTAATCATTCTTTGCATTTGATTAATTCCTAAATGACCTAGGTCTGTATGTACACTTTTGATTAATCCTATACTAAAATTTTCTGATAGAATTATTTTTTCTCTTTTCTTAACTTTCTTATAAAAAACATTATTTTTTTCAATAATTATTATTTTTTGCACTATATTTTCATTGTTAACTTGATCTTTTAGGATATCTTCTATTTTAATCATGTTAACCATTTTAATTGTTCATCCAGATTTTCATTTGGTTCTAAGACTGAGTTCCTGCTTAAACAATCAGCTTCAATCTTCCTGGAGAGTATTTAATTTGGAAATCATATTGTGATAGGTAGTATGTTAGATGTCCTAATTCTTCATCCGTTCTTGACTTTATATTCAATTTTTCCAAAGGCTTGTGATCGGAGAAGACAGTGAATTTCCTACCTATCAATATATGTTGCCAATACTTTACACATTCTTTAATTGCTAAGCATTCCAGATACATACCTTTTTTCCTTTTTTGAACTTTGTTCAATTTTTTTGAATAATATGCTACTGGTTTCTCTTCTTTGTTTTCTTCGTGGCTGTTCGTGGCCGTTAAGACTGCTTCTACTCCCAGTATACTGACATCTGTGTACATGTGAATTGGCAAGTTAGGATCAAAAATGGTTAATATTGGTTGAGAACATAATATTTCTTTCATTTCATCAAATGACTCTTGGCATGCCTTAGTCCAGTTAAAGATTCTTAAAAGGTTATGCAATGGTTCTAATTTTATTGCTATGTTTGGCACATACTTGTGATAAAAGTTTATTTTTCCTAAAAATTGTCTCACATTTTTTTTGCGTTTTTGGAGTAGGGAAGTTTTTTATTGATATCAAGTTGTCGTTTAGAGGTCTAACTGAATTATTGTTTATTATGTGACCCAGGTATTTAACTGAGTCTGCTGCAAATGTGCATTTAGAAAATTTCAGTCTAAAACCTTCACTTTTAATTGCTAGAAATAACTGTTTTAAATGCCCGATATGATTATACACATTATTCCCTGGAATATTGCTGGCGATGTTTTTAGGCCGAATGATAAACAAGTCCATTGAAAGTGACCTTCCTGTGTGGCGAATGCAGTTTTGTATCTGCCTGTGACACGCAGAGGTATTGACCAAAATGCTGAATTTAGGTCCAATGTTGAGAAAAATTTGCAATCTCTTGTTTTTACTATTAGGTCTTCAATAAGTGGAAACTGCTGTGACTGAGGAACAACAATTTTATTTAGGTCACGAAAATCTATGCACAGTCTTGATTTTTTATTTTCATCTCTTTTATAAGCTAATGTAACTGGAGCTGCAAACGGACTATATGATTCTTCTATTATATTTTTTTCAATCGCAATCTCATTTTCTATCTCCTTCTTATCTTCAATGGTGCAACGATATGGCCTTTTACTGCAATATCAATAGAGATCAATATGTGCTTCATAATCCGTTACCGTTCTGATGTCATATTTGTCCTTTGCAAAAACAGATTTATTGTTCAATATTAAGTCATCAATTATAGCTTGTTATTGATAGT